GTACAATACATATTTTGGTCAATTTTTTGACCACGGGGCGAGCTCTTGTTTCTTTCTAAATTACTTTGTAGAGCTTAAAAAAGGAATCATTTTGTATATTTAAGCGTTCTTGTATGCCTAACGGTTATAGGGAAAATTCCAAAAAGTGTAAATTAAAATTGCCATGTTATTCTTATTGAGAAAAAGAAAATTGTTTTTGTTTGTTTGTTTATGGATATATTTGAAATTGATTTGGTAAATTTGTTTATTCGATACTAAGCTATCAACTTTAAAATGTAAAATGCACACCTTTTTATTTCCCTTGTAGCAGCTAATATAAGTATGATACTCATTAAAATTGATGATATTTAAATAGAAATTCAATTTGAACATTTTAAGGGAATATTTTAGTGAAAATCTAGCCAGGTAAATGGAAATTTGCTGAGTCTGCAGGATTACTGCGGCAGGGGTATTTTATAGATCAATAGAATTCAACAAATTGAATTGATAGAGTAAAAAATGTGTGCACCTGACTATTTCATCTTTAAACAATGTGTACTCTAACAATAAGGCAATAATAAAGGTACGAGGAAAAAGTGGCAACCAAAAAAAATTCAAAGGTTACATTTGCATCTTCAAAGAGGATAGATTTGTTGAAATATTGGGGAAGAATAAAAAAATACCTTTTAGCATCACAAATAAATAACCATAGGTTCAGGAATAATTTAAAATGAAGAGGGACATAAGCAAGTACCTCTTCCTAAATATAGTCCCAACTCCCAACCCACAAACCTCTTAATATTTAAGACTTCCTTAATTTGTCTCAATTGAACCCCCACCTTAACTTTAACCTCTGACTATTTCTGATGAATGAGAACAAACTATTGAAATTATAAAGAACTATGTGAAACCAGTCCAAGTCGACGGTTGCTTTAAAGGCTTGCGCTAATTCATCCAACTGCGATAAATAGAGTGAAATTATAAAAAATTTAGCATTTGGCATTGTTTAATGAGTAATAAATAAGTGTAAAAACAATAATGTCTATTGCGTTAGTTACAAAATATGGGTATAGTCATTCAATGAATAACACATTTCTTACACAGTACGTCATAGGAGTTATTGTTACTATGTTAACTGGTTTCTTTTCTTTTGGAGGAATATGAAGAATGCTTTTGGAAGAACCTTTAAATAGTATTAAATCGTATTGGTGGATCTTTTGTGGTTAACACTTCCACGATTTCATCATACTGTGGCAGTATAATTTTTTTGACATTATACAGTGGATAGATAAGATTCACCTAAGTATAAAAATAAAATTACAATACTGGGAAGAACTGATGATTAACTTTAATAAAACTAATAAAGATCACTAGTAAAAATATATATTTTTTATATACATCTAATATATTGCAATTGGATGAAAATGTGCAGCATTAGAGGTCAAAGCTAAAATTATAAAACCTACATTGTCTTTTTCTCACAAAGGAGGAAAATTAAGTTAAATTATGAAAGATACTTTTGTCAACAATATTACAACAAAGTCTTGCAGCTGCATGTTTCAAAACAAAATTAGCTAACACATAAAGTAATTACTGAACATGGAGATGAACATATGTTTTCTCTCAAAGTTGAATGTAATTCCAAGCTAAACAAAGCATTGACAAGGATGAAGATGACATTGTTTAAACAGTTCTTCCATAACTTGAAACAATTAGGTACTGGACAGATTTATTGAGACGGTGGAACTGAGAATTGTACCTAATAATTGTTAAAGTTATAAAAGTATTTCCTCAATTTTTATTTGAGTTGTCCAGGTTTCAATTAAAAAACATTCACTTTAAAGAATAACATAATAGTATAGTGTATAGTCAATGTTATATCCAAATGTAGGCAGTTATATTAGTTTATCATATTCTATCCGCTATGATACTGATAACTTGTTGCAACAATGTGTATGATTTCCTTCATTGCCACATTATATGGCGCCAAAAATTTGACTTCTTCTCTAGATTGAATTTTTTTTTAAGAGGACAGTGCCAGGGGACCGAGCATTGCTCGAGGTGTTTGATTTGTTCAAGAGGTAAAAAAATAAAACCTATAAGCCTACAAATATTTTCAGATTTGCTACGATTAATTAAGTTGTAAAGTCAATGGTCCACTCACTTCAATATAAAAACTCATGCTACATAACATCTGTTGACCGTTATTGCGTTAGTCACTGGGATCGCGGAACGTCACAACTGTAGCTACGGGGATCGTGGAATAACGCATCAATTCTGAGGGGGCATCGTCAAAAACTACAAAACAATCCATTTGTTTACATTTTCGTAAAACTCTGGCATAGCTACTTGACAGTCCATAAGACTATTGTGAAAAATATTAAAATTTCATTTTAAGGTTTTAATGGAAAGCGAATTTTCCTAGAACAGAGCCTTGCATGGATATTTGTTTTAAGCCTAAAACTAAGATATTTCTAACAATTTGGCGGAAATCATAGGAGCCGTTTTTTTAATCATTGTGTGCAAACTTTACTCATATTATAGTATAGATTTCACTTGTTAAAATAAATGGAAGATATGATAATAAAAAAATATCCAGGTATGTTTACTTGTACGTTTTTACATATTCTATGATTCATTATATTTATAGATTACAATTCAACTCTATCAGATCTTACAAAAATAAGATGCAGATATTTTATTTTTCAAAAGGCACCACAAACAGAAATGATTTATCACTGCCTAAAACGGGAGGAAAATTCAAACAATGATAAAACTTAAAATATTTTTTAATATATATATTCTCAAGAATTACAATTTTACATGCATGTAATACAATTAATGTAATACAATTAACTATGCTATTTACATTTAAAAATTTAAAACATATCGTATAACATGTTCAGGAACTTTTTAGTCTATTAAACACTAGACTATTCACTTTACCTTTGTTGTTTTATTGTTATTTTATTGGTAAAATAAATTGCATTTAGATTAGGCTAATCATAGAAAAATACCATTTTTAGATTCTTTTACAGCATTTTCTGACGATAAAGTTGTGTGTTTGTACTTCCTGAACCATCATTTAAGTATCAATAATGTTTTTATGATACTCACTGAGTTTAAATAACTATACCATAGATAAAACATACTACCAAGAAACAGTAGATAAACAGTCGAGTCATATCTTGAGTTAAAATCCTAACTTAATAAAGGTTACTTTTTGTGTAGTAAGAACCTAACTCAAAGGAAGTAAAAAATAACAATGTGAATTTAAGTAAAAGAGTTCAAAAAAACTGCACATAATTCAAAACTTGGCTTAAAATCTTTAAAGATAAGAGAAATCTAGAAATGATGATAAACACTAATTACCACAGCATTATTCTCTGAATATTGTTTTCCTTGTTTTTTAAGGAGCTATCTTAAAAGTGTATGGCTTTCCTTTGAGATATTAGAAAATAATAATTAAGTTAAAATAATAATCATCTAGGTAATATAAACCTGGTAATTCAATGGCAGCAGATCAGATTGACAGTGGCATCACCTTATTCCCCAAAATGTTAGTTTTAAGATTCAATATGTGTGGTTAATAAAACTAAATTTTTAAATACTATGTAACAATAGTATAGTTTAAAACTAATCGTGTATTCTCTTGAATGGGAGTGATATTAAGCTCATCTAAAGACGTATTACCCTTGATCAATAATTCACTGGTTATCTCCGGACTGACTCTAGTTAGATGTTTTTTTTTTTTAGTATTCAGGTTAGACAAAGAAAAAGTGATGATCATTAATTAAATGATAAAAACATTTCAGGTAATCAGTTTCCCAGCAAAATAATGTTTTGATCAAGTTACATTCATTGCTATGCAATTGGTAACTTAATATTAAAGTAAACTTGTGGATACGCTTTTGTGTTTTCAAACACTAATTTCAAAGTAATATAATTTCAACAGAAGTTTCCTTTGATCCATTAATGTATGGCAGTTATTCTTTTTCTTTGAAAGTAAAAGAGTGATAATTCTTTTCATTGTTTCATGTTTAATAAAAACTCAAAACCAGACATGAAATACAAAAGAAACTTAGCTGTCTGACTGAGTGATTTCCTCTTATTTGAGGAAACCTCTTTGATAATCTTTCCTTTTGTACCTCTAAAATATTACAATATGACTTCAACAGAATAATTTATACTGTTTCTGTTATAATAGATTAAAAACAATTCCTAGTTTGTGATGTGAGTAATGTTTTGTAATTACTTTAGTAAGAACAATACGGTAAGTAAAAAAAATAGTCCATTATATTATAATATGGACTGACTAAGGCACCTGCCGTATTGTTCCCACATGCTTTTAACTTGGTACGGTAACTGTTTCAACTAACATAGTTAGTAGACAGTCAGATCCAAAGGACTTCTATGCATGTAGGATTGTTTAAAAATCCTGAGTATGGGTTGAATCTTCAACCTGTTATAGAAGTAGACGTCCCTTTTCATATGGCAAAGCTATAGTCAGTTGGAGGGAGTGATTTTTTTATGACAACTGTTTAAGCAATCCAAACTGAAAAGATTACCAACATTTTGCAAATTATAGTGTCTTTTTCTTTTATGTCACAAAAGATATTATAGTAGGTACCGAACACAACAGAGAAAAACTGAATTTTAACAGCAATAGCGTACTCAGTGAGTTGAACCATTGAATACAAACCGTTTAAGAAGCGAAATGCTTATGGTGAATAGTCAGACTGGAATTTTTATGCAGAAATGAGCATCGTGCAGCCGCCACTACGATCGCTCGCGTGGCAGCCGCGCTACTCTATCTAAGCCAATTCTGTCTCACTCAGTCAGCTGACTTTGCAGCGCGCTCGCGAAAGTCTACCTAATGGCCGCTGCGAGAACTATCAAAATAAAAATATTTCCAGATTAAATTTTGTATAAAGGCATTGTGCTTCTTAAAAGGTTTTATTCATTGGTGGCACATTCAACTATAAATCAACTAATTTGAATGAAAAATAAGCTACATCTAGTCCATATTGAAATTATCTCTATTTTGGTGTCCAAAAGTTGATAGTTGGATTCCGAGGAATCTTATCAACTAGTTTCAGAGGTTTGACAAAAATGGTTTAGTTTAATAAACTGAATAAAAAAGATAACAGTAAAAAACAGCTAACATTACTCTACAAGTACTCTACATAAACTAATTATTCTTCTTACTCTTTGCAACAGTCCGTCTACCAAACAAAAGAGACAGGACTTTCCTAATTACTAAGTAAAAGACTACCACAACTGCCAATACAGCTGCAACAATGTCCACCAGCCACAGCTGGTACCAGGGCAGCTGAGCGGCAACAGGCTGTAGATGACGCGCTCCTGCATGTCTCGTCAAGTACTCTGTCCAGAACACGACAGAGTCTGCGGGCGACACCGGTCTGTCACGGAATATGCGGGACATCCTCTGCGCATTCTGCTTGTACCTGGGAAAATGCGCAGATTTTAGAAAACATTGATTTAGTGATGCCAAAGTAGAATTGAAAATATAAACAAATGTGATGAACAGCTGATCTATATTATTAAATCTATCTTGGCCACAGGTTGCCACTCTGAGTCATTATTATAGTGTTTTTCATCACCTTTTATGATTTTGTTACAGTAATCTATATAATTAATACGCTACATGAAAATTTGTCGGTTGAACTCCTCCGCCATTTCTTAACCGATTTTATCCATTGACGTGTCATTGGAAAGAGCGTGTCGCGTAGATTTGCAAACTGGCCTTACATTTTTGAAAAAGTCCCTTGGGCTCTGCCCCTGTGGCTTTGAAAGTTCCCATGTTTTTCTTATGAAGAACATAATTGTTTACATATTGATCAGCTGTATAATTTAATTGCTGTTATTTATTTTTCAATTCAATGAAACACATTGGGTACATTTACTGATTTTGCTTAAATTAAATATTTACTACTTTAATTTACATTCGTACATATAACAATGTTAAAAATCGTGAAAGCCTGGACAATTTGATATAGTTTACCTCCTATATAATGAAGAACACCTACAATATGAAGATTCCCACAAACAATGAACAAGGGTGTTAGCCGAAGTGTTCTTAAGTAATGTAAACAAAATGTTATCGCTATAAAAAATGACTGAAATTTGTAAACGTACTGGCGACATCTTACATCGGCGCTCCTCTTTAAGGCGGTTTCACACTGGCGTCCGCGGACGATAATTTCGTCCGCGGACGGATGAAATGATTCGGATGGATGCTACGCGCCCCCTTCACATTGCGAGCTACGTTTCAAACGTCCACTCATTCGCGCATGCGCATATGGAGTTGGCCATTCCTACTACAATCATAGATTAAACATACTTCCTCTTACAACTCAGTGAAGGTGTGCAAAATGTCTGAGCCTTCTGTCCCATGGTGTCAACCCGGATTTTCTGTTCTGTGGCTTGATTCAAGTAGTGATGATAGTGACGACGAGGTTGTACTTTTGTACTCATTATCAAAAAGGAGAAAGTGGGTTCATCCAATTAACAGTAAGCGGCAGCGATTTGGTGAATCATTGTAATAATGCAAATAATCATAGTAATACAAATCTAATAATGATTTACTGTACAGTAATTCGTATAAATATACATGGTTATTGGTTAGGATACTTTATTCTCTTTGTAATCTCTGTGGAGTGTAGTCGCAATTTCCAACCAAATTTTATCTTTCTCTTGTTGATCTCTATAAATTTCTATAGTTGTATCCCAGATAACCGGGTAGGCACGGACAGCCTCAATTAATTCAGCCATAACAAACAACAAGGGAGGACACAAAACAACAACTAGATGAACACTATGACTGTAAACACAAACTACTGAACACTGTGATGGGAGTGACACATGCCTCGCTGAGAGCTACTGCTCTGTCTGCGCATGCGCGAGGGCGTGATCGTCCGCGGACGTTTTAGAAAAATCGCTCCCAGAGCGATTCCACCAAATCGTCCACGGACGAATTTCTGCATCCGCGGATGGACGCTACGTTTCAATGGGCGGTGTGAACGGTCCCATCTGATAACATGGGCAGCGATTTATTTTCGCATCCGTCCGCGGACGAAGAAATCGTCCGCGGATGCCAGTGTGAAACCGCCTTTACAGTCGTTGAGACCGGAGGGTTGTCAATTTCTTTGAGGGGGTTTGTTGTATTTGTGTGTGTGTGTTATATGTGTGAGTGTATGTGTTTTATTGACAACGGGTAGTACTACATTATCATTGACGAAGATCAACATGGACAACCTAATGCGGCTATTAGTGGGAAAGATTTGTAGAATACACTAAAAAGCCAGATCAACTTTTGAAAAATGATCAAATAATTACAAGTAATGTTGATTATATGTAACTGTTAGGTACGTTTTAATCTATGAGTTGAGTCTTTTAAACTCATCGGAAATTATGACTTTTATTAGTTTTTAAAAGAGTTATTTATTTATTTTTTGTATACTGTGACTACTTTACTTTTTTGTAACTTTTGTAATCGCTCGATTTCGAGCAACATGTACACTAGTAAGGTTATTATATTGCTGGTTAAGTGAGGAAGTATAGCTCACCTGACAATCAGTAGTTCGTTGGTTTGATACTAAAAAAGTTACTTTTTACTAGTTAAAATCTGGGCCCAGCTGTCCTTGATCATTTAGAACAGTTCATTTGGACCTAAGCCTCAACATCCAAAATGAAAGCTCAACTCCTACTAAAAGCAATAATTTCTAAAGTAATATTTCAAATAATAAAAATGTATGAAAAAATAGACCATACATTTTTTGTAACTCTGACCATTAACTAGCAAAATTGTAAAGCGGACCACTCTAGTTTGAAATAATGCAGATTTTGTCCAGCCTATTGTCATGGTAGTAACAAACATGTAAACTAATTATTGGACTTTTCGTAAATGGTCTTCCCAAAGAAGAGACATCTGATCTCGGCAACAAACTGATCATTATAATAGCAATAATTTGAACTCATTGGGTGGCAATTTTTATTTCAGTTTCATTCAAATTAAGGTTGGTACATATTTGAAGAAGATATGAATCAAATATATTTCATCGTACCAAATATTGCTACACAGTAATATTGTTTTAAATGCACCAGTGGATTCAAATTGAACATACGATAAATCCAGGCTCGGAAACTACATCAATATTCCCTTGTGTCACATAATCCTTGATGGTTAAACCTCAACCTCCCAATCGGGACATCTCACTGATAAGCATTGATTATTGTGGTTGCATACTAGGGGTTGATTAGGGATTCAAAGCAACACTACTCCAATGTTAATCTTAAGGAGCTGTTAAAAATATTACTAATTATTCTTCTTGGGGCTGACAGTTAAGAAAATATAGACATTTGTATATTTAACCTTATCATTGTCCCTGTCGTATCTGTATGTTTCGGTGAAAATGTGATTGAATGTAAATACGTTACAAACGGACAAATCTGCCACAACATCAACGCAGCCAGATACAAGTAAACCTCGAGTGACGTGGAGCTGACGATGGTCTAAGGGTCAACACTTTTACTCCATAAAAAATTTGATTGAAAACTTAAGTATAATATTGGAGTATGTCTAATCTGTGATTAAATCTACAATAACAGAAAATAAAAATTAGAAGTACTCTCAAATCATTTATACCTACCTCATCACTTTTACTAAAACACTCAACATTTTTGTTCTATAAAATCCTAATTTTTAGGTACCTCTTATCATTCAACACTTTAGTGAAGGCTGAAAGCAGGGATTCCTCCGACAGAGTTTTGAAGTCTACTTTGACCCCTATGTGGTAATACTCGTTAACATGGATGTTGTACAACTGGTCGCCAAAGAACGGAATCCCTATGGTTGGCACTCCTGCGTTCATGGCCTCCAACTGACTGTTGAGGCCGCCGTGGGTCAGGAACAGAGCTAAGTTGGGATGCGCTGAAAATAAAATCAATCGATTTAGATCCACTTTGAATATAATAATAATATATATTATTAAGAGAATTTGTTGCTCCCAAATATTTGTTTTTATATGCATATTGGGTATAATTCTAAAGCTCTTATCCTCTCGATGTGCCTTTTGTGGGTTTGGATGATGATATTCCGTAAAAGCCCTTTGTTCTATAGGCTTTTAAAATTTCGTAGCTTGTGCTGAATTCTGTTGTCAATCATCTGAACTTTTTTAGTTTACATTTGTTTACATCAAACAGATGGCCATGATACAATTTTGTTTACATGCATATGAAAATGGGGCTATCTGTGGTCATGTTTCAGTGAATTCAAGTAAAATGTTGTAATGTTTTGTATAAAATGTACAAAACTGTATCATGGCCATTTGTTTAGTTATATTTTGTGTTGTGATAGGATTTTGTGTTTTCATAATGTTATATTGAGGTTTTTGGGAATACAATAGTAAAATGTTATTTGTTTAAAATGTAAAGAAGAATGACTTACGTTACATTTTGTGTTTTTATATTTTGTTTCATTAGTATTTGTAATTTTTCTAAGATGCCTCGAAGAGATCATGCACACAATGAAAATAATAGGGCTCGCAATGTAAACAATAGGGATATGATGAGAAATAATTGTTTTCACCCTTATCAACTATATATCAAATATATCGCGGAATTTGAAGTCACAAAGTGACGCATCTTCATTTTTCAAACAAGTAATACAATAAATTATGATTATTACTAGGATCTAGGATACAAATTATTTCCAAGTTAACAATTTAGGTACATCAAAACTTGTTTAACTTTTTGTTAAATAACAAAAACAATTTGCTTTAAACTTGCTTTTAACACAAATCCTAACCTTTCCTTTCAATATAAGTTTGTATAAGTTTAAATGTTTTACTATAAAACCTAAGCCCAACAAAGGCGGTCCCAGGGGGGGGTCAGGGGGGTCATGACCCCCCCCCAAAATATTTTTTTATATATATAAACTATTATACCAGGGGAACTTAAATAATTTTTATTGCAAATCGTTCTGCCAAATTGAAATTCATTGTAGTCTTTACACTTGTGGCGAATGAAAGGACTAATTACAATCTCTAACTTAAAACTCATCGTTCGAGTCTGACTGTTTATTTGTACGTTATGAAAAGTAGGGAAGATTGGCAGACGACGGATGCTTTCAGACATTTACAGCAACGGCAGTGTCCGATACTGACATTCGACGTTCGGCCGCATTCTTCTTCTTGTTTATTTTTTCGGCATTTAATGTTATCATTCATTTTAACCTAGATGATTGAAAACTTGAATTAATTGGGTTTGGGTATTGGATAAAGAAAAGAAGTTGTATCAATAGTCAAAGCTTGATAGGTAGTTGAATATTAATTTATCTGAGTTGAGCGTTAGGAATTTGTAATTACAGTAATGTAATTCAATGATTACCGTAGCAAATTTCAAAACTTTCAATATTAAATAGTATTCATATTTAGAGCACCTGACATCATATTTAATAACACCACAACCCAATTGGCATGTTGCTAGCCATAAAACAACAACAAAATGGTAGTGTCTCAGACTTAGATGTGGAAGGGACAGATTTAATTCCCGGCACAACCACAAAATTGTTGCACAAAAACTTTATTCTCACGTTGACCTCTTGTAAAATGCCACTGGCACTGGCGTAGAAAAAATGAGAACACTGAGAACCAATTCTCCAGGTGGTAGCAGTGTTGGGACGCCGTGACGCCGACGGCAACGTTAGTTGGATAGTGTACTTTGTGTAGGTTAACTGTTGCTTACTGGGCAGGTATTATGCAGTCGTTTTGAGTCCAAGTTCTTAAACACTTCTTAGATAAAATAAGTTCTCTGGTTTGAAATCTTGGTCTGATTTTGGACATTTTCCGTTTAGCATGCACATTGGCACCAGTTGAAAGCATGGTGGAAGGAAAATACATCCACCATGAGTTGAAAGGGTTTTTTTCTAAATCAATAATGCTTGAATGTGTTGTAATGTTGCGGTATTCCTTTGATATTAAAACCCAAAGTCTCAATATTGCAAAAACATGACATTATACAAGTAGGCCCTTGAATATGTGGTTTGACCTAGAAATAATTAGAACACAGATGAAACCATTGTTGTTCGATAGTGAAAAGTATTGTGAATAACATATCAAAAGTCTCCAAAAATATCTTTGGTGGAACACCACCATTTTTCCAAAATGGCGGCCAAATCCAGTAGTTTTTTGCTTTTTATTGAAATTCTGACTTTCCAGTCAATATTGGGGAAAAGTCGTCAATACATTTAATGTTCCTCCTGAAATCACCTTTAAAATGATACCAAATACATGTACCTACAACAAAAAATAAACCCCGTAGAAATAATAAAATATGGCAAATAAAAATATTTTTTATAAATTAATGTAATAGTCCAAGCAAACTAAAAAAAAAACCAGACACAGGGATCGTATAAAAATTTGCAAGTAAACATTTTATGGTTTTATTTTTATTGTTGTGGTGTGCAGAGTGACATACCAAAAGTTGCAAAAATCAGTTCAAGGGAAACCCCTAAATTAAGGAAAAAATGGCGGATTTTCCCAATATTGGACAAATTTTGCAACAAAAGATACCACATGTTTTTTGCACATTTTTCGAGATATTGACTTGGAACCACGACCGATATTTATTGGATGGTCCGTACTTAATTTCAATAGGGAACGCTTTTTGGGCCGCCATCTTGGATCAGCCATATAGGATCTGCCATATTGGATATAAATATTTTTTCATGTAATTATAGTGTTGTGACACATCATTATGAACTAGATTTCCACGCTGATTTCAATGCTGAAATCCGTTTTTAAATAAGTTTGTTCGTTGATTAAGATATATTAACATGAAAACTCTCCCCTATACATCAGTTATGCACGTATCTGATGTAACGTAAGTTACTTTGAAAATGTGTTTGGATTATTTTTCTCCAGGTATTATTATTGCTTGCAGTTCGTTCTAGCCTTAAAATATTCAGTGATAAAAGATCTTTCATTTTAGTTAGCTTTCATTTTGTTTTATTTATAGTTAAAACAGACTAGTTATAGACGAGGTACAAACCCCAACACAAAATTAAATTAAACTTTTTTTATCAGTTTTTGTTAAAAGATTTATATCTCGGGTTGTTAATATGTTAACAAGTTCATTCTGGTATCAAAGTACTCAGTAAATGTTTGACTTTAATTTTATTGATTATTAAATGACACATGACAAATTTAAAACGAATCATGTAGGCCTACCTTCAATGAACTATTGAATGAATTATTGTTATTTTGAAATTTGTCTTTAGTTAAAGACATTTATCCCCAATTCTAAATAACTCCAAATAAGCAATCCATAGCTAAAATAAAAGTCAATACTTGAACGAATAGCTATGACGAGTTTTTCCCGTTTTCACTCTGCACAACACTACAAAATAAAACCATAAAACGTATTGTTGCAATTTTTTAAAGGCCATATCCTATATTTATCTAAATATAATTTCCAAGTTACACAGTTACAGTTATTTATAAGTACAGTTATTTATAAGTAAGTTTGTCATATGTACCATCAGTCAAACACCACTCCCAATCTGTTGGATCTGCTGGTGAACTATTTCCACGCCATACTTGAACCTGATAGTACAACCTTAGACTGTGGTAGTTTTCAATGTGTTTTTAAACTGTCAAAGTACGAAACGTCCATAAGAAATGTATGGGGGAGAGTTTTCGTTTTTATATATCTTAAAATCGTAAAACGCTATTTAAAAAACTGATTTCAGCATTGAAATCAGCGTGGAAATCTAGTTCATAATGATGTGTTACAACACTATAATTACATGAAAAAATATTTATATCCAATATGGCAGATTCAATATGGCTGATCCAAGATGGCGGCACAAAAAGCGTTCCCTATTGAAATTAAGTACGGACTATCCAATAAATATCGGTCGTGGTTCCAAGTCAATATCTCGAAAAATGTGCAAAAAAACATGTGGTATCTTTTGTTGCAAAATTTGTCCAATATTGGGAAAAGCCGCCATTTTTTCCTTAATTTAGGGGTTTCACGTGGACTGATTTTTTGCAACTTTTGGTATGTCACTCTGCACACCACAACAATAAAAATAAAACCATAAAATGTTTACTTGCAAATTTTTATACGATCCCTGTGTCTGGTTTTTTTTAGTTTGCTTGGACTATTACATTAATTTATAAAAAATATTTTTATTTGCAATATTTTATTATTTCTACGGGGTTTATTTTTTGTTGTAGGTACATGTATTTGGTATCATTTTAAAGGTAATTTCAGGAGGAACATTAAATGTATTGACGACTTTTCCCCAATATTGACTGGAAAGTCAGAATTTCAATAAAAAGCAAAAAACTACTGGATTTGGCCGCCATTTTGGAAAAATGGTGGTGTTCCACCAAAGATATTTTTGGAGACTTTTGATATGTTATTCACAATACTTTTCACTATCGAACAACAATGGTTTCATCTGTGTTCTAATTATTTCTAGGTTTTGCTATTTATTTTCTTATTTTAAGGCACCTAAAGTTTATTTTTATACATTTCTTTGACGTTTAAATAAACTGGGAAGCTTGAACACATTAAACTAGGCCCTCAAAATAGCTTCAAAACCACTCGTTTTAGCACGTTATTTCCAAATTTTTTCCCGGGGGGGAACCCCCGGACCCCCCTCCTTTGCTGGGGGGTATTCCATACCCCCCAGGCCCCCCCGGTGACCCCCCTCAAAATATATGTCTAGGACCGCCCTAAAGCCCACTCCATTCTACCATTGACTGTTAGGTACTAAAAAACATGTAGTTAAATGAACCACTCGAAGAGTATGCTACAGTCTGAATTTATAATTTTTCCCCTATTTCTGAAATTAATTGGAGATAATTGGTGACATAAATTTTAGTTTACAATAAATTTCCTTTTGAATTTGGGTCTGATTAAATAGAGCCATAAACGAAAAACTTACCCAAAACCCCCGGTTGGGGGACCCACTTTTTGAGCATCACATTATTTGGTAAATTAGGAATGTTGTCAAGTTCAATCTTCCAAATCACTCTTTGTTTCATCTTCTTAAATACATTGGTAAATTTCTCAAGCACTTCCTTGGGGAAAAGGTGTAATGGAACAACAGTTCCAAAGCTAAAGTATATAACTCCTTCTTTTGCACCATCCATAAACTTTTGTATATCCTGAAAAATTAAAATATTCATTTTTAAAAGAGAGAAAGATAGTTTTCTAGAATGTTACATTAGAATATTTGTGCCTTGAATTCTATTACTAAGAGTTATTATAGTTTTGTTCCCTTTTTGTACTGGGACTGGCAATGACAGCTCTTTTTGGTCAAACAAGCAGACCCAACACCTTAAACCCCAACACCTTGGTTGTTGTGTTGTTGTTGTTGTGATATGTGATTACAATGGCAGAATGTAAAATGTTCACAGTACTACAATACATCCTCCCAATGTCCCGAAGCTTAAGATAAATAGTATATAAAAAGGTTGTCAGGTGAGGAACCAAGGCAAAATCTACAAAAAAAGTTGATTGGACTGATTTTTAGAGGAGCAAAAAATACATAGTATATATAGCAAAAGTGTAAAAATTATGGCTCCAAAGTTATTGCAACCTACGTGATATTCCCATAAAAACCTATAAGATAACGGAAAATAGGATTTTCACAAAAACATCACTATTTTGATTCTAATTTAGTATGTTACAGTCCTTTTAACTAAAATAAAAATGTGCAACCTCCTTTCTGTAAAAGTTGCGGTGCAAAACTTATTTTGCAGGTTTTCTTATCTTACAATAAAACACCGTAGTTACTTCCCCCGCTTACCCATAACAAGGGTTGTTGACAAGCTAAATAGGAGAAATATGTGTCAAGTTGCTGATATCGTTATTACATACGAAGTAACTTAACTTTATTGTTGGACAGAATGCTTCTAGATATCACCACAGACAAGCAGGGAATAAGTACAGACCTCTCTCGGATACGGGCATTGGATAAATTTTACTTATTCCCTTTTTGTCTGTGATGTTATATGAGGTAAACGGGTTGTAATTATCGTCAGCCCAAAAAGACCACTGGCGATTGATTTAGTAAATATATACTAACCTCTAGTATTTGAACTGTAGAGAATCAGTCTTCTCACCTGTGGCAAAGGCGATCTATCCTCAGTCAAGGTGATGCCAGCAACAGGCACAATGTTGGGAGTGTAGGGTTGAGTATACTCAACACCTGGATGAGAGTTGGTAAAGTAGAGAGACACGTTTGTAACCAGCTGTTGAACACACGGAGCATCACCAGGGTAATACTTGTTGATGATCTTCTGGTGATTGGGCAGATGATAATTGTAGAACTGATACAACGCCAAAGTAACACCCATTAAGTTGTTAGCCCGCTCCTTAAAGGTCATAGGCTGAGTCATCGCGGTTGTTGCAAAATCAGGAATAGAGGCTATAGGCAATGAGTTCCCCGCAACTCGATTAATAAGACATGACAACCCAAAGCCTTGAACTGTAATCGTCGGGGCGTTGAATTTGTGGCCAAAAACCAACATGGATTCTTGTCCGAAGGTCGATTCGGTTATGACAAGGTCAAAATGTTCTTTTGAGTTTAAAAGACGTTTGATATTTTCGTGCTGGAATGTCTGCTCACAAATCTGATTTGTCATTTCCCAAACAGCACTGAAGCCTACCCCAAAAGTTGGTTGATCTTTTTGTGTAAGGTATATGAAAGTTTCGTAGGACCAATTTTCTGAAACAGAATAAAATCCTTTAGCATTGCTCGTTTGGAAATATACACTCACAAAAGTAGGCAAGCAGCTTGTTAATTTATGTTGGCTGAAAATGTATTGCTGTTATATTTCAAACAGTACAGTAGAATGATCAGATGATACATGGTATGTTTGTGTTAACTTTACTGTGTATACTACTGTAACAGGTGAGCCGTTGTGGAGCAAACTTTCAAAATCAACAGAGAATCAAAACAAAAGGGATGTTATTTTAACATTGTTTAGCTTCAAAGGTCAGGAACTATGTTTTTAGTTCAATTGAATCTTTATATATATTATATATAGTAAATTATGTGTCTGCCTGTCTTTGCATCACACAAAGTTTTATAGTATCAGTGTGGAATAATGTCAAAGTAGAAATAATTTAAAGCAATAAGACTTTTTAATGAACATTATTTAATTGATGTTGTCAGTATAAACTGTAAGGTTTAAAATGTGTTTAAACCTGAACTGCTATCAGTATAACTTAAGCTTTCTGGTTTTAGCAGAGTAAAGAAATCATGTTGGTGTAAGTCACATAGACAAACCAATGGTGACTTGTGATAAGATAACACAAGCTGTCAACCCAAAACCTGCAAAAGGAATCAAACCAAGGTTACTGATGTTCAATGTTTATTCCACTTGGGGCATTAATAGACTCCATTCATTATGGAAAACTATTCAATTCTCTAAAATATTTGTTCTGGATTAGACATTATTCCACGAGTTGATGTTACTGTACTGTTACATTCGGTCCACCTGGACATTAGAAAATACTGCAGAAGTTAAACATGTTCCTGATTTAACCTTATCCCAATTATTTGTATCAGTCAAAGGTACTTTGACTATGAGTAACAAGAAATATCAATTCAATGTTAAATTCATAACCAGTTTCAATAATATGAACATAATATAGTTAATTTGAGCCACCAACAATGCTGATGTAAATTATTATTGATTTCTGCCAAATATTTACCCAACCAAGCCAAGTTGAAAGTTAATTCACTATAAACTACAGCACTGTTAATGTCACATCAACTATCCCAGCAACAAACTAAGGGAGAAAATCCAATTCTATACTGCATTTTTTACTTTGTGAGTGTTAATGAAATTTTGAAAGTTAGATACAGGAAAACTCACCTGTAATAAATCTAATACAGCAGACTTTGATTGTAGCTTCAAGCATAGACAAAAGAATTAAATATGACTGTCAGCCGTGCTGCGGTTACCACGGTTACCATAGGTTCTGGCGCACACCGCTGGAAGCGGTTACCGCAGCACAGCTGACGGTCTATATTTAATTATTTTTGTCTATGCTTTAAGGCTAGAATCAAAGACAGCTGTATCCAATTTTGAACCATTAAAAAACTACTTGCAGCAACCATCTCGTTAGTAGGTAGGCCTACGGTACGCATTAAATGTGGACCTTAAGACGCTTCCCGGACATTATGAAATAGACTCACAATACAGAAGACTTGGAATATATGTCACCATACCCAATTGGCTACTTTGTATGACTCACTCAATATCTCCTCAAAGGCAGTGTGTATCTCCACATGGGTGTAGTTAGGTATTGGCTTGGCGGGGGGGAAGGGGCCGTACTCCACCACCTCATGGCCCCGCTCTGTCAGAGCTCTGATAATTGCGGAGGAGAAGATAAAGTGACTTTTGCCGGGGAATGGCAGCACTGCTAGGATACGAGCCCCAAACACTCCTGTTAGAGATGCCCATAGAACCACACAGCCCGTCAACCAATGCATCCTGGAAAAATTTGAATATATTTATTGAAACTGAACAACTATAAGTTAAATTTGGTCATCTTCATCAATAGGCTTCCACGGTCGTAATTTAATAATGGCCGACTGTAATGTGGCCGAAACATTGGAAATTTCTCTTCATGGTGGATAGCCAAATGACGGGGTCGTACCCCGAAGACCAAGATTGTGTTAATTTGGTCATCAATATCTTATTGAGGCACTTACTGTGTCTGTTAAGAGAAATATTATTGTTTTATATTCTGAAGGAATTTCAATGCAACAGACAAACTTATCACAAAAAAATGTTATTAGACAATGTTTATGTTTTTATTTAATTGTTTTAAGAGAGAGAAGAATGATGCTGCTTTCTAATTAAACTTAAACACTAAAACATTACTGTGTTGTAATCAATATTTAATTCAATAAGAAACATGACTAGAGAAATTATTAATTTCAACACAAAGAGATTTTTAAAGTACATAGGGAGTAAAAGTTAACTGTTCTAAACTCAGTTTTAAACTTCGATTGTAAGCAATCGCATGTATCTAAATTATAATTATATCGATTGATTTAATATCGGTTACGGTATATATTGTTTCATTTCATCAATAGTTTGAGACATATATAGTATAATTTACACTAGCACAATCTATAAGAGGAAATAATTAAATCAATTACTTAACAGTTGTTTGTTTGCAAAAGTAAAGTAAAGCAAAAAGTATTAAAGCATCAAAATTTAAAACAAGTTGGAAGGCGTTTTTAGAGGTCATCTTTACATGAAATAGTTATTTTCCTACAGTCACCCGAGAAAGTTGGCTTCCTTGTACTGTTTATAGTACAGAAAGCTGCTAATTGCTGCATATTTATACTTTGCCGTACGGTTTATACTTTGCCGTACGGTTTATACTTTGCCGCACATCAGGATTCCAACGAAACAACACAAAACAGCGCGGTTTTATTATGGACGTAATCCGTGTACACTTGGAAATAGGTTGGCAACACTTAAAGATAATAATACTATGAGCAGCTGATTGACTATTATAACTACGATTTAACCTGTCATTTCGTGTTTATAGTTTCGGTATTTCTAAACTTTCTGGACTTTCAGAATCAGTCTTCTCACCTGTGGCAAAGGCGATCTATCCTCAGTCAAGGTGATGCCAGCAACAGGCACAATGTTGGGAGTGTAGGGTTGAGTATACTCAACACCTGGATGAGAGTTGGTAAAGTAGAGAGACACGTTTGTAACCAGCTGTTGAACACACGGAGCATCACCAGGGTAATACTTGTTGATGATCTTCTGGTGATTGGGCAGATGATAATTGTAGAACTGATACAACGCCAAAGTAACACCCATTAAGTTGTTAGCCCGCTCCTTAAAGGTCATAGGCTGAGTCATCGCGGTTGTTGCAAAATCAGGAATAGAGGCTATAGGCAATGAGTTCCCCGCAACTCGATTAATAAGACATGACAACCCAAAGCCTTGAACTGTAATCGTCGGGGCGTTGAATTTGTGGCCAAAAACCAACATGGATTCTTGTCCGAAGGTCGATTCGGTTATGACAAGGTCAAAATGTTCTTTTGAGTTTAAAAGACGTTTGATATTTTCGTGCTGGAATGTCTGCTCACAAATCTGATTTGTCATTTCCCAAACAGCACTGAAGCCTACCCCAAAAGTTGGTTGATCTTTTTGTGTAAGGTATATGAAAGTTTCGTAGGACCAATTTTCTGAAACAGAATAAAATCCTTTAGCATTGCTCGTTTGGAAATATACACTCACAAAAGTAGGCAAGCAGCTTGTTAATTTATGTTGGCTGAAAATGTATTGCTGTTATATTTCAAACAGTACAGTAGAATGATCAGATGATACATGGTATGTTTGTGTTAACTTTACTGTGTATACTACTGTAACAGGTGAGCCGTTGTGGAGCAAACTTTCAAAATCAACAGAGAATCAAAACAAAAGGGATGTTATTTTAACATTGTTTAGCTTCAAAGGTCAGGAACTATGTTTTTAGTTCAATTGAATCTTTATATATATTATATATAGTAAATTATGTGTCTGCCTGTCTTTGCATCACACAAAGTTTTATAGTATCAGTGTGGAATAATGTCAAAGTAGAAATAATTTAAAGCAATAAGACTTTTTAATGAACATTATTTAATTGATGTTGTCAGTATAAACTGTAAGGTTTAAAATGTGTTTAAACCTGAACTGCTATCAGTATAACTTAAGCTTTCTGGTTTTAGCAGAGTAAAGAAATCATGTTGGTGTAAGTCACATAGACAAACCAATGGTGACTTGTGATAAGATAACACAAGCTGTCAACCCAAAACCTGCAAAAGGAATCAAACCAAGGTTACTGATGTTCAATGTTTATTCCACTTGGGGCATTAATAGACTCCATTCATTATGGAAAACTATTCAATTCTCTAAAATATTTGTTCTGGATTAGACATTATTCCACGAGTTGATGTTACTGTACTGTTACATTCGGTCCACCTGGACATTAGAAAATACTGCAGAAGTTAAACATGTTCCTGATTTAACCTTATCCCAATTATTTGTATCAGTCAAAGGTACTTTGACTATGAGTAACAAGAAATATCAATTCAATGTTAAATTCATAACCAGTTTCAATAATATGAACATAATATAGTTAATTTGAGCCACCAACAATGCTGATGTAAATTATTATTGATTTCTGCCAAATATTTACCCAACCAAGCCAAGTTGAAAGTTAATTCACTATAAACTACAGCACTGTTAATGTCACATCAACTATCCCAGCAACAAACTAAGGGAGAAAATCCAATTCTATACTGCATTTTTTACTTTGTGAGTGTTAATGAAATTTTGAAAGTTAGATACAGGAAAACTCACCTGTAATAAATCTAATACAGCAGACTTTGATTGTAGCTTCAAGCATAGACAAAAGAATTAAATATGACTGTCAGCCGTGCTGCGGTTACCACGGTTACCATAGGTTCTGGCGCACACCGCTGGAAGCGGTTACCGCAGCACAGCTGACGGTCTATATTTAATTATTTTTGTCTATGCTTTAAGGCTAGAATCAAAGACAGCTGTATCCAATTTTGAACCATTAAAAAACTACTTGCAGCAACCATCTCGTTAGTAGGTAGGCCTACGGTACGCATTAAATGTGGACCTTAAGACGCTTCCCGGACATTATGAAATAGACTCACAATACAGAAGACTTGGAATATATGTCACCATACCCAATTGGCTACTTTGTATGACTCACTCAATATCTCCTCAAAGGCAGTGTGTATCTCCACATGGGTGTAGTTAGGTATTGGCTTGGCGGGGGGGAAGGGGCCGTACTCCACCACCTCATGGCCCCGCTCTGTCAGAGCTCTGATAATTGCGGAGGAGAAGATAAAGTGACTTTTGCCGGGGAATGGCAGCACTGCTAGGATACGAGCCCCAAACACTCCTGTTAGAGATGCCCATAGAACCACACAGCCCGTCAACCAATGCATCCTGGAAAAATTTGAATATATTTATTGAAACTGAACAACTATAAGTTAAATTTGGTCATCTTCATCAATAGGCTTCCACGGTCGTAATTTAATAATGGCCGACTGTAATGTGGCCGAAACATTGGAAATTTCTCTTCATGGTGGATAGCCAAATGACGGGGTCGTACCCCGAAGACCAAGATTGTGTTAATTTGGTCATCAATATCTTATTGAGGCACTTACTGTGTCTGTTAAGAGAAATATTATTGTTTTATATTCTGAAGGAATTTCAATGCAACAGACAAACTTATCACAAAAAAATGTTATTAGACAATGTTTATGTTTTTATTTAATTGTTTTAAGAGAGAGAAGAATGATGCTGCTTTCTAATTAAACTTAAACACTAAAACATTACTGTGTTGTAATCAATATTTAATTCAATAAGAAACATGACTAGAGAAATTATTAATTTCAACACAAAGAGATTTTTAAAGTACATAGGGAGTAAAAGTTAACTGTTCTAAACTCAGTTTTAAACTTCGATTGTAAGCAATCGCATGTATCTAAATTATAATTATATCGATTGATTTAATATCGGTTACGGTATATATTGTTTCATTTCATCAATAGTTTGAGACATATATAGTATAATTTACACTAGCACAATCTATAAGAGGAAATAATTAAATCAATTACTTAACAGTTGTTTGTTTGCAAAAGTAAAGTAAAGCAAAAAGTATTAAAGCATCAAAATTTAAAACAAGTTGGAAGGCGTTTTTAGAGGTCATCTTTACATGAAATAGTTATTTTCCTACAGTCACCCGAGAAAGTTGGCTTCCTTGTACTGTTTATAGTACAGAAAGCTGCTAATTGCTGCATATTTATACTTTGCCGTACGGTTTATACTTTGCCGTACGGTTTATACTTTGCCGCACATCAGGATTCCAACGAAACAACACAAAACAGCGCGGTTTTATTATGGACGTAATCCGTGTACACTTGGAAATAGGTTGGCAACACTTAAAGATAATAATACTATGAGCAGCTGATTGACTATTATAACTACGATTTAACCTGTCATTTCGTGTTTATAGTTTCGGTATTTCTAAACTTTCTGGACTTTACTTTTAAACGTTTTTAAAACATTCCTACGATCTTAATAAACAAGAAAATACCTTTATAGCATTTTTTTTAGGCGTGGAAACCACTTCAAATTACAAAAACATACGGAACTATATTCTCAAAACGCGGAGCATATTTCTTGCCGAGGAAAAATAGCGGAGTGATACGGACCGCGGGTACTACTTTCTCTAGGGCACCATTTGTGTTGCCAGCTGAACCTAAAACCGTGTTGTATAGTGTTTGAAAGACTAATTATTTATATGCTTTATAGTGACTGTAGGAAAAATATAATGTGTAACACGAGTGAAAAAGGCCTTTGCTGCACTCGAGATCATTCCTCGTGTGCAGCAAAGTGCCACTTTCACCACTAGTTACACAAATAACTATTGTGTAACTAGTGGGGGAAGTGGCACTTTGCTGCACACGAGAGAAATGTTTACGAACGAGGTGTAGGGGAGTGTGGAAAGTTTCTCGAGTGCAGAAAAGGCAGTTTGCACTCGTGTTACACATTAAATTTTCCTGCAGTGACAGTAGGTACTATAAAGCATATAAATAATCAGAGTCTTACAACACTGTACAACACGTTTTTAAGTTTGGTTAAATCCAAACATTGAACAAAATGGTATATGCTGCACCAGCTGATCGTATAATATCTTTTTCCTACAGTCACCCGATGAAGTTGGCTTCCTTGTACTGTTTATAGTACAGAAAGCTGCTAATCGCTGCATATTTATACTTTGCCGTACGGTTTATACTTTGCCGCACATCAGGATTCCAACGAAACAACACAAAACAGCGTGGTTCTATTATGCACGTAATTTGTGTACGCTTGGAAATAGGTTGGCAGCACTTAAAGATAATAATACTATGAGCAGCTGATTGACTATTATAACTACGATTTAACCTGTCATTTCGTGTTTATAGTTTCGGTATTTCTGAACTTTCTGGACTTTTCTTTTAAACGTTTTTAAAACATTCCTACGATCTTAATAAACAAGAAAATACCTTTAAAGCATTTTTTTTAGGCGCGGAAACCACTTCAAATTACAAAAACATACGGAACTATATTCTCAAAACGCGGAGCACATTTCTTGCCGAGGAAAAATAGCGGAGTGATACGGACCGCGGGTACTACTTTCTCTAGGGCACCTATTTGTGTTGCCAGCTGAACCTAAAAACGTGTTGTATAGTGTTTAAAAGACTAATTATGTATATGCTTTATAGTGACTGTAGGAAAAATATAATGTGTAACACGAGTGAAAAGGGCCTTTGCTGCCCTCGAGATCATTCCTAAACATTGCTCTCGTGTGCAGCAAAGTGCCACTTTCACCACTAGTTACACAAATAACTATTTTATGTATTCCCAACTTATTTTCAAGCGTACGTGTATTACGTTCCTAATAAATCACACTGTTTTGTGTTGTTTGGTTGGAATACTGGTGTGCGGCAAAAGTAAAAATTGTGCGGCAAAAGTAAGTGGATGCAGCAATTAGCGACTTTCTGTGCTATAATCAGTGCCACACTACACTATTTCGGCTAGCTTCCCATGCAAGGATTTAGTCCAGAAAACAGCTGTTTGCCGTCAGCTTATTCAAATGGGGTTTCATTGCGTACTGTAATGAGTTTTACCGGACACCAATCAGCTGATTATACTGTTTTTGGGTGGCAATGAGTGGATATAACAAAACATATAGTGATTTTTTGTCGTTTAGTTGGTGGTAATATATAAGGATTTCTGGATTTGAACGGATTTAGTAGTATGGCGTAAACTATCGTACGTCACTTGTCCAAAATGTGTTTACCGGACTCGTATGATAACTATGATATAACGTATGATACTCGACTTCGTCTCGCACAAGAACGACCACACTCGTCTGGTAAACACTTATTTTCAGGACTAGTAACGTAATATACTATTTTGTTTTCTAACTTAGTTTGTTAAATCAGTATTGTTGTGCAACATGAAAAAAATATAGTTCATCACACTGGCAAAAGTATCTGTTAAACCCTCGCTCATTTTCCGTGAATCACTTTATGTCCTAGTGATGATATACTAGTTAAATTCTTTACAGGCAAAAGAAATATGAGAATGAGTAGTCCAAAAGGTAGTGGTATGAAATACACCCAAAGAACCAAATCATGAACAAAATAATTGCAATCATATAAAACCTTCCATACTGATAGAAGTAACGCCTCATGACATTTTATAATAAAAATGGACAACAAAAAACTTCAAACTTATATAAAACAGTTAACTTCCACTTTTAAATCAATGTGTAGTTTAAAAACCCTCCAACTATATCAATGAACAATTATTTGCTTTTTACAAATTAAAATTATTTAAAATTGTGCATTAAAACAATGAAATTAACCCTAAACCAATTAAATTGTAAAAATAAAAACTCCTAAAATTAAGAAAAACTGATACCGGTAACTCTAAAAGAGGCAGTTGTTGTTTTTGTTAGGTTTATCAGCAAGTTTCGTTAGATAACAGTCAGATATAGACTTTAATGGTACATAACAGTAAACACAAAAAGGTATTTAATACTCAAGCAAAATGTGAAATGGAATATTACGAATTCAAATAACATGTAGGACCGGACTGTACTTTACTTTACTTTAGACTCCAAAATTCAAAGTTCAAAATTCAACCACTTTTTGGTTGGTGTTTTAAATACTTATTTCTCAGGTTCTTGTTTTAATTTAGGTTTTATAGGTTAACTACTACTTTACCATAATTCCACAAGTTTAACATTTTTTCAATATAAATATTACTGTATAGTTTGAATTAATCTCTGGCTCCAAACTTAATTATTATTTCTCAAGTCAGTATTATTTGTATACTTGTCTACATCATATACTTACTTTACTACAACTAAAACTTTCCTTTGCTTTACTACTATTAAACCTTGTATGAATTACTCACTTAGATTATTGTTTTCAATTAACTTGAAACATTCAATGCACTCACTCACTACACTATGATCTGTTACCTAACCTCGCATGCAATAAACCGGTCCTCTAGCTTGGTGTTGTACAAGTCACTCTCAGACTAACCTCTAACTCATTCTAAATCACCCAATCTCTCTATCTCTCTCTTTCTTCAAGGTCTCTCTTTGAGTTACCCCTCTCCTTCCATCATCCTAATATGTAATTATATCATTCCAACTCTATCATATCTTCTCTGTCTTTTTATCTCGCTCTGTTATGTAAGAGGAATTATCAAGTTTTGTTTTGTTTGGATTGTTAAAAATAACTGAATAGTTTTAATGGTTACAGTTTTAAAGTGTGGTAAAAAGTAAGTTTGATTTGTTTGGATATTGTTTTTTTTTCCTAGACAATTTAGAACCTTTTTTTCTTGTTTAGCAAATTTCCCATGAGGTCTCATATAGTAAGGCCTGGATTTGGGACAAATTTACTTTTTCATTATAATGTCCCCATGACGCTAAAAACACCATCCGTTCAAATTCACATAAATATATTCATGTGAGTGAGTCCGTTAGCACAATAACCAAAGCAAAAACCTGATTTCGATGAAATTTGGTCCAAATTTTGCATGCGAACGGGCTTTTAGGGTACAATTTTTTTCTCATATTTGACCTAAAAAAATATAAAATTTCTAAATTCTTTTTCAAGCTATTTTAAGACCCTTAATAACAAATATTTTTGTATATTAAGTGTTTTTGTACAATTAATGGTTTTAAAAAAATAAAAATTTTAAATATCCCATGTTACTCTTATGGATAATAAATTAACTTTTTTAATTTGCTTATTTGTAGATATATGTAGATCATACTTGGCAAATGTAATTATTTTATACTAAGCTATTTATACTTTACTAAATTACAAACGTCATTACCCTCCTTGTAGCAGCAAGTATATTTACTTAATTCGCTAAAACTAATGTTTTTAAATCAGATTTAAGTTTTATAATATAATAAAACTTGCTTATAATTATAAATTATAATATAACTTGTAATATAAATTACATTTTAATATAACTTGCTGCAGCAGGGGTGATTTAATTTACTTCAGGATAAAAATTATAACCACTCTAGTCCTTTTCAAATTAGCATGATTGCAAAACCTTTTGAACCAATTTAAATTTTCTCAACAAAAATATGAAACTGTTTACTGAAACCCACATTTTGTCATATCAAAGATTACATATGCTATGCAAATTTTGCGTAGCATATGTAATCTTTGGTCATATGAAAACTTTTGCAAATAATTTCAATTGTGAAAGCAGTATCCACCCAAAGTGCTTAGAAATTATTGTTAAAATAAAATAGATCTACTTGTTAATATTAATATTAACTGGGAAAACCAACACGTTTCATTGCCTTTAATTCCTTTTGGAAGTTTTTTTTTTTTTATTTGTTTGGAGAGTAATCTACAATGACCATTAGTCTAGTATTGCAAATTAATCTTTTTAATTATTATTCTTTAGCAGAATAGTTGCTGCATGTTTAAGTTTGTTCAGTTCATGCATGTTAGCACACCTAAATAAATATATGTGTTTCAAGCTCAATGCTTACCATCAAATTAAATGCTGAGGTCATTCCTATTATTCAGAATGAGTCTTGTTTGTTGAAATGACTTGCTAAAAGAAACAACCAAACATTAGATAATGAGTCTAAAGTCAGTTATTTGCCAGTTTGCTTCTGATAATACTTATATTTACAAACTATTGCTTGGGGAGCAGGATTAGTTGGAACAGAGGGTTGTAATTCACTTAACGACTTAACATTAAGATTTTTATTGTAAATGCTTATTTGTTTTTATTATTTTTTTATTGGAATTTTTCCATAAAAAACCATAAATAGAATAACTGAAAAATAGGATTTTCAAAAAACCGCTTGAATGATATTGATTAAAATTTTCTATGTGTTATATTTCTGTCAACTCTAAACAATATGAAAGACTTACTTGCAATATGACTTACTTTGCAATATGACTTTACTTTTTAATATGAATACAACCCTAATTGCTGTAAAAACTGTGGTTAAAACTTTATTGCACTTTTGCAATTTTTTCATAAATCATAGTTACTCCCACCCGCTAATAGTAGGAAGTATGAGTCAGATTGGTTATACTAAATATTTAAGATGCTTATACTTATATTAAACTAGCTGGCCCGACAGACGCCGTCCTATCCTATGTGGTTTTATGTTAAATGCTTGTTCATTTTCAAGATGAGCTCGTTTGCATGGCTCAATCACGTCCTAGTCGAAGTTCGTTCGCTACGCTAACTCACCTTTTGGTTGCGAATTAGCAATTGTCATAAATTAAAAAAAATAATAGTGCTGCACCCTGTTGGTAAACCTATTAACTTTTTAATGCTATTGAACACAGCGAACACATAACATTATTATGTCCTCTCTGTATTGAACATCACAGAATCAAATTGTTTTGTTGAACCAGCTGTTAAGATTCTTTAATTCCATTTAAATATGAGTACTCATAAGGTTAACATTGGAAACTCCAGAGCCACTGGGGCGGAGCCCTTTTGCCTTTTTGATCTGCCCCAAACTTCACACAAACCATCCTTGAATAATGCAGTTTCGGAGTCGGCAAAAGTGTCACAAAATGTACAAACAACCTCACAACAACACACATCAGTATCTCACTTTACTGAAACCATAGGATCGACCATGTGGGTGCTCAAGTCACCTTGCCATGCCGTGCCGTATGCATCTCAAATCTCCATCGGGCACGGCAAGGCGAGGCAAAGACGTCTCGCTTCGCCTTGCCGTGCCGTTCTGTATCAGGTGTGCAGCCGGCCTTGGACTGACTAAAGTATTGTGCGTCAAGAGGACCCAAAGAGTTGTATCGCTATTTGTTAATTAATTTTGTGAATTAGCCTATTACTTAAAAATGTTAATTTTGAATGGCCCAATAAAATTTTGATTTGATTTTGAATAAAAGTTCTATAAGTTAATAGTATTACCAAATCGTTCGGCCGGCCGCACACCTGATACAGCACGGCACGGCAAGGCCAGGCGAGACGTCGTCTTTGCCTAGCCTTGCCGTGCCCGATGGAGATTTGAGATGCATACGCACGGCACGGCACGGCAAGGCGACTTGAGCACCCACATGGTCGATCCCATGGTTTCAGTAAAATGAGATACTGTGTGTTGTGAGGTTGTTTGTACATTTTGTGACACTTTGTACTACACATTTTGTGAGAATTGATGCAGAAAGCGAAGAAGAGGCTGCTGCCATAGCGGCTATATGGTACCGTACCTCATGAATGTAATGGATGATCTCCCTAACAGAGAATCGTGGGTGCATCCCATCAACCAAAAAAGGAACTTGAAACCATTCATTGCAGAACTAAGAGCAGATCCGGAAAAATTTCATAATTGAGTGAAAATTTAAAAACGTACGTTTTCAGGAAAAGCACTTTGCAAATTTTTTTCCCCTTTTTTCAAAACTTTTATTATTATTTTTATTTCATTAACATTTGAAGTTTCATAAAATGTCCATGGTAACGCAATATCTTTGGTATTTTTTTAAAAAAAGAGCATCTTTAGTGGAAAAACACAAAATCCTGTCACGACCATAACAGACGTTTAAATGAATGTTAAAAATAGTTAATATTATTTTTATAAGTATGTTTTGCTATAAACTAATTTACTTTTATGACCATTATACAATAAAAAGGTCACTGAGCTTTTGATATATTTGGTCTTTCTAGAAAAAAATAAAAAATAATACCCCCGCCGCAGCAAACCTGCAGACTTAGCGAATTTCCATTTGCCTGATTGGATTTAAACTAAAATGTCTCCTTAAATATATCACATTTATTCCCTATTTAAACAGAATTAGTTTAATGAGTACTTAGGTTTGCTGCAACAGGGAGGGTAAAAAAGTTTTTTTGTATGTAAAATGTTAAAAGGTACTGTGGTTTAGTAAGAAATTAATGTGTTTTCCAAATTTGATCAAAATATGTTCATAAACAAGCAAACTACAACAGTTGACTTATTCTCCATAAGAATAACATGGGAATTTTAAAATTACAATTTTTTTGAATTTTCTTTGTAACAATTAGGTGCATAACAATGCTTCAATATACTAAATTATTTGTTTTTTTAAGCTCTACAAAATGGTTTAAGAAGAAATTGTGAAATTTTGTGTTTTTAGGGTCAAAAATGGGAAAAACCTATTTTCACCCCATAAAACCCCCCATAAACCCCCGTTCCCATAGTCCGATCATGCTGGTTCGCGAACTCATTCAAGTTTATCCCGCCTTACACCTTCAAACCAAATTTTATCAAAATCGGACAAAAATTACTCAAGTTATCGTGCGGATGGACACATATATATATATATATATATATATCTCTATATATACCTAGATATATAAAAATTTGAACGAATGGTGTTTTTGGCCTCTGGGGACATCAAAATGAAAAAGTAAATCGGTCCCGGGCTTAGGTCTTACCATGAGACCTACGGTAATAATGGTAATAGCTACTTCCCTATAGGGAAATTCGCTAAAAACTCAAAAAATTGAAAAAAGCCAATAAAATATTTTTAAGTTTGTATAACTCCAAAAAAACTTACCTGAGACCCGAAAAATCGTTATGTTTGTATAGAGGTGTGCTTCTTTTGTGTATAAAACATTAAAATATGACGATATTTTAATTTTTGAAATTTTTATGATAGAACTCATAAACGTGATGGTCAGGGACAAGCGGTAGGCTACGTTCGTGAATTTTCTGAAATAATCTAAATCTTTCTAAACAATCCTTCAATTATACTGTTAGTTATAATAAAAATAAGTGTTTCAATTTAACTAAACTGTTTAAATTACAATTATATTAAGGTTATTGTCACGACCAAACACACTATAATCCATAAGGCTGGATTGGTCGTGAAAAAACCCGCGATGGTCGTGAAACTTTGGTCGTGAAATTACGTGTTATTTGGCTCTGTTCTGGTGGTAGCCCTGCACCTCATGTTCGAGGATACAAAGTGAACTTCTAGGTTAATCTAGCAATTGAAATATCTTATAAACAAAAATTGACACCATGTCTACTTCATCGAATGACTACGTACGGTCATGGACACACCAAAATTACAAAAAACACAATTTTCCCTTTATTAATCTTGTAATTCCTCCTTTCAACTCGAAACGACCGGCACCACAATCCTGACGTACACCCCGAACTAGTCTCTAAAACCAATTGACTCCATCGACGCCAGGCTTGCCACTGTCGTGCTCCAAAGTTGAAAATTTTACCCAAATGGTCGTGACGCCTAATCGAGGGACAGACTTATTTTGTCATGGTAGTCAGTCTGCAATGATTGCCTCGGCAAAAACCTCAAACAAACAAACCCAACAAGCAATGACAATAAAATTATAATATGCTCCTTTTTTGTAAGTTTAATAACCATTGATGACATAAAAATATGGCTTTATATATTTCGGCATGAATAATTAGTCTAAAAACAGCGTGAAAGTTGGAAAATGTACCCTACTGACACGTCATGGTCGTGAGATTCGAGACTTTAAAAATACGAAAAAAATACCTAGAACCTATTTAAAACCAAATAAATGTGTGTAACATGTTGCCCCCGTCCCAAAAAATATTAAAACACATAATAATAAACTAAAAATCCAGTATCTACGAAGTAAAAGGCCAGGGACATGAAAACGTACGTTTTTAAATTTTCACTCAATTACTAATCGTTGGAAGTGCACACTGATTTTGACAGGGGCTGTCATTGCGCTGAACGTGGTGTCGATCTTCGCGCATGCGCACATCGTTTTGCCTCAAGCCTTTTGCCCGAAAGACGAAAATTGAAAAGGCAGTACAAAACAAAGCGCTGTGCGGCACAGCTGCTTTGCCTTGCCTTGCCGTGCCCGATGATGTTTGCGGCACCCCCATTTCAAATAATAGAAACCTAGTCGCATAAGGTGCCTTAAGGCAAAAAATTCGTTTTAAAAATTGGTTATATACATAGATGCTACTATACATACTAGTATTATTGATTTATTAAACAATTGACAGGTTTGGTTGGCTAAACTGTTGAACATCTGTTTTTGTTTGTTCAAGCCATTTGCTCTTCAACTCTGAAAGTATGAACTCAAACTGTCAAGAACAAGAAGAAGAATAAAGCCAATGTCGCTTGGTCTACTACAACACTAATCTGTCAAATGAATCTGTTGTTTTTAGTTTATTTTCCAGTCTAAACAGTATCTAAATTTATCTTAATCATTATAATAGTGTCTCGAATATATTGGGCTGAAAACTGTAACAGGTAATTAATATAACATTGGAAAGTGAACATATATTTTTATTTCTATGTCAGTTTTTCAAGAGTGTTAGTGCAAAATGAAGCAAATCAATGCAAAACAAAAATTAGGCTAGACCTTAGGCTATATCTTTTTCATCCAGCGCAGAATTTTTAAATTCAACTAAGTTGTACCTATGTTTGTTTAACTACTGAATCAAGTAGGCAATATTTTAATTTACGTTTCTGCTGAAACCAAGTTAGGTCGAGGCCTAAATAAATATTTTGTAGTTTAATCCAGTACTAAGATAACCTAATTACGTCCAATCTAGGATGGTTATCATTCATTTGACCCTTTCTGAAATAATAAGGTAACAGCCTAAAATAATATGAAATTATAACTGAGCCCACCCTAACTTACTTGACCAAGTTACACGCCTATGCTCGAGCTCTTTCTCCGAGCACGGGCTTTCTTAAGTCCGATACTTGTAGGGGCTGCACTTTACTTTAGGTCCTACACTCATTCGAATGAATATATCGATCGATATATCGATTAATCGATTGTTTCATTCGATATATCGTTTGGTTAGTTAGGTAAGGTTAACCTAACCTAACTAACCAAACGATATATCGAATGAAACAATAGAATAATCGATATTTTCATTCGAATGAGTGTAGGACCTAAAGTTAAGTGCAGCCCTTGTAGGCTATATTTTGTTGAGCAGAGGATAAGTAGTTACTGGATTACTCGTCCGTCAGTGACGTCACCGGGTTGTGGGGGCCCGGAGCCATTACCACAACGATACGAAGTACAGCCATCAGTGTTCGTGTAATGGATAGAGTACTTGGCTGATGTATGAGGTATCTAGATCGAATCCCCTCGGTAACACTAACTTTTTGTCAAAGATTTTGCTTAGAAAGCCATTTCTTCTTAACTGTAGGGCCTACATCTTTTGTTAGAATTTGAAGCATTTATAATTTTATTTTACAGTAGGCCTATGAACAGAATTTTACCTTCATTCAATGTTTTCATTAGCCTATCAGCAAGTTTGGTTAGGTAGGTTTAAAGGTTATGACAGTAACTGCCGGACGCCTAATCCACGCCCGGTTACCGGACGCGTGTTGTATCCTCTGCCTATTTTTTATGTTAAAACAAAATAAGTTAATTATTTGAATTTAAGAAACAACCCTACAGGCTACATGTAATCCCAAGGTCTAGTCTACTGGCTACATGGTGCTTATTTTGTAGCTTAGTGTAATAAACTGGCCGCCTATGGTGTTGTTCTATCATGTATTTTTATAACTAGCCTATGCCAAGTAACTTACATAGGGGTTTATTGATTTAATGTACACTTGTAATGGTTTAGGCTACATGTTTTTAGCGATTTCCCAAATTTATATATATATATATATATACCTACAGTGGCGGATCCAGAGGGGCGAATGGTGCGACCGCCCCCCCCCCCCCCTCGGGCATACTGGCATACATAGGCCTACATATAGTGATGTAAAATACCCGGGTATTTAAAACTCGGGGTAAATACCCTGGGTATTTACCCGGGTAAATACCCAAAATCCAGAAATACCCGGGTATTTTGGGTATTTATGAAATTGATTGAAATTCATTTATATTTACCCCTAAATATGTTATTGTTATTATTACATGATAAATTAGGATAGTCTATAACACCTTTTACAGTAACTTTAAGCTTTGCTAGTACCTTTTATTTAATGATTTATCACTTTTTTTTAATATTACATTTAAAGTTTCTAAATAAGCATTTAGGCCCCTATTACACGAGGTAGCCTGGCGACGTCGCCAGCGGCAGTAGCTGGCGACGCACTGGCCACCAAACCTATAACCAGTTGAGTAGCCAGAATTTTACCGCCGTGGCGCCGTTGTTTGAGTGCTTGTCTTGCACTTGTACTTGTTAAGAGCGGTGTTTACAGTGAATAATGAGTGATTATAAGTATCTTCTCCTTCTGTTACTTCTGAAGAAAAGGAGGCAAAGGAAGAGAAAAATGTACGTTCATCCAATGCTTAGTGCAAGAGAATCAAAAGGGTTATATTACACCCTTTTTGATGAGCTCTGTGCGGACAATAAAAAATGTTTCAATTATTTTCGTATGTCACAATCCAGTTTCTTCGAGTCATAAAGGATGATATAGACATTTTATCAACTGAAGTGAACAATTCACACACTCACAACACAACAGAACGCAACACAACAGTGTGCAAGTACCCCCGTGATATGAACTAACCGAGTGGCGACCGTGGCGACGTGATACTGGCGACCTAGTGTAATAAGCTCCATATGCTACAACGCAGCGTCGCCAATATGGGTAGCCAGTGGCTACCACAGTGGCGACGGGGCTCGGTAGCCAGTCGGTCGCCAAAGTGTGGCTGCGTCGCTGGCTACCCTCGTGTAATAACATCCATAAGAATCAATGCCCCATGACAAGCTGAGTAGCCAGTTTGGTCGCTGGCGACGTCGCCAGGCTACCTCGTGTAATAGGGGCCTTAGTTTTGTGTCTTAAATCGAGTAACATCAGTTAAATTTTTAAAACTTGCTAAAAGATAGTATATTAAAAAAGGCTGTGACTATTTCAATTGTTATCATTTTATAAATTTATAACCAATTAAATAACATTTAAACAAAATTATTTTAATTTATAAATATCCAGGAATTGTTGGGTACCTATTTATGATGCAATAAAAACAGTTGAACTTGCCATGAATAGTTTTATTAACAATACATTATTGCGTAGGCCTATAACATTTTAGAATACTCCAAATTCCTAAGGCCTGATTGACATAGGCAGAATACTAAAAGTAATTATAATTACACTTTTCTGTGTTACCGCTTGGTTGGAAACAATAATATATTTGGATAAACCTACTAAAAAAATGTATCTCCTGTTTTTTGGCCTAACTTAATATAATTTTGAAAGATTTATTGTGCTACAGATTCAAATGTTTTGTATCACAAGTTTATGAAATTAGTTTTTTTTAATTTTGATACCATTGATACTAACAAAAGATCTGGAACAAAAATATGATTAAATCCTGCCATACTACTGATTGATTTTTAATTATTTTCTTCTTAAAAGTTGTTAACACATAGGCCACTACTAGGTTACATTTTCCTGTCTTTCTAAATAATAATTAATACTTTACAAATTATTTTTCTTCGCTTTCAATAAAATAAATTCATCTCTCTATCATAGAAATTAAAAAATCATAAGTAGTCAGGGCCAGTGCAACCATGCGACCAGGGTATTTATGCCGATTATGCTTTATGCTGAGACCTGGGTATTTATGGCGATAATACCCATAAGTAAAATGCTAGTAGTGACCATATGAAATGTTGTTTAACACATTTTATTATCATTTTACTATCCTTACAGGGTAATAATTGCAAAAAAACATCTCAATCTTTTCTAACTTTAATACAAATTATAAATACCCAGTTTTTGGGTATTTACCCGGGCCTAGGGTAAATACCCGATTTATATTTACCTACCCACTGGGTATTTACCCGGCCCACATCACTACCTACATATATTTTTTTACTGCATGTAATACAGTAGTGCATACAAATTGCTTAAAAATAATTTGTTACACTAACTTTGGACAAAGAATTGGTATAAAACTGCCATTTTGGAGACTAAGTTTACACAAATTTCCGGGTGTGCACACCCCCGGACCCCCTAGTTCGCCCCCCCCCCCCCTTGTGGCTGTTCTAGGTCCGCCACTGTATATATATATTATAACTTATATATTTTTTATTTAGCCTATTTATTTATATATATATATATATAGGCTAGGGCCTAAACTTAGGTCTTGCTTCCACTAGTAGGCCTACGATACCTCGAGCAAAATTCATCAAATTTTGATCAAACTTTCTACAAACATGTTTAAACCCACATTTTGAGCTGTAACCATTTTGACCAACAAAACCCTCACTTTTTTACGTCCCATCTTCACGTCCTAGGACGCTAATTCTATTCTTGAACTGTTTTACATATTACTTCAGGCCTAGAGGTTGTAACATTACCACATACATAAAATCCATTGGTGATTGGCGGGATTCAAACCTATTTGAATAGTCTATCAACTATCCAGAACATACCTGCTGATAGGTCAAATGAGTCATTAGCAATGTCTAGGCTTACTAAATTTTTATCCTTTTTGCCTGTTTTCTTCTTGTTTTTTTGTCCTGAATCTCCTTTGTCATTGCATACAAAATTATCACGTCTTTCAGCACTTCAACACTCCATGGCATTCTAGGTGCGGGTTGGTTTCTACTACCATTTTTTTGTGTTCTTATCCCACAAAATGGCTGTGTTTACGGACTTCATTAATGTAGCTAAATCGTTCACAGGTTAAATGAACGGGGTGTGTGAATCGACCAAGTTTGAAAGTTCGCCAGAATATGACAGAATGGATATCAGCGAGACCTCCGAAGTGTCATCTCCTGGCGAGCAACCACTGACCCTGGACAATCAGACGAGCTATGCACAGGTAGCCTAACAATGATCAACAAGTCAGTAGGCTATTCAGTCATATCATAATGTGTGTAGGCCTACCATGAAAAAAGTGCAGAATTAGAGTAGGCTAACAAAAACTAGGCTACCCAAAATGAACCAATTGTCAAATTGTAATTTTCAAGATATGGGTCGAGATAATTTTATGGGAATTCCAAAATTATATTCAATGTTAAATTCCATATAGTTTCTATAAAATAGGTGGTCTACTGTAAACAACCAGTCAGTCAGATTTTTGCTACTAAATCTAATTTTTGTGAAATATTTTGTTATGCTAATACTGACAGAGGCCCTACCCTTTGTATCACTTGAAGGTCACTTTATTAGCTTCTCTTAGTGGATCAAGGAACGTAAAAGGGTGAATATCAAATTGTAAGAGAAAAATTATGTCCCAGCAAAAAAAAAATTAAACTATAAATAAAAAAAATTTTAACACGTAGAGTGCGGCCGTTCCCGATCGGGTACGGCGCTTGGCCCCCGTACGGTGCGTCCGTACCCCATCGGGAACGCTCGGTAATGCCTTTTGTATATCTTCGTTTTTGCTCTAGCGTCGGCCGAAAGCGGACCTATACGACGTTAGCGTGTAGTATGTGACTTGCATTTTGTTGTGGTGTAGGTTGGTAGTAAATTTCCCCGTAAAATTCCCGTCTGGCAATCTCAAAAGTCTTCTTTTTGTCCCGTCTTTTTCCCTCCATTTGGCAATACAATTCCAATGGGACCGGCTACGTTCCAAGCAGTGCTGCTATCTGTGGGTGTTTAGCGAACTACATCGACTCTCGTTGTAAAGCAGGACATCCCCTCACGTTATTTGCTATTCGTCAGACCAAAATTGAAAAGGCCAATCACACGCGGCAATCGGGTTTACTCGACGCTGAGGGCTGCGCCGCACTGGGGATACGCCCGCTATTTGACGTGCCGCAGCGAACGTGTTAAACTTATTTTTATTTAACTGTTATATGATAAATAACATAATTAGGCTAATACAATTTATGAATGGATTTATCATATATTAATATTTAAAACAATATTTGAAAGCCCTTTGGTCAGGTCGCTAACTGTCCCCAAGACATCATAGAGGAACTGAAGCAGTTTATGAAATTTAAAAAAATAAAAATAAATAAACTTTTATGTTAATTGTTCTGTGTCTTTATTAACCCCTATTAAGTGTTTTACAACTAAATGATCACTTTAAAACAAAATTTTAGCATGTAAACGTAAGTCCCCCCGTAAAACGCCAAGTATGAATGGCAATTTGAATTTGCCACCATAATCACCGCTAGCGCTCCTAGACTCCCGCCGGAGCCATCAGTGTCGCCATGACAGATGGATAGAGTGGACCATACAGTGTTTGTCCGGAATTTATTTTTGATTTAATTGCCAAATAATATTGATTGAGCTAAGTGTTGTTGTTATGTTTATTTTCTGTCACGTCGCTAACGTCTATAAACTTATTATTTATGCTAATACAAATTATTTTATCAATGAATATCATAGTTTTTGTGGAGCACTGTTGTCACAACGACCCTTTACCACCATTTTACCAGTTCGCTGACGTTTTTCCTCTTAATAAACGTTTAACTCAGGTCGCTGACGTTATTGACCTGATGTTATATCTGATTATTCTTTGTTTCATCGCAGATCCAGTAGAATTAGATGTAATGAGTCTGTAATTGTTTTACTCTTCTTTGTTTCAAATGAATATACTTTCTTACCACTTTGGTGATGACAATGTTATATTTCTATGGGTCAGATCGTTTTTCTAACATCAGTAATATTAGGAAAACTAGATAATTTGTACTAAAATTTGTATTGTCTGAAAATGACTTGCATTTGCAGTAAATACTCCTTCTTTACTTCGCTGAGTGCCATAATTAAAGCAAAGTTTCTTCTCTCGTTGGTCAAACAAAGTAGTTAAAAATGAATATGAACAATCTTTTTACATTAAATATTCAATTTTTTTAATAAAAAACGTGTACATTTCAGATTGTTCCCGTTTTTATTTTCATGTATATAATAAACAAATTTTAATTATATGATGGATGCATTATTCAGTAAACAAGTTAGGCTAGATGTTTGTAAACATTGTTTTTAATTTTCAGTAGAATTTACCATTTTTTTCAGTCTTTTATATACGTTAGTGACTTGATGTTGTCTTTGTAGTTGATAAGACAAATATTCGTAAAAAATAGAAAAACTTACATTTAAGCTCTGCTAAGGTTAGCAATGCATAATGTAACACTTTGTTTATTATTGGATCAATAAAAAAATGTATTTTAACAAAATAATTTTTTTTATTTTTTCTGTTTTCATTTCCTCTCTCAATTTGTTATTCACCCAAAAAAAGTTTCTTAAATTTACAGATAATGTTGATAAATGTTCTATTACCAACTGAAACTAAGACCACAATTTTATTAATATAAAGAAACTATTATGACAAGTTTAATTCTTTGAGCTATTGGATGTCACTATATTACTGTGCATTTATGGATCTATGAAAAGACATTAAAAATTAATTCTGTGTAGTAGCATTAAGTGTGGTAATATAACAAACCCATTTACACTGCCTTGAAATCTGTTTTAGGCAAATGCTCCTACACCAGTCAAAAGAAATAGTCTCACAACAGTCAAGCTACAGAATGGAGCTACTAGAAATACTCAGCCTACAACCACCCACCCGCTGGACAACGCACTTGACAAGGACTTGTCTCTTAGCTTGGAGAGCCTGGATCTGGAATTGCCAACTCTTGAAAACTACATCGATGCACCAATAGACTTTCCCAGCAGCCCTAAAGAACTGAGGCAAAACCTAGAAGCTTGCGGGATCCCATTACCTCAAGAGCTTGATTCAGGAGCTACGGGTCTTAGTGATGAAGATGATGAGGACCATTCTATATTTCAAGCGGTTTTGTCCCCGGATTGTCAAGATGTCAGGTTAAAACGTGAAAGACCTTCCGGCTTAACAATCAAGAAGAAAAAGATAGCCTTGACAAAAGAAATTTTGAATGGATTAGACGACGATCAGATTTCAAGCGTGATGTCGGATGATGATATCGATCAGCTGTTGAGTCCAGACCTGGACTCTCCGGATGAGCTGGAGGATTCCATTTTGGAACAGCTAGATAACTCACCGTCAAATGACAAAGAGCCGATCCCTGAACTGACGGCAGAAGAGGAGAGGGATGAAAGTCGCAACTGGCAGAGATGCAACGTGGCTGGAGTCGAGAGGAGAATAGACATGAAGGTGATAGAACCCTACAAATGTGTTTTGTCTCACGGTGGCTATTTGAACGCAGGATCTCACAATGCCATTATTGTATTCAGCGCTTGTTTCCTACCTCATCATGGTAGGGTGGATTACAACTACGTCATGGATAACCTGTTCCTTTACGTCCTCTCTACTCTGGATCAACTCATAACCGAGGATTATGTTTTGGTTTACCTCCACGGAGGTACAGCTAAAGACTGCATGCCTACCTTCTCCTGGCTCAAACGATGTTACCAGATGATCGACAGACGACTCCGTAAAAATCTAAAAAAACTTTACCTCGTACATCCTACATTTTGGCTGAAAACCATCGTCATGATGGCCAGACCGTTTATCAGTTCTAAATTCAGCAAGAAGCTTCACTTCATCAGCAGCTTGGAGGAATTGATGGAGTTGGTGCCTCTAGAACAAGCCAGCATTCCAGACCGGGTCAAGAAGTATGACAAACTCAAACAAGCTATGGTCGACGGCAACTAACACACAGTACCTGCAACACGCACCGTAGCCCCACGAATAAGGTGATGATAATAACGTAGAATAAGACATCCCAGATCTGTTTACTCGTTTGTCTTTCAACATTCCACATGAAATATGTAGTACAGTTTTCTGTTTATGCTGGATACTTAAATACTGCTCACAAAGATCTGCTGTAGAGTATATGCGTTTTGTATAATCAAATTCAAACTAGTCATTTTATTTTTGTAAACAGATTCGGAATTAAAACTGTGTTAGATTGAGCTTGTAGGGCTCGCAGAGTTACCAAATGTCTGGAATACTTGTCGTACCCTCTAGGTTAAATCACAAATATTCCCTGTCGCTTAGAGTCTCAGCATTTGTAATCTCCGCTTTTGTCCATAACTAGTGATATGTTGAATTGATTTATTTTAATATGCTACACTCCATTCTAGCATTAAGAAGATTTTTAACTACACTCAGTTTCTTGTTATTGTTTTACTATTTTAAAACACGTAACTTAGTTATGTGTTTGTATTTTTGTAAGAATTTATTGCATGGACTATTTCTCATGCAAAGTATATCATACAGTTAAATATTATAAATCTTACGGATTTCAAAAAATGATAACATCGAATTTTATATATTTTTAAAAAATAAGTTAAGGTTCTGTAAATACAACAGCTACATTGGGTAGTCAATGTAAATTTACAGATGAACAGGGGTTTATAATCTAAAACCTGGATAGTTATTAATCTCATTTTGTTTTCTGCTCATACCTCAAATATTTCGATCCCACGAGTGCTTGTCCTCAATAACTTAACCCACTTTTACATGTCCATCAGCCTTATTACAAATATAATAGGGTACTGTAGACTAGATATATAGGTATTTACTTTGTTCTACAACTGGTCTTGGGAATAGTTAAGCATTTTTTTAAACATTGCACAAATGTCATTTTCCCTAAACTTGACTAAAATGAAAATTAAGTTCACCATTAAAAATAACAAAGGTATATTAAATATAGATTGTGGTATAAACTGGTACAATATACCAATTGTATTTATTTAGCAAATACAAGAGTACCAGAAATGCAAAGCACGCACTAGGTATTTTACAACTAATAACGCCTTTGCAATCCCAAATACTAAAGCCTTCATATTGTTTGTAAAGGCTTTTCTTTGAATAGTTTTTGGTAATATTGAAAATTGGCTAAATAAACAATATTGCAGCTATTTAGTTAAATAAATATGAATTTTGATTCAATAATGCTAGTTTGATATCATTTTATCAGCTTTTGAATCAGGGATCTCAACAGTTAACCAAGTTTTTTTCTGTACTGTTATGATATATTTCCTTAAGCTTGATATTCATTGTGTAATCGAGGTTTTTTACATTCTTATAAACAAATCATAAAACCGTTTAAAAACTGGTTTGATATTACAGTAGAATAAGCTAATACTTAAATTCTAATTATTTTCTATTTTGCCACTGAATCCCCCCCGATTTTACAAGTAGTTGGTGTTAGTGCTTAATTTCCTATTGCATAATTCTGTAAAACAAGTTAAGTAGGATTTCATCAATACAAGATCTTATACAAATCAAAAACATACTTACCAAGCAGATTGTTTTTTTTTCAAAATTGCGTTTCCTTAAATTTTTTCTTGCAGAGGCAATTCAATCCAGGCCTTAAGTGACATTTCCAGTTCAAAGTACATTAATAAAACAGGCGTTTACAGTGTATAAAAGATTACAATTCTGAATTTTATAATTACTAACTTATAATGTTTTCTTCAACAAATATTACAAACTACTAACTTCTTGTCTGTCTCCAAATAAGAAATTTTAGACTTCACAGGTCCTGATCCTTCTTCCATACCATCCTAAGGTTAACTTTGAACATACAAATATTTTCACCCTTACCCTTATTAATGTTATCAGATTCAATATATGTTGCATATCTGTTGAATATTGTTGGGTGTTCAATATTTAGTATTTGCGGTTTAAGTTTTTCTTTGGCAGCTATCCACAGACTTTGCAAGTCCCATGCCTTCTGTTTCAGTTCCAATTATTTAATCATATCTAATATCAATCCATCAAAGTATAAACATTCCTTAACACTTTACAAATGTATATGTAAATAAATCAATCCACCCTCATATTAATTTATTCCATGATCTTTTACCCTTAGTTTTAAGTATTTTTGTTCCTATAAGATCTGTTTGCCAATGCATGTAATAAGTTTAATAGCCTACATGGCTCCTTTTGATTTTGTGATTTTTTAACTTGTGCCAGTATTATGTTTCATGTGTTTGTATCGTGTACCGTACTTAATTGAGTTTGTTTTTCTCTTGTGATGTGTATACTGATTTTAGGTTACGTTCCCTTAACCTGAAGGGTGATTGTAAGTTCTACCTCTGTCATTTTAAACCACACCAATACCTAGATACTGTATATTTTCTTACCTAAATTGTTAAAATAGCACAAAACGTAATCAAGAATCCAGCCGTTCACTTTATTTAAACGGCATAGCTTGGGATTAAAGCTATTTTGTTGTAGGCTAGTTTAAATACTTTATGCGATAGTTAAATTGAATTTTAATCTTAAAATTACATAGCTCAATAACAAATATTATTTTTAGTAACATCTATTTTTACTGCACTCTTACTGATTGTAATTAGTGCTAACCTAGTTAACATGTGTTGCATATCCGTAAACGTTTATGTGCCATTGGTTTTGCCAATGTCTCGCTACACCACAAATTAACTGCGGCCAGAGGTAGAGGAATATGTCAAAGTAAAGTATATTTTTATTGTATTTTATTATAGTATTTTCTCCAAGATATTGTACAATAAATAATACATAGAGCAATATTTATTTATGGTTGTTTGAACCTAAGTAGAAAAGTTTATAAAGTGATAGATTAAATTAATAACGGGTTGATTTTGTGTTTTATTGACCTGTACTGATATCACAACAGCAAAGTTCTAAAAAATTACAAGTACGAATTTACCTACTTTTTTCAATCCTGAGGAGACTTTTACACTGTTTTATAACCAAGCTATTTCCAGGGATAGTAAAAAACACTGGTTTTACGGAACTAAGTAGTTTTTATGAAGGATCTCCTGTATCATATGGCTTAGCCAGCTGCCCATTTAATAAGGGTTAAATAAAATGCCTTAACGGTACTTTAGTGATTTTTTAAAGAAAACGAAGATATCCCTCTTTGCAAATCTTAAATGGAACAAGCCAAGCTATTGAAGTATAGCTTCATTCTTACATATTATAGTTAGTTCAAGTATTATAAATACTATAGATATTTCTTTGGTAACCATAAGTCATTCATAATATGCTCATGACGATCATAGAACATAGAGTTAATACATTGAGTTAACCCTGGAACATTTAAAAAATTTCTTTATCAATGTATTTTTTACGTTATTTTGTTTCATGAGCTATCATGTATGTATTTGAACACTATATGTCCATATTGTACCAAAATACCAATGTAAAATTAAGCAAATAGGTGTTGTGTGCAGTCCCAATTTAACTTACGATATCAACTTTCACCCAACCCTACACACAGCTTGTTGGCCCTCCAAATGGCTGAGCCACGCATTTGTAAACTTAATATGGATTGCACATGTACGGAAATCGAACCTACGCATGTAGAAAGACCTCAACGCTAGACTCGTCCGTGCAATACTTCAACCAACTGTGCCACTATATTACCACAGGCGGGCTGGCCGTGAACTGTCTACATTAGCGGTCGTAGGTTGAATTCGATAAACGCCAGTGTGTTAGTAGTTCAGCTACCTCATAGTGGCATGGCGTTAGTGGGTAAATAGCAACTTAAAATTAACAAGCAGTTAAAAATTACTGCAAGTCAGAACAGTTCTAAAAAAATTTTACTGAAAATGCGCTACATATATTAGCAGTGCTGCAATAGTTTTTTTGTGCAAAAAGTCTGTAAAAATGTATGACAATTTTTATCTTTTGGCTTTTAACATGTTTTCTACCAGACCTCCTCTGTATCTATGGTCTTGTGTAAAATGGTAGTGAATGTGTTTATAAATTGATCCTGACTAAGTGAGCAGCTTTTCATTGTCAGTGGATCTATAGTTTATATTCAAGTGCAATAAATACACCTAAGTTAATTTCTAATTTGTAATGATTTGGTAACTAATAATTTTATATTTGGTTCATAGACCTTTTAAGATCACCCTTTAATCCTCTGTCTACAACTGGAAACCCTTATGTCTCTTTGGGACATGGGACCTTTTGACTTTTGAATCCTAGTTTGGTCTTTACTCATAGAAGATTTCAATCTTTCTAACATCATGTGTACTAGCATGTCTAAATCCAACCTATGTCAAATTTAAACACAAAATACCAACCCCTAGAGTAAAGCCCCATTTGTCTTTAAATAACAATTACCTTGTACCAATTTTGTAGCAATGACCTAAAATAAAGTCAATGATATTATCTGCAGGCACAGCACACCTGGTTGTTTAGACTGTGATGTAAATCATTCAATGTAAATAAATGTTATCGCTTCTATTGATACCAAATGCAATTACTGTATTTGAAAAACTGGCGCGGTTTCCTGTGAGTTGTGGTACTTTCAAGTTATGTAATTTTCTCAATTGTGTAGCCCGTAGTGAAGGAATTCAAACAAGACATTGGTGAAAATAGGTAAGTGGCTTTTAAATTTATTTCACTTATAAAACTTTGAAAAGACACTATAGTCCAGTAAAATTAGACATTTTGGTATGCAAAAGGTCGGGTAGTTCTGATTTTTGGATATGTTGTTAGTATTGGGCCCATAACATAAAATCCAAGTTATCCACCTCGAGATGCTGCCGCTCGCCGCGGGGCGCGCCACTTGTTATCGAAATATAAAAAATATGGCAATTCCTATTGTTTTTCACTCAATCTCGCGAACCACTCATTTTACCGAAAATTTTATATTATTACATTAAAGAAGAATAAATTTGTGCCAGTTTAAGCCCAACAGCAAGTATGTAGCGTAAATAATGGTCAAAATACAGACCATCAAAATAAACAAATTTCCCAAAGACCGATAAAAATTGTGGTTTTTTTTCAATATTTCCACAATATAGTTGTTTGAAGCAAACACCGTATTGATTTAGAGAGTATGCCAGTTTATTTGCTATTAATAGAAAATAAATGAAAGTATGAATAAAAATACCCCCACCTCAGCAAACCTGCAGACTAAGCGAATTTCCATTTGCTTGATTTGATTTTCACAAACCTATTTAAATAACATTAGGTTTACTGGTGCCTAGGTTTGCTGCTACAGGGAGGGTAATGTAGTATATAAAATAATAATAGTATGATAAGAAACAAATAAATTTACCCAATTTTATAAAAATGTGCCTATAAATAAGGAAAAATCAATAATTAAAAATCTTCGCTATTGGAGTAACTTGAGGTTTTTTAATTTACATTTTTTTATTTTCTCCGTAACCAATAACTGTAAAAAAACATTTTAATGTAGTAAATTGTTTGTTTTTAAGCTCTACAAAATGGTCTAGAGATACATTGTAAAATTTTATGTTTTAAGGGTCAAAAATACGAAAAACCCGTTCTTAACAAAAAACTCATAAAGCAACCGTTCCCATGGCCTGATCAAATCAAATCAAAATCTGTTCTATTTCCAAAAAATTTTTACAATATATACATATACAAAATACGAACAATAGTCCCGCATAGGCCGTAAAAGACCTGTGCGCAGGACGAGCTCTATTACAAATCAAATTAGAAATATTATTAAAAATTAAAACTAAATTAATCAAAATACTATTTACAACTAAGCTATGAGACAGCACAGCTACAGGAACAATGCTAAGTAAAATGTAGTCGAGTGAATGGAGTTGCAGTTACTAATGTCTGTACGCTAGAACTGATAAGTGTCTCAGACTGATCGAGCCCAATCTCCGATAGCCAACTGCTTACCGAACGTTTATAAACTGGAAGAGATACCTGTAGATCTCTAATCTCTGATGGTATATTCCTATACAAAAAATTCGCAATATAAAAAGCATTGATAAGGTTTGCAGACTCTTGAAAACTCGGGGTACTTGCATACCTACATTTACAGCTTTTGTGGTGGGATAGATATGTGTGATTGGCGTCACTACAAAATCTTGATTGGAGTAGGTATATTAATTTTATTTTTATTTTTTTTTATTAAAAAAAATTAATATACCTACTCCAATCAAGATTTGATAGTGACGCCAATCACACATATCTATCCCACCACAAAAGCTGTAAATGTAGGTATGTATATACAAGTAAAGTTTTGATAAAAAGTTGACGCATCGAAAGTAATTGAGTGTTTTTGAATAATAAATTTGTAGGGTAACACCTGTTTGAATTAAAAAGCTATTTTAATAATTTAGTTTTTGTATGACAAACAGTGGCTTTAAAATATTGCTACTAGCTCCTCCCCATACTATAATTCCATATTGAAGTACCGATTGGACAAATGCATAGTATAACATTTTTATTTCATTAATGTTAAGAATTTCGCGTAAGTTTCTAAAAACATAAATTAATTTCCTAAGTTTTGTCTTATACTTCAATGATCATGCTTCGGGAACTCGTTTTAATAAACGTAGGTTTACATGCCGAAAAACAGACCAGAAAAACAGCTAAGCTTTGGGTACAATACTTCCACATGAAAACAAAATAAAACAGTTTAACATAGTTAACAGTTTATTGAGGCTGAAAGATCAGGCAAATAAGATCTTCCAATTACAATCACTCTACAGATTTCCATGCAGCGGGTAATTTTTCCACGCCAAGTGCGCCCATCTGTACAGGACATGCTGAATATGAATTGAAATACAGGATTGATATTGAAGAACACAAAAAATTCACAAAGATCGGAAATTTCACTACAAGACGTACAGACAAGTTCTGGTGTGGAATTTGGTCTGATTAGGCCATCGAACAGGCCCTCATAAAGATAATGAAAAGCTCTGGTGGATTGACTCGGGGACGAGGGATAACAGACAAAATGTTGTAACTTGATGGGCGCTTGGGATGATCCGTCCTCATCAAATCTGTAGGAAGTTGAAAAAAATGACGTCAGTTGAACATTAACAGTGAGCAACATGTTGACGTGCGCCATTCTCGCATTGCTCGAGACCAACGGAATTGATGAAAAGATTCAATAGTGGTTTCCTCAACACACACCATTCAATATAAATGATATACTGATTATTAGAAAATTTCCCTTATAGGGAATACGCTATTAGAGTAGGTCTCATGGTAAGACCTAGACCCGGGACCGATTTACTTTTTCATTTTGGTATTCCAAGAGGCCAAAAATACTGTTGGTTCAAATTTTTATAACATATATAAATATATATATACCGGGTGTCCGAAAAAGACTCCATAGTTTTAAACATACCTCACGATACTATTGTTCAAATGGATGAGTAATAATCATTTCGTGCTGTGTAGAGTATACTTCAAAGTTTTAGTTTCGTACGTTGGCAATAAGTTGCGTACACCTATTTGACCTTGAACAAAGTTTTGGTAATAAATTATAATACAAATAATAAAATATTAATGATAAAAATGAGTAAAAATAGCTTGCATGTCTGCAGGGCTACAAATGGTTCGCATATTGAGGTGTGATAGTTTTAAAATAACTTTTATTTTATTACCTTTCATAATGTATCAGCATAGCCTTCTCTATGGTATCAGTCGTTGAACAATAGTTTGTATATAGTACAATAAATATAATAAATTTTCAAACTAGGTAAGTTTTTTGGAGACCCAGTATCCAAAAAAAAACTAAAGATTTTACTAAACTGTATCCAAAAAAGTTATTATCGTCCGTTAGCACGATGATTCCCAAAAATCATCCGATTTAGTGGAATTTGGTACAAACATTACTTTTGTTTGTGAATCAAGAGATGGACTATTTATCATTTACTTTGTATTGTAAGTGACTTAGCCTATTGCTTTTGCTTATTGGCCTATATAAATCATTGAATCATGCACACGTACATTTATTTATTAAAACGAGTTCGCAAAGCATGATCGGCATGATAAGGCCATAGGAACGGTTGCTTTATAGGTATTTTGCCGGTAAGAATATTTTTTTTTCATTTTTAACCATCAAAACATACAATTTTACAATTGTATCACTAAATAATTTTGTAGAGCTTAAAAACAAATAATTTAGTACATTAAAATGTTTTTTTACAGTTATTCGTTACGGAGAAAATTAAAAAATGTAAATTAAAAAGCCTCAAGTTATTCCAATAGTGAAGATTTTTAATTATTGTTTTTTTCCTTATTTATAGACACATTTTTATAAAATTGGGTAAATTTATTTGTTTCTTATCATACTATTATTATTTTATATACTATATTACCCTCCCTGTAGCAGCAAACCTAGGCACCAGTTAAACCTAATGTTATTTAAATAGGTTTGTGAAAATAAAATCAAGCAAATGGAAATTCGCTTAGTCTGCAGGTTTGCTGAGGTGGGGGTATTTTTATTCATACTTTCATTTATTTTCTATTAATAGCAAATAAACTGGCATACTCTCTAAATCAATACGGTGTTTGCTTCAAACAACTATATTGTGGAAATATTGAAAAAACCACAATTTCTATCGGTCTTTGGGAAGTTTATTTATTTTGATGGTCTGTATTTTGACCATTTTTTACGCTACATACTTGCTGTTGGGCTTAAACTGGCACAAATTTATTCTTCTTTAATGTAATAATATAAAATTTTCGGTAAAATGAGCGGATCGCTAGATTGAGTGAAAAACAATAGGAATTGCCATATTTTTGATATTTTGATAACAAGTGGCGCGCCCCGCGGCGAGCGGCAGCATCTCGAGGTGGATAACTTGGATTTTATGTTATGGGCCCAATACTAACAACATATCCAAAAATCAGAACTACCCGACCTTTTGCACAGCAACCCCATATTTTCTGACATATTTACTGGACTACTAGGACTTATGTCAAAAGTTTTATTTTATTATAAGTTTTAACATCAAAATTTTACAAATAGAGAGTAGGAAATTAACTTTGTTTGAATATTCACATTTTAAAATCTCTTTTGTTTTGTTTGTATCTCTTGTTTTAATGACTTGAACAAAAAACTAACAGATTAAGATTTTTCTCTACCTAAGAAGAATTTTCAGATCTACTAGATAAAATTTGTGTAGCCAAATTTTAGGTACCGGTAATTCACTATTGTCAGACAGACTGACATTGTCATTTGCAACCTACAATCCAGCCTCTATTTCTATAATAAATTTGAAAATGGGACTGAGGGTTGTTTGTGGACCAAAAACTTCCTTATCCTATGGGCAAATTAGGTTTGCGACTTTTTTGCTTAAATTTTCAAAGTTTCCACATATATTTTAATACCATTCAATTTATATTCCATTATTCTATGTATATCCAAGCTGTAATAAATTATAACAGGGGCACAAGAGGTTTTAGGTTTATTGGATGGTGCAAGGAAGAGAAAAAATCCCTCAGAAGGAAGTAATTATTCCCTATAAGGGAAAATTCGCCAATAAAAAAAGGGGGGCACAATCATCTCTTGAGCGTATAACATGCTGCATGCAAACCGCGGGCTTGTGCATATCAATTACCAAGATATTAGTAGGGTACTAAAGTAAATTTGTAACTATTAGCTGTACCAAATACGATATGAAAGACCCCCCTTCTAGAAAGACCCTTCTACGTTGAAAAAGAATTCACCCAAACATGACTTAAAAATATCTGTTTTTGTACAACGAAACCAAAAAACCACCTGTAAATGTTCTATAATTAAATGTTAAATCAATTTTTAAATCATTTTTGCGATTGATTTAAACAGGTTGACTTGTTTTAGCATTGATTGCGGACACAATATACAATATAATCTGGGCCGATTATACAATATGTCTTGTCACACCCTTGTCACAGCAAACCTGTATACTAAGCCTATTTCCATTTGCCTGGTATGTATAAAAGAATTAAATTTGATCAAAACTAAATATATTCACAACAGTTACTTATTTTCCATTAAAAAAATTATGATTTAATGAATTTTCAGCTTCTGGGACCATGATTGTGGAGATTCTACTGCTACTTTCAGTGGTCCTACTGTATTGGTGGAAGTTTGTGCACAAATCAAAAGTTCAGGAGATGTACAGCAAATTTCCTGGTCCAAAACCATATCCAATCCTCGGGAATATCTTAGAATTCAACTACCCCAAAGAAGGTAAAATTTGCCTTCAAACATTGTTTGATTTATTAACTTACTTCCAGCTTTATATGACTTGTACAACAATAAAGGAACAAAGTGTCGTTGGGCAATAAGAACAGGAATGTTGCTAAACAAAATTATACGTACGGTACATTGTTAGTTAAAATTTATATAAATAATCTTGACGTAATATTTTATTTAATGTCAAGTATTCAATAAATGTAACTGACTATAATATCTACTGATAAAATTGTATGAAATAATCTTTTATTTTCTTCTAATCTGTCAACAGAAATCACAGAAACCTTCAAGAGACTGTCTTTCCAGTATGGACCCGTTTATCTGCTGGTTGTGGGGCAGGAGCACATCGTCTGCATTCGGGATCCAAAACTTCTTGAGGTAAAACCCACCATTATGAAAGAATAATTCTGTAGTCTGTCCAAATCGTCTTTAAGAAGCTGCCAGAATAGTCCTTGGGAATGAATACTAGATTGATCAAGGTAGATACCACCCAGCGTTATATTATACTGTTCTCTTTAGTTGGTAAAATATATAAAAAACTAAGTACCGTAAGCTAATCATCTTAGTAAAAGTAAACATCTTGAAAAGCTGGATCTTTTTTCTAGTTTACTGCTTCTTCTTCCTTTCCACTGATAAAGCAGGTTAGGTAAATGAGCCGTTTTCCGTTTCTTACATCCTTCTTAGTAACAGAAGGATCAGACTTTCAACGATTATCATGGTTCTTTTGATCTTCTCTTTAGCAATTTTCCTCTGCATCTTTCAAGGGAAGAGAAACACTTAAACTATTTTGACAAAAAACTGTAATCTATCAATGTTGAAACCTTGTTAAACTTAACCTTATCCTTGTTATCCTTGTTTAACTTAACCATCAACAAAATCTAAATACATCATCCTTGCATTTGCTTGCTTTCTGTGTGGTTTTAATGCTTAACAAATAACCAAGGTCGTCAGTATGATCATGAAAAAGGTCTGTGGCTTTATGATGGATCAAAACTGGACTTAGCTGTCCTTAACCCTTCATGGGTGTCTGATTTTAAAACACAGTTGGTGACACAAGGGATTTTTTTGTGGGTATTGAAACATTAGACAAACAATGTAGTTTTATACATATATAAATACATATACTGTATAAAGATATAAATGTATGTGGTGAATAGAAGTTTTCAAGAAGAAAGCAACAATATGCAACAATGCCTGACAGACGTCGTCCTGTCCTAATGTGGTTTTATGTCAAGTACTCGTTCATTTCAAGATGAACTCGTTCGCATGGCTCAATCACGTCCTGGTTGAAGTTCATTCGCTACGCTCACTCACCTTTAGGTTGGAGCTCGTTCGCTGCGCTCACTTGCCTTCAGGTTAGCTCCTTCGCTACGCTAACTCGCCTCCAGGTTGAAGTCCGTGAGCGTAAAATTGGCTGTTGTAATAAATTTGAAAAAAATAATTGTGCTGCACCCTGTTGGTAAACCTAACTTTTTAATGCTATTGAGCATCACAGAATCAAATTGTTTAGTTGAACCAGCTGTTATGATTCCTTAATTCCATTTAAATATGAGTACTTATAAGGTTAACATGGGAAACTCCAGAACCACTGGGGCGGAGCCCTTTTGACGGATCTGCACCAAACTTCACACAAACCATCCTTGAATAATGCTTAATAATGCCTGAAAGTTTCATTACTATCTGTCGAGCGGTTTCGGAGTCCATAAAGGACAAACAAACAAACAAACATACATACAAACAAACGTACATTGGATTTTATATATATACAGATGTATGTACTAGCTGTAACCCGCGGGCTATGCCCCGTTTAACTTCTTAATTTTCAAGATGATCTCGTTTGCATGGCTCAATCACGTCCTGGTTGAAGTTCGTTCGCTACGCTCACTCACCTTTAGGTTGGAGCTTGTTTGCTGCGCTCACTTGCCTTCAGGTTGTCATAAATGTCAAAGAAATAATAGTGCTGCACCCTGTTGGTAATCCTTGTAACTTTAATGTTATTGAACATCATAGAACAGAACCAACTTGGTTAATTAAAACAGCTGTTAAGATTCATTAATTCCATTTAAATATGAGTACTCATAAGCTTAACATGGGAAACTCCAGAGCCACTGGGGCGGAGCCCAGAGGTTGGAGGGTAAAATCCTTTCTTAGTGAGCGTCTACTACCCAAAAGGAAGATGCCTGCCAAGTTCAGGTTCCTAGGTCTTATGGTTTCTGAGATTTCGTGATGAGTGAGTGAATGAATGAGTCAGTGGTATTTGAGCTTAATTTATATATAAAGATAAAACTACATCGTTTGTCATATCTTAATTTGTGATAATAAGTTTATATCCATTTTCATCCACCTTAAATTTCACTTCATGATGTGCTCAGTTTATTATTTTCCTGGCAAGATTCTATATAAACAGACTTTTTCTTTTTTTAAGTTTTTTAGTTATGTACTACTACTAATGTTATATTCATTGTTTCAGACAGTGTTTAATAATAGCAACGCTGTCATAGACAAAGCCCCCATGTATGAAATGCTTCACCCCATCGTAAACCAAGGCTTATTCACCAGCAAAGGTAGGTTATGAGTCAGCTATTTAAAAGAAAGGGGGGGGGGTGAAAGGGGACAGACTTATGAGAATGGAAATTTTGGTTTGCTCTTATATTGTGTTGGCCTTATTAGGGTTTAATAAGCTTTTGATATTTTTAAATTCAACATGTAGTTGGGTACTTGAAATTCAGTCTATAAAATATTTTTTTGAGCCCTAGGGAAAAATATAACACTCAGTATTTTATATTTATAGCTAACAAATTTTTAATGTCGTTTTAAAAGCTATTGTTGTTTTATAAAACACACCCTCTCAACATACATTGAATTGATTGATCACAGTTCTAAGGAACAAATCCACAAAATGTAAATGCTTATACTATGTTTCTTCCTGTGTTAATTTTTTGTTAATACAACCCAAATTAAATTACAAGTACAGAGAGCCACTGTTTTATGACAAAAGAATCTCAACTAGTTGGCATCGCTGCTTATTATTCTTCATTACCAACCAGCTGATATTAATTGTTGCGTTGTTCACACGGTTTAGTGTTATTGGGAATTTGTTGTGAATAAGATTCAATAAGTTTTTTTCTTATAAACACACCCCATGTTTATAACTGATAATGCACATTTATATGGAAAATAATAGTGTTTTACTATTCATCTTTACATATCAACATCATAGAGTTGATTTATTAGGTACTAGAATCTCCTCTATAAACATTTCCTGGCTTACAACTAATGATTAACTTTAAAGTATTGCTTTACAATTTATGCTGTACTGTTTTGCGAAAACACCATGTTGAGTGATAATCACAATAAGTTCTAAATGAGATTTAACCGTGTAGACAACAATGCTAAAATGCATATAACTAATCAGTAGAAACTAGGAACCAACTTCAATTTTAATGCAACTAAATCTACAAGGGTGGTTTTTTAATTATGGGCCGTTATGCGTATACAGTAGATCCGTATTTCGCTTGAACACCGCTTCAAGGTTCCTCACCCCTTACTGGCATCACTTGTGAACAGATTGACACATTTTCCAGCTCTGTAGCGACCATTTATGCTTCGTTGTGTGTTTTTGAAACTTTTTAAACCATCAAATCTTCCGCCATGTGCAAGATTTTCATATGCATTTAAGATGGAGACGCCACCTATGTACGTATTTTAACCCAAATATGAGTGAAGGTTGAGTATGGAATGGAGTTTTACGTCAGTAATACGTGTTTTGATTACAAAAAATATGCACGATGCCGACATTCATCGCCAGATGACTGAAGGCTATGGCCCTAATGCAATGAGTGAGGATAAAGTGCGGAAATGGGTTATGGAATGTAAAAATGGCCGTGAATTTTTTTTTTTTTTGTGGTCTTCTGTGAGAAGTGTGGGTTCCAAACAAAAACATAATTCCTTCCCGTGAACAATTTCACAGCCATTTGTAAGCTCTCTAGCCTATTTCTGCACTTTCCTTGCTATCATTGCATCAGGATCACAAACTTCAGTAGGCCTAATCTGGCGATGAATGTCATCAGCATCGGATATGTTTATCATGGTAAAAAACGTATCACTGACCTTATTTCGCATGCGGCCAGAGATTCGGTGGATTACAATACACAGCGAAGCGTATATGACAGCTACAGAGCTGAAAATGGTATCATTCTGTTCACAAAGAATGTCAGTAAGTGGCAAGGAGCCTAGTTGTGGCATACAAGCGAACTACATATTTATAAAAAATACCCCCGCCGCAGCAAACCTGCCAACTAAGCGAATTTCCATTTGTCTGAATTGATTTTCAGTTAAATATATTTTAATAACATTAGGTTTAACAAGTACCTAGGTTTGCTGCTACAAGGAAACTAATAAAGTGTGTTTTTGAGTAAAATATTGATAGCTTAGTACAAAATAAATAAATTTGCCAAGTTTGATCAAAATATATCCATAAACAAGCAAACTACAACATTTGACAATATTCTCCATAAGAATAACATGGGAATTTTAAATTTACAATTTTTTTAATTTTCTCCGTTACTAACAATCGAACAAAAATACTTTTACATACTAAATTATTTGTTTTTTTTTAAGCTCTTTAAAAAGGTCTAAAGAGAAATCAGGAAATTTTGTGTTTTGAGGGTCAAAAGTGAGAAAAACCAATTTTTACCCCATAAAACCCCTCGTAAAGCCCCGTTCCCATGGTCCGATCGTGCTGGTTCGCGAACTCATTCAAGTTTATCCCGCTTTACACCTTTAAACTAAATTTCATCAAAATCGGACAAAAATTACTCAAGTTATCGCGTTCACGGACGTATATATATATATATATATATATATATATAAGTCTATATATATATATAATATATATACATATATAAAAATTTGAACGAATGGTGTTTTTGGCCTCTGGGGTCATCAAAATGAAAAAGTAAACCGGTCCCGGGTCTAGGTCTTACCGTGCCACCTACGGTAATAGCGACTTCCCTATAGGGAAATTCGCTAAAACAGTCTTTACTTAAAAAACACCCTCGTATTCTTGCTCTATGGTAGAACCTCAAAGACCAACTACTAAAACATATTATTTACATATTTTATTTTTCAAGTTATAAAACACCCTAGAATACCCTATACATCACATTTCCTAGAACACCCTGAAAACTTTGAAATAGTGTACAAAAAAAATGAATATTTTTACGCCTACTCATATTTTACGCCATATTCAGCACAATCTAAAACATTCACTACCTTTTGTCAATAAATGTAACCCTATTGTTAATTAATTGTACATTGCATTTGTACCCCAGCAAAACCGGGTTTTCCTGCTAGTACACCCTTGAATTAAAATTAACATCATAACCATTATGTTTAACTAAAGCTATAGATTTTTTTCACATGTTTCATTAAGATGTTAGTGAAGCATTTAAACTTAAACAATATACGTCTTAGGTGAACAATGGATAAAACAAAGAAGACTACTTACCCCAGCTTTCCACGTAAAGGTTTTGGAAAACTTCATCACTATATTTGAGAAAAATGGCGCCATCTTGGTTGAAAATCTACTGAAAAACAAAGATAAAGAGTTTGACCTGATGCCTTTAGTTTCACCATGCTCTCTAGATATCATCTGTGGTAAGTTTATGAAACAATTCATCAGGTTTATCAATTATTTAGTATTATAAGGGCCCAAAACCTCCCTTTGTCTGAAGTACTAATATGCGTAGTTCGAATTGAGTATATTAGTTTTAAAACCAATATTGTTTGGTAAGAATAAAACATGCAAATAACAGTAGATAATGATTTCAACATTTTTTCCGTGTTTTCCTTGATAAAAGCAAACAAAGTAGGTGAACTGATGATATATTTACTGATAGTAATTCTGTCAACTCATCTTTTTAAAATCAAAACCCAATGTGTTAAACAGAGAAAAATATGTCTAACACAATCCTATTTATGTATAATACAATATTATGTGCATGGACTGTTTTTGGATTTTTAAATTTAATCAAATCAAATAAACATACACTTCCAGTGAAACAAAAAACCGGGACAAATTTACTTTTTCATTTTGAGGTCCCCAGAGGCCAAAAACTCAATCTGTTCAAATTCATATGTATGTGTGTGTCCGTTAGCATGATGTCCATAACTCAAGCAAAAATGATCTATTTGATAAAAACCTACTTTTTTAGCAAGTTATTATTTAAATTAAATTATCCAATTAAAACTTGGATTGCTAAATTGTGTATTTTTCTTTTTGTTAGAAACTGCAATGGGGTTTAAGGTTAACGCTCAGCAAGGAGATTCAAAATACCTTGAAGCGTTAGATGAGTAAGTATTATTTGAGAATATGTTTGAAATAATGTCATTAAACCTTTTACCATTTAATAGCATTTTAAAAAGTAATGTTAAGTTTTTTATTTTTTAACTTATCTAAAATAATTCCTATGTGCCAATAACTAAAAGTGTATTGCAACGGCTGCTCATGAGGATGATCTGTATATTTGCAAACAACTATCCTCTAGCTGTAGTTGATTATCAAATACTCGTAGATTATCAAGTTACACATTGCTGATTTTGAGAGGAATACAGTAAAACATCTCATCTATTATTTTAAGCTACAAACTACAGAATTTCAAACGGATACCTCCCAACAATTTCTGATGATGTGGATTATTTTAGTGTTTATGTTGTGTTGAGCACAAGAATCTCACTGTAGAGAGGGTGGGGTGAATGAAGTACGAAGGATAGGTTATGTTTCTCAGTTCGCCCTAAATTTCTAGAAAATGAGCACTGATTGTACACATTTTATGTTCCCTGATGACTCTACAAAACTATCCAGTACACACACAAAATATTGTTTGGGTAAAAAACTTCAACAAGATTTGATGAGAGGTTGAATCACCCTAAGCCTCCACCCCTGGGTACATATCTGCTAACCAGGGCCGTACTCAGACCGGTTTTTCCGGACAAGTTTACCGGGACCCAGACCCCGCCAAATATATACTTCAAGGGGAGGGGGGCCCGGCCTAATATCCTTACCGGAGCCTGCCAAAGCTGGGTACGGCCCTGCTGCTAACAAGAGTTGGTAACATTTATTTGAATGTATTTTTCAGGGTGTCAGAAATAGTAGCCAACCGCAACTTCAATTTCCTGCAGAGAAGTTTCCTTTTCCCCCTTCTCCCAACTGGCAGAAGACTAAGGAAACTACTTGCTTACTTTCATGGAGTCACCTCCAATGTAAGTGGTTGTTTGAAATTGTTTGTGTAAAGTAAAATGCTGTAAACAGATGTTATCCGCTTGTTAAGAAATGGTAGCCTACAACTCCCAATACTGTAAAATTACAGTTAAATTTTATTGAAGATTTTGTGATTTTACCCATAAAATACCAATTACTTCCACAACTTGTTGATGACTAGGGTTCAACTATTCCTCTTCTCAAATCTTCAATGCTATCCATCTAATTATATTTCGATAATGTTTATTACAACTAGTTGTTACTCACAGGCTTCTTCATCCCGTTTAACTTCATAAGTATTAATAAAACTATTGATTTGTTCAGCTGAAATAAACAAAACAGAGTACAGTAATATAAACAAATAATCACACGTGATTTTAATAAGGTAATTAATTGAAAGAATAACAATCAAATAAGTACAGCTGAGGTATTTTTAACATTAGGTATATGGAAAGTTGCCTTTAGAAAGGAATTACGACCCTTATTTGATAGTTTTGCGCAAGGTTTCTCATCATGACGAACATTTTAAGTATATGTTTTATGGGCGTGTCACTTGTGGTTTTCTCAAAAGTTCATGGGTACTTTGGGATTTATATATGGATTAATTGTGTTTACCTCCTTGGAGCTCGAAATGTGTTGATATGCTACACTTCAGTTTTTGGTTGACCAATTTAGTTAGTGCTTCATGGTTTATAATAAGTTTTAGTTTTGTTGGTACTATGATAAAATAATATCACTACTAATATTAATATTTAATTAATATATATATATATAATTTTCAAGAGTTGTTAGCCTCCGGATTACGTTTGAACATTTATAATAAAATTATTTTTGTCACTAATTTACACTAATTCTTAATATTTTGTGATGCTTTGCAGATAGTACAAGAGAGAAAAATTCAATACTCAACAAATGGAGACAACAGTGATTCAGAGGGCAGTCCAGCTGACACAGGATATGGTTGGTATTGTATCATGTTTGAATTTCATTCATTTTTTAATATGGTGGTTAGGCTTCCACGGTTAAGTAGGCTGTCAAATCTTGGTCTGCAGGGGATGGTAAATTCATGAATATGGTAATGCAGTATGGTAATATGGTAATGGTATGGATGTTTGAATCTATGATATGTTACCTTTTTTTTTCATTGTTGTTTTTGAGGATTCAGAATATAATTAAATTCCATACGTATGTCAACACAAAATAAATATATTAATTTCAATGGGCAATGCTCTAATTTGTACATTTCGTATAATTTAATCTGAAATATTGTATTCAATAATCCTAAAGTATGATCTTATAATAATTCTCGAGTTTTCTTAGAATTCAATTCAGCTTTATACCGAAAGGTGGATTTTTTAAGTTATTATAATATAATAATATCATCAAATCCAAATGAACAGGATAAAGATTTTTCTCATGAGTATCTACTATGTCAAATATTCTGCAACACTGAACCAATGGAGGTTTTATTTTCTTTTGTGGGCGGGATTTGAACCCGGGACCACAGGGACCAAAGTCCCTTGCTGTAACCACTAGACCAGCTCGCTCTCCCGAAACATGAACAATATTTTCTTTTTAGAAACAAAGAAGAAGAAAAAGCCTTTCCTAGACCTTCTATTGGAATATAACATGGGAGGAGCCGGATTTACAGATGAAGATTTGAAAATGCAGGTCAACACATTTATGTTTGCGGTAAGAAACTTTAAAACAATATGAGTGATTTAATTGCGCACCTCTAGGCAATTTCGTTGAGCAAAGGGATCATTTCCTGCCACGAGTAATCTAATAAATTGCATGTTTCTAGACTGTATAAACATTTACCTATAATCTCAAAGACTTTTCAACTTGGTTACAACATCAGTGGCGTAGAAATGTTTAAAATGCCCTGAAGACATTTCCTAACCGCCCCCTCTCCCAAACATCAAACATCACCATACATAGATTGCATATTTATTTCCCTCATAATGGTCGTTGCGGATGTTTTGTTGACAAGCACTTAAAATACAACGTACGTCAATTTTCAATTGACAATAACTAATAAGTTACAAATTACATAATAATATAGCCTAATTAGTAGTTAATATATTTCGTCATTCTATGGTGCCATCTTAAGACTGACTCTAACTGTCATTTAGCTGCAATAGCTATAACTCCTCCAACACAATAAATTCATTACTCGAGTTATTGTGTTTCGCGGACACACACATGTACAGTATATACGAGGTCTGTTCAAAAAGTATCAGACCTTACTTTTTATATAGTTTTGCAACAACCACGTTGAGCAGCACCCTGTCGAGTAGATCGAGGCAACAATAAAGAATGTCACATTAACTTGACATCAGTTCATTGAGCTACTTCCCTTTAGAGAAATTGAAATTATAAGTTACATCTAAACATCCCTACGCATGGACAAGCCATAACGCTGATTGTTTTTGTTTTCTTTTATTTGTTGATTTTTAAACCTGTTATAAACTTGAATACAGTATGAATGGTAGATATTTTTACAGGGCCGTGACACAGTACAATCAGCCATATCATTTGCTCTGTACTGTCTCTCACAGAACCCTTCAGTTCAGGTAATTATGACAAATTAATTAATTATTTGTACTCTAACATTTATGGATCAAACAATAATTATCCTTCAAAATAGATATTTTTGAAATATCATTTATAATATAAATATAAATATAATTTTCTGTACTTAGATGACTATAAGGTTGTGATTAACTCTCAGTTAAGTGTAGAACTATGGTAATAACCTTTCCAGGACTATAGGCAGGTATATCTGCTTATATTTTTGGGCTTCTCGGTCGGTTATTATGACTGATGTACTAGAAATGTTTTTCTAGAAGAATAAAAAATTGAATACAAAATTTATTTTTTTATTTAAAAAATTATAAAAAAGTAAAAAAAATGTTTGGACAAAGATGCTGCATTGGTCAACTATTTACAACATTCTATAAATTATAGATATTAAAAATTTAGTTTTTAGTTTTTATTTAAATAAAATAATTTTGCTGTCTGTATACATACTAAAGGCCGTCTGGGAAGGGTTAATAGATTACTATACTCAGTTAACATGCAATGTTGGAATACAATACATGTTTTCATTTATTTTACAGGAGAAAGCTTATAAAGAAGTAATGGACATCTTGCAAGACGATGATAGGGACGCTACATTTCAAGACCTTCAAAACATGAAATACCTGGATAAGGTTATCAAGGAAACACTCAGGATATACCCACCAGCTCAGTTTGTAGCTCGGAATGCAAGCGAGGATTTGGATTTGAAAAGTAACTAATTCAACTTGTAAACAGTGAAATGCTGTACATGTTTACAAGAGTTTTTAAGGTCACTGGTTTAGTTCCAAGCAAGATCGCTTTGGGACCCAGATGCCATTAATTAAGGGATATCAATGATGCTATCAAGCAAAAAGATTCCCTTTAGATGATAAAAATACCCAGAGTACATGATGACATTACCCAAGTAGCATACATTAATATTTTGTGACTGACTCACATAATATAATTTTGAAGAAAACATGAATAGCGATTTGACAACTAACATTAGTTTTGTAGCATGCGTAACTTAGTTACTTAACATGGGCGTCCATCTGACTATTCTGTAGGGTGGGCCGGGGGTTGCGGTACAGAATAAATCACGGCCACCTTTAACTACAGGCCGCGGCATTCGAAGTGGTAACACTGTCAGTAGTGCTGTTACAGCTGTATTGTTTGGACGCAACTAATGCGTATTATTCCTCTTTCTGGGCTATTACAGTGCATGATTAAACAAAAAAATATTTGAGATGACATAAAGAGCTCTTATGTAGACCTACCTATTTTACATTAGTATAATTGTAATATTTTTTGCAGATGGGTATGTCATTCCTAAAAACTCTTCAGTAATGGTTCTCATAGAAGCTATGAATTACGATCCTGAGTTATATCCAGATCCACTTAAATTTGATCCTGAAAGATTCGGGAGAAAGAACTTCCATCCGTTTTCCTACATACCTTTTGGGGTGGGCCTTAGGAGCTGTATAGGTGAGTAACTCTTTCATATAACCTGAATTTGTTTTTGATTGCTTTTTTACATACTTAAGCAGAAAATGCCATTTTCAATATAGGCCTAGTTGTGGCCAAAGTGGTTCTTTGATCCTTAGGCTAAAGAATCAACTTTAGTCGAGAATGTCAGCTGTAAATATTTCTCACACTTTGTGAACAATTAATATCTACTGAGAGTAGTTTAATGACAGCTATTATTGATTGTCGTCCATTATTGTGCTTGTTGGCACATATACAATGTGTTGCCTTATCGTAACAATAGTTTTTATAACCAATCTAATTACACTTGCGTCCTAGATGTGAAAGTGGCGCCATAAAAAAAATTAAAAAGCCACACTAATACAATAGTTTATTGTGAGAATACTTATTTTACAGTTGATAAGTACCTTGGTAACAGGACTTGATAAATTTTTTCTTTCTGTTTTTTTAGTGAATTTCCCATATTATAGAAAATAAGTTACTACCAAAGGTGTCATGATAAAATATAGTCTCGGGTGTTTTGTTTTGTTTTTATGTCCGTTGAAGCCAAAAACGTCACTTAGCCGCTCAAATTCTTGTGTGTCCGCCAGCACAATAGCTTGAATAAAAATTATAAAAACGTTTGTGAAATTTAGTAAAAACATGTAAACCTACGTTTATTCAAAACCCCTCATAAAACCCTCTTCATTAGTTCGATAATGCTAGGTTTACACGTTTGTACTAAGTTCCATCAAAATCGAATGAGGTATGCTCGAGTTATCGTGCTATCAGACAAATATGAATAACATATAAATATGAACTGGAATAGATTGTGTTTGGCCTCTGGATACATAAAAAAAAAAAAAAATCTGTTCCAGGTCCTACCATGAGATCCGCGGAATAGCTTATTCCTTATAAGGGAAATTCACTAAAAAAAATACCGTAAAATAATCGTTTCGTGAATTATTTTAAAGAAAGGTTCAGTAATACAGAACTAGTAAGACAAGAAACGCAGTTCATTGGGAAAAGAGTCTAATTTTTCAACTTTAGATGGGTCCAAGCTTGATCATCACTTGATTAAATATACTTTTATACATTTCAGGACAGAGATTTGCCATACTCGCTATAAAATCTGTCATATCAAGAGTTTTGAGGAAGATTGAACTGTTCCCTTCTGACAAACCTTTGGTGATGGGATTCTACGTTGTTTTAAGATCTACAACAGGAGTACATCTGAAAGTTAAGCCAAGAGATCGTCTTAAATGACTTCAGTAGACTTAGTATCCTACTTCAGGCTGATGTATATATATAATGTTATAAATACCACTCTAGGCCAGTTATGTCTTAAATACGGGAGTAAAAGTCAAGAGTCAAGAGAGTCAAGTGAAGTGAAAATTTTTGCATGTAGCTTAAAATTGTGAAGAGGTTGAATTAAAAAAAAAAAACATTTTTGTTACAAATTCAACTTTCAACTCATTATTGATTCTTTTAGTATATTTATTACTTGTAAATAAATAATAACATAAAAAGTTTACTTATTTCATATACAGTACTAGCCTCCATACCCGTGCTTCGCAACAGAAAGAGAACGCTTAAGAGAATAATTACTATTCCATAGATCTGCTGTATGTAGATAAACTTTTAGTAATCCACTAAAAGTATTAACTTAAAATATTAACTGGCTACTTTTGTTTCCCAGAAATTATTTTTTGGGAAATAAACCATACAAATACAAATAGGTTTTTACGTTATTGTTGTGTTAAAGGAATAAACGACATAGAATAAATATTCTGTATAGATAATCAAAGAGTCAAATATAAATCTAACTTCTGTTTTGTTTTTATTTTTAAATCATATGTTCAAGTTTATTTTAAATGATGTTGTTTTCTTTATATTTCTACACATTTTAAGGTTAAGGTTGTGTAAATATATACAACTAAAATAACCTATAGCCTAAATGTTATTGGTTCTAAAATGGTGTATTTGCATTCCTTCGTAAGTAAATATTTTTTTAGTGCAGTGAATATACAACGTAGAGTAATCATATTTGATCATACTTTTATAAAATCACCATGGATTCAAGATGTTTTTCTTATGTAGGCTGCTGCATATATATTCTTTTCATTATAAGTACTGTAATTAATAGACCACAAAGGCGGGGAACTGTTCATAGGAATGACAGTGTGCGTAGAAGAGCAAGAGTAGATAATGACGAACTTAATCAATATATGTTATAACCCCTTTTTAGGAGACCCATGGTAGACGAGAGAAATGTAAATATTCATGATGCAGGATTACTGGACCAAGCGTGCATTCAATGTAGTGCTCTTCATTTTAGAGAAGAACTAACGAATAATCATTTTATGACATGTTGCCATAACGGACTTATTAACCTTCCTCAGCCAAAAACTAATGTAGAACTTAAAAATTTGCTTGAAGAGAGCCCACAACTGTATAAATTCATTCGACAATACAACAGTGCGATGGCTTTTGCTTATTTTTCAGCCAGTAAGAAAGATATTCCAGGAAAAATACTGTTCAAAATTCAAGGACAGATTTATCGTTCAATCTCAGATTTGCTGCCTCAACATGATGAAGACCCCGTGTATGGCCAATTGTATACATTATTGACACATCAACAGCAACAGAAATTCGTCAAAGGCGTCGAGAAAATAGTGACTTAAAACCTGAAATATTGTCAAAACTAGCTGAAATTCTATTAGAAAATCCATTTGCACAAATTTACAAAAGAGCTTCGGAAGAAATGGTTGTACAAGGTGACAGTGAATTAGAACTTAGGTTTGTAGACAGGATAAATATGGATCGTCGTAGGTATAATAAGCCTACTGCAGATGAAATTGCAGGCGTCTTCAATTCATCTGAAGGCGAACCTCCAATTAAATTTTAAAATTCCAAACAGGGAAGCTTTTATTTATCCTCATTAACCACAAGACCAAAGCTACCTTAAGTAGTAAACCAGTATGTATTCACAAACAATGATATGTTTGCTGCATTTTCATGTTAAACCACTGGAGTGATTCAAATTATTTATTGAAAATGACATCAACAAAACCAAACAAAGAAGAACAACTAACTGGTTTTTACACAAAAGATATGGTGTAGGGATGCCTATTCTGACACATAGATAATGTTATTCTGAGTTTGTTTAAATACCGGAATTGCAATATGTTGTTTTACATTTGAGCTTTTTAGGGACTTATGTCCCTACAAGCCACTAGTAAGTTAATTAATTACGCACTTAAAAAATAAAACTCCTTATTCACACACTATCAAAAATTATTTATTAAATTAAAAACATAAACATAACTGTAAACAATCCTACTTTGACAGTTCTAATTTTGTATCACTGCTGCTTGGTTAAAATTAGCAACAGTTTATTATAAATTTGTTAGTTTTCATAAATTTGGACAATTAGGCTAATAGTGCTGCGCCCAGTTCGTACATCTTGTAACCTTTTAATGCTATTGATCATCACAGAATCTAATTTTTTAGTTGAAACAGCTGTTAAGAGTCTTTAATTCCATTTAAATGTGAGTACTCATATAAGGTTAACATGAGAAACTCCAAAGCCACTGGGGCAGAGCCCTATTGACGGATCTGTACCAAACTTCACACAAACCATCATTGAATAATTCTTAATTATGGCTGAAAATTTCATTACAATCTGTTGAGTGGTTTCAGAGTACATAACGTTCAAATATATATATATATATGGAATTAAGTATATAGAAAACCAACTTCCTCTTTTATTAACATAGACTACAAAATTAATGCAAAAAATAAACGGTATCAGCAATTTGACACATACTTTCTCCCATAAGCTTGTCAACATCCTTTATCATGTAAGGGGTGGGAAAATCATCCTTTAATTTATGGTAAGGGGTGGGAGTAACTGTGATATTTTATAAGGAAAAATCACAACAGTTGCAATAACCTTTAAACCGTAATTGTTACAGCAATTGGGGTCTGCACCATTTTGTTTAGAATTATAAGGACCATAACACATTTATTTAAATCAAAAGCCTGAAAGTTTTATTACAATCTGTCAAGTGGTTTCGGAGTCCATAAAGGACAAACAAACAACCATACATACATTGGATTTTATATATATATATAGACTAGCTGACCCGACAGACGTCCTGTCCTAATGTGGTTTTATACCAAATGCTTGTTCATTTTCAAGATGAGCTCGTTCGCATGGCTCAATCACATCCTGGTTGAAGTTCGTTCGCTACGCTCACTCACCTTTAGGTTGGAGCTCGTTCGCTGCGCTCACTTGCCTTCAGTTAGCTCGTTCGCTACCGGTACGCTAACTCGTCTCCAGGTTGAAGTTTGTTCGCTACTCTCACTCACCTTTTGGTTGCAAATTAGCTGTTGTCATAAATTTAAAAAAATAATAGTGCTGCAACCTGTTGGTAAATCTATTAACTTTTTAATGCTATTGAACATCACAGAATCAAATTGTTTGGTTGAACCAGCTGTTAAGATTCTTTAATTTATTTAAATATGAGTACGCATAAGGTTAACATGGGAAACTCCAGAGCCACTGGGGCGGAGCCCTTTTGACGGATCTGCACCAAACTTCACACAAACCATCCTTGAATAATGCTTAATAATGCCTGAAAGTTTCATTAACTTACAATCTGTTGAGTGGTTTCGGAGTCCATAAAGGACAAACAAACAAACATACATTGGATTTTATATATATAGATCAAAGAATCTTAACAGCTGGTTCAACTAACCAATTTAATTCTGTGATGTTCAATAGCAAAGTTAATAAGTTTACCAACAGGGTGCAGCACAATTTTTTTTTTAATTTATGACAACAGCTAATTTGCAACCAAAAGGTGAGTGAGTGTAGCGAACGAACTTCAACCTGGAGGCGAGTTAGCCTCCAGCTAACCTGAAGGCAAGTGAGCGCAGCGAACGAGCTCCAACCTAAAGGTGAGTGAGTGTAGCGAACGAACTCCAACCATTGAAAATGAACAAGCATTTGACATAAAACCACATTAGGACAGGAAAACGCCTGTCGGGCCAGCTAGTATATATATATATATATGAATTTGAACAGATGGTGTTTTTAGCCTCTAGACAATAGACAATAGACAATAGACAAATAATCTTTATTTACACTTTCATTAAGAATAGTAGTAGCGTCAATTTACAATTTTTCCTAAATGTTTGGTTGAGGTGTTGTTTAGTCAAAGACCTGTTGATGGTATTCTTCTAAGGAATAGAAAGGTCGATTAATGAGCCATTGATGCAAAGCTGGTTTGAGGTCATCTTCTGACTTGCTTCTTAGATCTGGAGGTAGCCTGTTGTAGATTTTCATTCCTGCGTATGAAGGTTTCTTTTCAAACTGTGCCGTGCGATGTTGTGGAAGGTTGTACTGCATGGTGTTTCTCAGGTTGTGTTGGTGCATTTCGCCACGCCTTGTAGGGTTATTTCTTACTGCAAATAACACAACTTCCTGGATGTAGAGTGCTACAAGGGTAAGTACTTTGAGTGACCTGAATGCTTCCCTGCAGCTGTCGAGTCTGTGGAGTCCTGCAGTTATTCTGACTGCCTTTTTTTGTTTTCTGAGAACTCTTTGCATGTTAGTGGCAGAGGTTCCACCCCATGCTACAAGTCCATATCTCATATGCGACTCGAAAAGTGCAAAGTATGCTACTTTTGTTGTCATGTCATCTGTTGCATTTTTTATATGTTTAAGAGCATAGATGGTTGAACTTAATTTTTTACATATATTGTCCACATGAGGGGTCCAGGTTAAATTCTTGTCGAGTGTTATGCCCAAAAACTTAGCTTCATCTTCCACTTCTACATCTGGGAGTCGTGGCACTTCTTGAGATTTACGGCCAAAAGCTATTTGAGTTGTTTTAGACGTGTTTACTGCGAGATCATTGTTATAGCAGTATTGGTAGGCCATACTGAGTGACACATAGGATTTTACTTCTAGATTTTCAGCTAGTGGTTCATTAAACACTAAGGTTGTGTCATCAGCATACATAAGAGTAAGGCAGGCGTCTCCTATTTGTTGCGGCAAATCGTTGGTAAAAAGAATAAACAGTACCGGACCCATAACTGAACCTTGGGGAACTCCTCGATTTATTGGTTGAAAATTTGATCTTGTTTTTCTTATTAGGCTGTTATCTCTGTGCCTTAGTTCTACAAACTGACTCCTGTCTGTAAGGTAGCTTTGAAACCATTCTCTTACTATCCCTGATACCCCCAGGGAATCCAGCTTTTTAATGATTAGCTGGTGGTCAAGGCAGTCAAATGCCTTACTGAAATCAAGAAAGATTCCTGTTGTTAGATTTCCTTCATCTAGGCTGTCAATCAGGGACTCAACCATCTGAATTATTGCTGTTGTTGTGGATTTCCCTTTTGTAAATCCATGTTGAAGGTTGTTTAGTAGGTTGTGATTTGTGCAGTGGTCTAAAAGTCTTTTTAAAACAACTTTTTCGTATATTTTGGAGAAGGTGGAAACGAGGGAAATTGGTCTGTAGTTGCTTGCTTCTAATGTGCTACCTTTTTTAAATTTCGGGTATACTTTAGTTATTTTAAGTAGTGAAGGAAAGATGCCTTGTTTTAGGGACTTATTTATCAAATCAGCCAATGGTAGTGCTAGTTCATTGCAGCAATGCTTAAGTATTTTTGACGAGATTTCATCAATTCCAGACGAGTTTTTTGCTTTAAGTTTGTTTATAATCATTTTAACTTCCTTCTCGTCTGTGCTTTGAAAGGAGGAAAACAGTGGACCTGTTTGAGTTACGTCAGGAGTTTGAGCTGTGGTCTTTAGGTGTTTTTGTTTCTCTACTGTTTTTTCTCCTACTTGTGTAAAAAATGTATTCAAATGCTCTGCAACATGGGTCACATTACTTATGAGTTGGCCATCTACTTGAAGGGTTATTTCATTTAGGGATGTTTCCTTTTTGGACCACACTGTGTTTATTGTTTCCCAGATAGCTTTAGATTTATTTTCAGCTTTCATCAACTGGTCAGAGTTAACCTTTTTCCGCATCGTTTTCAAGTACAGGTCATAGTTCTTTTTATTTTCAATAGAAACCCTTCTGTCATCTGGATTTCCCGTCACCTCAAACTTTCTTAGAGCTTTAAGAAATTCGGCTTTAAGTCTCACTGCTTCTGGGTCCATGGAGAATTTTAGTTTATGTTTTCTTTGTATTTTTATCTTCTTTTGGGGGCAGGCTGCATCCATAGCTACTCTCACTATGTTACTAAAAGTTTTAAAAGCTTCTTCGGCATTGTTTATTGAGGTAACACTAAGGGACCTCAAAATGAAAAATTAAATCGGTCCCGGGTCCAGGTCTTACCACGAGTACTACGGTAATAGCTTATTCCCTATTGGAAAATTTGCTAAAACGGAAATTAAAATCTATATTGACAGATTAACATGGGGTAAAATTTTAAGTCTATCAAGAGTGAGATCTGGAGTTCTATTGGACTGACTTACATGCATGCAGGTTGTGTTAAATGAAAGGTAATTAACTCCATATTATCCCAGGTGCTGAAAAGTTTACTATTCCTTTATTTAATCTTCTAAAAATGGAATATAAAATATTTTTCCTACAGTCACCCGACATACAGCAAGCCTTACTTTGGCGCACAGTTTTTACTTTGGCACACTGTAATATGTCATAATATTCACGGAGAGTGAATTTTTACCCACACACTATATGGCATAGATGGGCATGAATTCGGGATATTTGGTAGTTAAATGGGATTTTTGTAGAATTTGGAGGATGGATGGAGGAAAATTGGGGACTTTCTATAGATTTTTATGACTTGGCGGATTATTGGAGGATTTTTGCTTTAGCTAGGGATAAAATGGGAATTTTTTCTTAGTCAGATGGGGAATTTTCACAGGTCCAGGGTGGCAACACTGGTTATGAGTAGTGATTTTCAGTAATTAAAAACCTGTTGTAGCTAAAGTCCTGTACACAGCGTAGTCTTTACTGGTCGTCAAAACTACTATTTTAAGTTGTGATTAATTATTTATAAAGTGCTATTTTAGAGTTCAGGCACAGAATGGACCTCTGGAAAACTTACCTAAATAAGCAACACTGTAGTGATATGGGGACTATTGAAAATCGTATGCATTCAAAATACTGTAGAAGTATTACACTTTGTAAGCCTTGAATACAATATTTAAACACTTTATTTGTACATTATACACCTAAAATTAGGCCATTACGGCAAATAATTTGAGGTAGATGGAAATTTTGTTGTAAAAAACCTGTCCATAATAATATGTATACAAATCAATATTTACTTGTGATTCGAAGTTTTGGGCTGGCATATTTATTTAGACATTTTGATCTATAACTTTTGCCTGCCTTTGAAACAAGTTATGGATGGTGCATTACTATGGTGTTAAAGAATTTGATAAACTGATGTTTTATCATTGCATTTTACCTCATATTTACTAATACTTACTTTAAAAATATAAGAAGGTGCAGGGTGCAGGTATGCATTGTAGGGTTCACACAATAACAGTAATAGATACAATAGTAGCATACATGTTTTGAAGTATAAATAAAATAAATTAATGTTTAAAATACAATGAATAAGGGAGTACCTATGTTTATCTATGGTATAAGTAATGTGCATTTTATTGACAACTCTAATAGTCTTACCACCCATAAAAGTTTAAAAAAACATTTAAAAAACTCCTTAAAGATAAATAAGAAATTGAAAAATCAAACAGTTATATTATTTTGCCAATCGTCATATCTATTTAAAAAGAAATGTTACTGTAAGTGTTTATTTAACCCTAAAAACATAAGAACATAAATGGGAACTATAATTATTCCGTTTCTCCCTACCCTGTCTACCTGGCTGAGACGTTGTGGCGATTTCAGTAAGGAATGTGATCATAAAATAAATAGGTATCGTGGAAATTTCGGTGTTCCCCTGTATTGTCTCAAACACTCACAGTGAGGAAATTTTCACACGTTTCTGGTCGGTAGATTTATCATTAACAAACACTGATAGTACAGTAACATTTGATAGGCCTACTAGTGTCTGCCACACGTACAACAGTGAGAAATGTGTAAAAAACAACTTTTATTTCTCATATTGGTAAGTGATTTTTTATAGTTCTGTTTTCACGCCAATGTTTTCTATAACTTTTTCAGAGAGAGGTTTAAATCTTAGTATTGCTAATTATAATTTTAAATATTCTACCTTCATTGTGAGAAGTAGGACATGCTTCCTAATAAAATTAACTGTTGACATATTGCTTGAAAAAATATATTTCAGTTTGATGTTTTGCCTACATGCCTCAACAACTTTCTTAGTCTGGATGAACAAAAATTTTAAATTATTGTTTGTGGTATATCAATAGAATGAAAAAAAACATAAACATAATAGTTAATTTTATAAATAAAACAGATTAAAGCCTTTTTGATTATTGATATTGTTTCTTGGTTGTCTAGATGATTAAGTTAAACTTTCAGAAAATATTATAAAGATGAGTGGCGTGATAAACAATAACAATTTAGTCCATAAAAAAATGCTTAAAAGTATGCATTGTGATTATGGTTTTATAGTTAAAATAAACGTATTAGCAATCTGATACATACTTTCTCAGATTAGCCGGTGAACAAACCTTGTTGTTATAGCCCCCCCCCCCCTACAGCTATAACATACAATATATTAATCAAAATCGTTCTGGCTATTTTGGAAAAAATTTGATTTTTCTGTTATTTTATAGGTTTTATTGGAAAATCACCATAAAAAAAAAAAAAAAAATTTAAATAAGGTAATTGGAGATACCATGGATTAGTACCCACATACCAAATTTCATCAAAATCAGACCACAGAGGTGTGGTCCGTAGCTCTGTACATATCCGTACATAAAGATATACACACTCGGACATCACTTCTTAATAAGAATAATAGTTTTTAGTAAAATATTAATAGCTTAGTATGAAATAAATTTGCAGAGTTTGATCAAAATATATCCATAAACAAGTAAACTACAACAGTTGACTTTTTTGAATATATTTATATATATATTTGAATATGTATATGAATTTGCACGGATGGTATTTTTGGCCTCTGAAGACATCAATATGAAAAAGCAGATCTGTTCTGGGTCCAGGTCTTACCATAAGACCAACTGTAATAGCTTTTGATTCCCTATATGAGAAATTCGCTAAAACAACTTTTTAGGGTTCAAAACAATTAACTTAATTAGTTAGCAAACAATTAACAACAAAAGTCTTTTCATTCCATCTTACACTATAAGTACATTTAAATATGCATCTTGAGCTTTGATAAATAGGTCTTAATTTGAATTCATTCCAAAATATTAGTCAACGTGTATTGGAAATTTATTGTATTATGTGCTGTATCTAAAAAAATCAAAGTGATTTTAATTGTAAAATGACACTTTCAACCCGTCCAAATTGTTCTAGGTCTGGTCTGTCAAAGTTGTCTATGGTAGAAAATATGGTAAGTATAGCTACAAGCAAACTATTTATTAGTAAATTATTTATTATAATTCAAGCTTTTAACCTTATGAATACTGAGTTTTGCAATTAAAAAACGTGCATCCCATTACTACATACGAAAACAAACACATGGGCTATCGCTATGAATTGATTGGTAAGCCTTCTTTTAAAACCTGTATTTGTTGAATCGTTACCATAACTAAATCGCAAATATTCCTGAAAATGCCGAATTGAAGTACTAATAAACCTTTTCAGAACAAAACTTAGGTTTTATTAAGCAGAACTGATCTTAGAATGAATATAGCTAAGCACGGGGCACACTAGGCTACTTGCCAGCTCCTGGTGATCAGCATTTGAGGGACCTCGTTGATGAATTTAAGTGATGATTGAGGATGTGTGAGAAGAACAGCTGTGAGATTTTGCAACAACTCACTTTGTAAGCTACTTGTTTGACATTCCTGCTTCTTTGAAGAAACGTCCCACAAGCTTGCATAGTTTTGGAATAAATTTAAGAAATGAACTAGCTGTTTGGCCCGCTCTTCGCTCCGGCAATTAAAAAAAAAAAAATTAGAAATGCAGCTGTAAGAACTTAGATTAATCTGACTGACTTACTTGATACAATCATTGAGATACCTTCCATAGATCAAATATCCGATTGCATAAAGAAGGCATGAACCTTTTTCCAAATGAAGATACGTCCAAACGCCACCAGCAAAAAGGTGTAGGTACTTTGTTCATAAAGCAAAAATCCATAAGATACATATTTCTAAAAGAAAGAAAGTATAAAAATACACAAATTACACACACAAATAAGCTGTGTAGTGTCAAATAGAAGAGTAGTAAAAACCATATAGTAGCCAAGCACACACCCCTTAAGAAGTTTATGGTTTTCCAAAACAGCTTAACCTAGAAATATTTTAATTTTAAATATTAAACAAAAACAAACATTTTGAGACCAGGTGTTTTAAATAAACAATGTTCTAACAGATGGTATATGGTATTCTCCTCCATATGAACAACATGGAATCTTGGAAGTCCCGTGGTCAGAGCCCTGAGGTCTAAATCAAAATTCTGGCTCTGTCTGACCTTCTACACAAAATGACCTTCAAATCAAAAAAAGAATCATAAAAATCCGTCAAGCGATTGTCTTGCAATCTGCGTGAACTAAAATTGACCAATATTTTTTAATATAGGATAACCTGCTTCCCCGACCGCTTAAGCACAGCCATTTCTACGCTAAAATTACTACTTTTAATTGTCTAGTTTAAAGCTCAATTCTTGTCACCATTTCGTCCTTGGGTCCTCATAAACAGTACTTAATCTAAATAGTAAATATTGAGGATGCGTGTTAAAGAGAAATTTGTTTAATGATGCTTAACAGCAAAAAGAGGCGTTAGCGGACCAGGCCATGGATACAAAAAAGGAACAGTTATATAGGAGCTTCTTCAAGCTGGTTGCATAAATTAAAAGAAGATGAATCAGAAATATACAAAAATGTTTTACAAATGTACATCAATGAAACATCCATTCCAGGAATTGCTAGAATTAGTTAAACCTCTAATTTTAAAAAAATTAGACAGGAGCTGATGCCAGCCTAGTGTGACCCCTGCTTTAGACTAACAATCAGACTGAATAAATAAACAAATCTGACAAAACATTAAGAAAATCAGCTGACTTAATGTACAGTTATTCAGCGGCTGGCAAGCTGCCTAGTGTGACCCTTGCTTAAATGGTTTTTCAAAAGGGGATGACGGCCTGTGGCGGGGGAATTTAGTGGGTGCGAGGCCCACACACTAAGGGGGGGGGATTTAAATTTCTTCCCTGATGGTGCATTAAAGCATTTCCTCTCAAGAGAATAGATAGGGAGAAATTGTCCCGCCATCTACAAGTAGGCTCATAGCTACATCCCAGGTATTTTACAGGCCAAGACTTGGTATATCAGCACAGTGAACCAGTAAGACAGCGGTTGTCAGAAATACGGAAGGTACTTGTGCCACAGCCGCAGGACCAATGGGACCATCTCTTACGCCACTTGGCCACATTCGTGGTACCCATCCACGCTGCATCAGATGTATGCCGCAATCACAGTCAACATCTGCTGAAAAGTTTTCTTGACCAGGAGATTTGGGCTTATAGAAGTAAGTTTGATTTTTGTTACAGTAGAAAAGATTTTGTTATTTTGTGTTTTTTAATATTGGTCTTCAATACAGAATACAGAGTCAGTTCTGTATCACTGTTGGTTAATAAGTGGAGCCACAGCTCAAAGTGAGTTCCTAGCCAAGTCACAGTTTATTATTACACACCTAATTAAAAGTAATTCGGGGTTTGCATGAATTTAAGCTACGATTTAACTACTAGGAAATTATTCTATGTGCCCTTCTTAATGTATGTTTAGTAATCTTTTAATCCCACTAATTTATGGGCTGTTCAGAACATTGTGTGTTGTAAGTTTAAAGGTGTTCTTAACTTTTTTCAGGGTGTATAAGGGTCAATTGTCGTATGTTCATAATTATCAGAGGGTTTGAGACTTGAGATACGTAATATTTTATTTTCTGTTAAATAGATTTTAAAATGTAATTGAAACACTCCAGAATTATTGTAGTTTTAAAACTGTACCTTGTTGTTTAGAATACAATGCTAAAACATAGGGGTTACAAATACTTCCTTATCAAGTAATGCTTATATGAACCAGCTAGGACAGTTAATTCAAGGTTTGTTTCCATCCTGTACATGTATTCAGCTTGAGTTTCGTTGCTTGTGATTATTATTTTCCCTTATTTCACCCTAATTGAAGTAATCTATCCAAATTACCATATTTACATATCCATAAACTTCTTATAACCTTTGGTATTGTAATGTAGGCTTAAAGTGTTCATAGTAAAACCATAGATAAAACATACTGGTTGTCTATGGTAAAACTCACCCTCAATAATAGAAAACATGCCCCTATCAGCCCACTCAAACATATTCAAACATCAAACACAGTTCAAAACAAGCTTCTGGCTTACAATGGATTGAATATTGTTTACTTTTAGTATGGAGAGTAATTATAAACAATTTCCGATTTCCACAGTGGTAGATGCCAGCAGCAAAATACAGTCTGGAATTTTGGACGGCAATCTCCAAAACTTGGGTAATTATGCGCAATGTGTGAGCGTTTACGAACCCAACAAGCTGTTCAGGGGGCAGCATTGTGTCTTTGAAACTACAGGCTTCCTCCCTCCTGAGATATTTGATGAGATAAGTCGAAAGGTTGGTCAGTTAACTTAATATTTCTGTTTTTAACTCTATGGTCTTAAACTATAAAAAGTAGCTAATATGCCAAAGTCCCCCGATGCAAACTAATTGAGACCCTGTTTATATTAACCAGATGCATTAAAGCTGCTTTATAAATTCGAACTTCTACCACTGATAAAATGGTCAAATATATATAGCCTATTACCCGTGATTTCCTTCACGGTTCACGGTAATGTAGTGATCATGGTTACATTCTGATCATTTGGTGCAGTTGCGGCATTAACACATTCATTAAAATTATTATAGTTGAATCTCTATCAAATTAATTAGAAAAAGGAATTCAATTTGTGATCATCTATCGCAACAGCATTATTCACTACATATCATACTATGATATAAACACATGATTAATTTTAAAATTGTATTTGAAAGGAAAACCAATTGGCTAGTAAGGATTTTTTGAGAAGGAATAGAGTTTAACACGTTCGCTACTGAGACCGAGGTATACATTTGAATCTTACACATAGACCGGCTGTCACTTGTTTAACAGTACACACAGACCACGAGCGAAAACCTGTAAAACAGTGATAGTTTACATTGTAATACGCTACAATCGTGTTTGTAAATCATTTATTCTTGTTTTTTTTTTTGTTTTTTTTATAACCCTTTGTAATGTCGCATATTTGCGACGCCAGGTCTACAGCGAAGACAATAGTGAAAATTGTCATAGTTTTCTTGAACTAGACCGAACATCACATATATGCGACAGTTCATTTTTGTTTGTGTTTTGAGGTGAAAGTAAGTAAAAAAAACCAGATTTTATAAAAAAAACAATTTATAACTGAACAAATATAAAAGCTACATAGGATAATGCAGCATACATACTGCATACATAGCACAAACAAACACATACAGTAATGCAGAAAAGTAAAGACCAGTTTTTCCAACGATCATGACGTCACCAATCATCATATCCACAGACCAAGCGACACAGTTGTGCTTCAGACATCTCTGTAGACCACTGCGGGGAATTCAGTGCCTTCAAATAGACCGTTACAAAGATATAAGCATTTTAATAACATTAGAACCCTGACGCAAATATGCGACGGCAGTCTATGGGTGGAAACCGGCCATCGCATATGTGCGTCGCTGGTCCATGTGAATGAAACATTTCGTACTATTGCAGTAGCGAACGTGTTATCTAGCTTACCTGTGAAAATCAGAATCCAGGATCTAATTAAATCCAATATACACAATAAAAGAACACAAAACATAGCGTCATTTTGTCCTGACTTAGCACTTCTTCACAGAGTAGGTTTGAGGAGGACTCTGTTCCTTTTCATGAAAATTCTTGTTCATGATTATTCTTCTCTTTTGTGCTTAACTGATGCCAAAGAGTAAAACCATTGAGTATGCACGCGTGTCTATACAACCGCACTCATATGTGTATACTCAATGGTAAAACGTACACTAAAAGTATTAAAGTATGAAATCCACCCTAATTTTAAACATAAGAAGGTTACCTTGTAGTATCTAATGCCAATGAGGCACGCTAACAAACTGTAATCATTATTCCTCTGTACACAATACTTTTCTGTTCTGTGTGTAACATTGTGTACAATTATGTGTGATAATTTACTATAGTCTACCCCAATTATGTAATGCAACTAAGAACTTTGACTCAAATATAAATGGAAGATCAGTGTAGAATAAGTGAAATACCAATACCTTACGTCGCTTTTGACTAAAATCTGCTTCTCTATTTACTTTAGTTACTACTTTAACAACTTACTTGAGTTTTGAGTATTGAAACCACTGACTTTACGTATAAGATTGAATCAGCAACCTTGAGGTAGGCGAGCAAAAACCACTCAGTTGCCGATTCTCATCCATTGTTAGTCTCTCATAAAAACACTGTGTATTACTTCTAATGAGTCCGTATACAACTGTTGTTTTAAAACAATTTAAAGTTTGATTTGCCTAATTAATATTATTACATTTTTTACAGCCATTGCCTTTTATTGACTCAGAATTGATGATTTCCCTCTGTGTTCCGTCGTCTTGTTCAGACCTAGATGTCATCACACATATCAACCACATTCTGGCTCCTCTGGGAGTTAGCGCAAAGTCTTATCTAGAAGAACTCAGTTTGTCAACTGATATCAAACAAATCAGCTGTTCTACACCACAAGGAATCCCTTTCAGGACAAAAGACTATGTTGCTATGTAAGTGAAGTGTGAAAACAATGAATGCAAACCCTTTAAGAAGCTAAATGCTTATGGAGAATAATCAGACTGGAATTTTGCCGCCGAAATGAGCTTCACGGGGCCGCCGCAACAATTGCGTACGAGGCGACCGTGCTACTCTATCTCTCTCTCTCTTTTCTTTCTCTCTCTCAAGAAAATACTTTTGAAGTCCGGTATGAAAGTATTTTTAAGAGAATGTTCCATATACTGATGATTTGCCTTGTTCTACTACCAGTACTGCCTTTAAGGCTAAGCAAAATTAATTGTCTATGGTGGGAGTGAATTATAAAAATGGTTGCTGAAGAATAAATATGAAGACATCTAAGCACTTAGCACTAGAAAATAGGATTTCTCAGTCAAAGTAGATGATAAAATATTGTTTTTTTTTTGTTTTTTTTATTTTTTTTACTAGTGATCATTTTGATGATTTTGCGAAAATACTGGCGAACTTTAATTAGTGTAGTCTTAAATTTTGTAGTGTGGGAATGATTACCTTCATCTCATAAAAGCAGAGTCCTCGCTTAATAATACATAGTAATTTTGAAAAAACAGAGCCCGCCCCATCACACACCAGTCATCGTTGTACAATTCAACTAAACTGAGGACTTAAATTACTATAGCTTGCCCCAAAGATCAATTGTTGCGACACATCTAAGACATTAGCCAGTATTTTCATTTGTTCAACAATCATCTACGAAATACTAAGATTTTACAAACCTAGCACCACAAGCAACTATACATTGCAGGTATAATACTAGTAGATATAAAATAGCTATTTACATTACAAGTGTAGTAATAGCGTTTTTACATCACGCAGGTGAATGTTGTAATATTAAAATTTTTTATTTTACCTCTTTGCGTCGAACGATCCGTGTGTAGTTAGTACAACTACAGCTGTTTCATACCACCAGGGTACATCTTCAGGTTGTTGGTAGAACATAAGATAAAACAGCATTCATTCATAGATGAACATATACATATTTATTTCGACAAGTTCATCTATGAATGAATGCTGTTTTATCTAATGTTCTACCAACAACCTGAAGATGTACCCTGGTGGTATGAAACAGCTGTAGTTGTACTAACTACACACGGATCGTTTGAGGCAAAGAGGTAAAATAAACCATTTTTATATTGCAATTTACTATCCAGAGGCTAACCCATCATGAAAGTGAATGTTGTGCAACTCGCTTCCGCTCGTTGCATAATTCTCCTAAGTGATGTAAACAAGCTCTTGCGTAACGTGTAACGAACAAGATTTTACCTGACCCGACAATATACAGGAGGCTACAAACAATATTTTTCATTATCTATTTCACTCATCTATTGCACTCAACGTGCATTACAAACAAAAGCTAGTTAGGAAAATTCTTCAAAGCATAACAATAAAATTCAAGAGCACAGCTGATTTCTAGGGTTGAACGTCGGCTCCATAGAGGTATATTTTTTAAGTTAACACTCAATGTTATTTAAATGGGTTTCATTACCTCACCGAGTGAGTTTTTTCAACTTTACATCACTCGTGAAGTAAAGATGTTGTATACATCACACTTGGGATAGGGAAGTTTAACATGGCGGGTTAGGTAAAAACTTGTAGACTATCCAAAACAGCCCAATTATTGGAAATCACAGCTGATTGTAACTACAATTTATTCAACTCACAGAAGTTCATCAATATATTGCATCAATTATTTTGGACAAATGTTTATGCGTTCTAACCGTGCTCTTTCAATTTCGTTTCTACTAATGTTTATTTTTGTATCATTTTAACAGTAGAAAGCATTTCCAGGAAAATCAGAACTATATAAACATCCTTGAAACTATAATTTCTTCACTTTAATAACAAATATAGTTTCTTCCAATTGAAATATATTGGTTCAATATTTCACCATAATTTTAAATGGGTTAACATTTGAAATTAACATATTTACCCACACTTTCAGATTTTTATTTGCCTTGATCGCAGCACTGGTTCTTCTTGCCTCATTATTAAGGTCTCAATCAGGTAAGTGGCAAACGAATTAATAGTGTAGGAATTAATTTTGAAAGTTGATATAGTAAGTAAAAAACAAATTAGAGTGTCATTTTTTTTAATCCAAGATGGTGTCCAAAATTTCCGCTTTTAGGTACCATTTTTGAGTTTTTCATAAATATCTTGAAAACTATCAACTTTTGTATACTATACTCTAGATTAGGAAATCAAAGATGATTAAATTTCAAACAAGGAAAGTATATGATTGAACTATTTCGGTTCAACCATTTAAAAGATATAATAAATATATTATTCAAATACTCCTTCCATAAGAAATACATGTAAATTTGTTTGTACAATAAATGCTTAACATGGCCAAGCCTATCCACCCAGGGTCAATATAACATATATCCATGAAAACTTGACACAATTCCCAGCAATTTGACGGGAGTGTTGCACGACGTCCAAGTGCCACGACGTCCAATAATATTTTTCCAGTGCCACGACGTCCAAAACATAATTTTTGAGTTGTTGCACGACGTCCAAGTGTCACGACGTCCAAAAGTACAGTAACTGCCAAAAATATAGTCTTTCTACAAGCTTTGGACGTCGTGGCACTTGGACGTCGTGAAACAGCGCACTATATAATTGTAAAGACGTATCATTTGCACCACGTCCAAAGCCTTTGCCAGTTGCACGACGTCCAAGTGCCACGACGTCCAATCAATATTTGACTGTTGCACGACGTCCAAGTGCCACGACGTCCAAAGTGCCTGCACACTGTGAACACTAACACTGTTTGCCGACCTCAGTGCATACAGTTCGCATTGCAATTATTGAAGGCAACTATTCCTAGTCAACTGTTTGAAAGTTGTCAACCGCTTCGTCTTCGATTATCGTTTAAATTATTCAATATTCAATGGTTCTAATTGAACTAATTATTGCATTAGCTAAAATTTTTTATATGTAAAATAAATACTATGTCACCGTAAAATGTAATGATGCAGTATTTCTGTTGTTATGATTGCATAATTGATTTCTACAAAATAGAGCTATGTCATAGAAACGAAATAAATAAATGACTACCTACACTATTCACTATATTGTATGATTAATACAATAAATTAATCACTAGCCCAAAAGTAAATATGGTTGGTTTAATGTGAGTAGTGGTAGAATTCTAAGTACTGCAGTAGAATAGAATTGTCATACTATATCAATTGGTAGCAAATTTACTCGTAAGATAAAATGTATGCACAGTTTTATAACAGCTGTAAGACTTCCCATTTAAGTACCGGTATCATTGAAATTGTATAACTTCCATTGAACAGAAATGAGATAAGTAGATATTGATACACAGATATATGAATTTTCATACACTTATAATATGACGAATTCAAAAAAGTTTTATCCGTCAAATGTGCTAAATATTATGTAAACTATCAACTTTTTAAGCTATAATGATGTTACTACAATGGTTAAAAATGTTTCCTGTGAAACAGTGGGAATAATTCGTTTTAAAAGAAATCATTCATCATGGATATAGGAAATAATTAGGATTCTATAATCATTGCCCTATCAACCTAGGCCCTTTTCCTGAGTGTTATGAGGTTTATGTTTTGATTTATTTTTGTGTAAACCGTAATATAATCCCCCTTCCACAGCAAATCTGTAGACTGAATTTCCATTTGCCTGATTATATAATTTCACTAAAATATGTTAGAAAATTACCCTTTTTCCATATTTATTTATATTTTCCTATTTTTCCTATTTGTCGGTATGGAACTATTGTGATAGCTTTTTGTTTACAGTGCAAACCATGGATGTATGGATGGATGGATGGATGTTTGTGACAAGCAAACGCGAAAAATACTAAACCGACAAGGTTGAAATTTGGTATGATGATAGATGACATCCCCGATTAACATATTCTTACCTCAAAAATTCTTTCAGTCTCCGCCCCGGTGGCTCTGGCTCTGGACTTTCTCTAGTTAACCTTATGAGAATTCATATTTAAAAAAATTAAAGAATTTTGTCAGCCGTTTCAACTGTACAAGTTGGTTCTATGATATTAAACAGCATTAAAAAGTTATAAGGCTTGCCAAACAGGGTGCAGCACTATTATGTTGTTTGTTTGCATTAATGACCACAGCTAATTTGAACCAACTAGCAAAAAAAGTTGTGGTACACAATGAGAACTTTACTTTTTTCATGGTCTAGGTACAAGAACATCAGGACTATGGTAGATGTGTGCTACACAATAGGATACCGTATAAATTAAGAGACCAGTTTTTTTTTTTTTTTTTTTTTTAAATCGTGTCCTCTTCTATAACTGCAATAAGCATTTATACTTATATGTCAACCCCGTACGAAGGACGGGTACTCTGCTAGTAACACAATAATACAAATACAGTATACTAATACAATAATACTGTACGTTTCCGTAGTCTGTGGCCAAAGGTTCATCTGAACTGTCAATCAATTCTGAGAAATTCACAGTTGTAAATTCTTACTAGTCTTTTTCTAAGTTCACGTCGCACTCGCAATTAGTTCGCATGTTTTATGTAGGAAAACACGTATGCCCTAAGTCATAGCATTTGTAGGTTAAGTATAATAATAACAAACATGCTTATCGTAGGTTTGTAGGCATACTTGTTCAAGATTATGCCGTGGTAGGTTTTGTTTATAAATTTTATGTTTTAATTCTTGTCTAATGACGATATTGATTTGTATTAGTGCGAAAATGTTAATTTATTTGTCAAGGGCATGAGCGGCCCTCTAGTCTATGTATGTTACATGAAGCACAACATGAAAAAGAATAAATTAAAGGAAGGTAAAAAACGGATCAGTTGCTGAAGGTCTAAATCTCGGAAGGTCTAATCAGACCTTTGACACATATTTTGCAGTTTGTACTATTCAACATTCATTGTACATTCAAACTACAATTTTATTATTTTATTACTTTTCCGAGAACCAGCCTTTATCAGGACTTCCGCTCCCACGCTAGTTGGCAACGTCAACTGTGCTATATGAAAACAATAAATCTTGAGTAAATATACTGTAATGTTGAATTTTGAGGTTGTGGTGTTCCTTCGTAAACACATTCAATTATAATCTAGGAATATGTAAATTTATTGTTATACGTTAACTTTATTGATATTCGATTCGCTACAGTACTATTAAACCTATAACATTTTCAATTCATGTGCGTTGTATTTTAGAGTTGGGGAAACAAAAGAACCCTGTGTGCAACTTATTTATATGATACTAGCTGTGTGCCCGTTCTACGCACGGGGATCTTAAAGTAGTCAGTTGAAACCTTCTTATATTAAGAAAAGCAGTTGGTTTGCATATTTTCAGATATGCTGGCAAAACTATTATATATAAACCTTCGCAAATACAGTATCTGACAGTTTCAAGCCAAAACAAATCTATGAGGCATAGCCCTAAGGCCTATAGTTGAAAGTTACTTCCCACAATGGTTAAAGGCATTTAAAGTACTACCTCAACCTTACCATTTAACACTTTATTCGTGTTGACATTTTCATTATCAAGGTGCTCTTGTCCTTTTCGTGACACTAAGAAATAAGGACATAAATGCGTTACCAACAGACATACACACAAAAATACAGAACTTAATTAGGGAATTTGCTACGTTTTAAGCATACCACAAAGTACATATAAAATTAGAATTTGAAATCTTTGTCAATGTCATCAAATTTTATCATAACAATTTATATTTGCTTGGACCGAAGATGACCCGAAACGCTGTCGAAATGACGGCTTACTTTATAAAATGAAGTACTATAGACAATTTAGATTGGTAATGGTAATTTAACCTATAATAAAAATTACCAAAATAGGCCACGAACTATTGATACATAAACAACGTAAATCGTAAACAATTCATGATGGTTTGCTAAACAAATGTTTTACTTAAATGAGTTATCATTTTCTTAGCATAAACTAACATTTTGGAATACAGACAGAAAAAGCAAAACTTATACAGTTAAGGCATCAATTAAATTGAATAAGGCTGTGATACCACTGTATAAATAAGGTGCAACACCAACGATAACTAATTTGTAAATTACAGTGATGTGTTGGTACGTAAAAATTATTCTTGCTGCTACCAACGGTTCTAAGGAAACAAAACCAGTACCAAAAACCAACGTTTACAGTTGAATTACGTCCGACAAATTAAATGCGTTAATCAAGTCCCAAGGTTATTGATTTCTTGGTTTTGGATTTTCTCGTGAAAAGTTATCGGCAATCAAAATTATTTCCCATTAATTGCTTTATTCGTAAACAACTTTTAATGTAAACTTATTCAGTTTGAAAAAAACAACCTTATAAAAACAACTGTTTGTTATTTAATAGATTACGCAGGCCTATTCTCTAAACAATGATTGGTATATCTTTTAACATTAGAATGAAATGTGACAAAAATCACGCAATGCTGGGTTTTTGGACGTTTGTAATTTTATTTCTTAAGTAGGGAGGCCGTGTATTCTAGGGAAAAGTACCGGTAACAAGGATTGTCGTCGAAAAGGTTGTTATGAATAATTGGGTAGGCGTAAGTACCCAAGAGATGGGCTATGGGCCTATTGGCTGTATGGTCCAGCGATTGCATCATACGGTGAGTAGGAACAGAAAGTGACACATTGGAAAAGCGAGTTTAGCATCATCCATAAACCGTAAACCTCTGTTACAATCACCCACTGCAGTTGTGATTTTTTACTTTACACTTTACACAACCACCATCGAAGCGCCGTCAATGAGTTAGTAAGGTATTGGCGACGATCATTAATAAATTCAAGTTTCCCAGCCCTATACAACACTGATTCAAGGCGTGTAGTAGCAGTTGCGCCGAGTAGCATTTGCGCCGCGGAGTAAACCGTGCTTCCAGCGCCGCGGAGTTTGATTAGTTCAATGATGCAGAAGTGACGAGGGTCATAATTACTTACACATTACTTGACTGAGTTGCTTGTAAATAGTGTCGTTTTCCATACTCCTAATTAACTTGTACTAGTAGTGCACTGTTGCACAAAAAAAATGATGAAACACTTGTATACCACCACATGCAGTATTGAGTTAGTATAGATATTTTTCCTGAGCTATAATTATTATGACCAGTAGATATTTTCTACTTATCACATTACTAATTTAGGAGAAAGGGGGACTTTTGTTTTCCTATGAAATTTTTTGAAAATAGTTGCACCAGGATAGTCTGCGGTGCTATGTGGAATGCAAACAGCTCGTCATATTGGTATTAGGGGGATTTGCTAGGGGTATATATCCCCATACCTTTCGTAGTAACCCACTCCCTAATGTTACCTTTGGTCACTCAATGGTGTTGTCATTGTCAGTTTTGAGTAGAATTTAGCAAAATGAACATCGTAGAATCCACAAAGAAGGGCTCAGTTTTCAATCATTTCGTCTACTACAATTCTGTAGCCTACATTATATCATCGATATGTCGCACAATTGATAAGAATGCAACAATAAGCTACAATAAAACCTTTCTGAAACCTCTAACCGAATAAATGAATCGATAAATAATGTCGAACCATGCAATTACTTACAATCGACATTTACAACTGTTCACAACAGTTGACTTGTACTCCCTAGGGACTAAAAAGGCTTTTTACAACTGGTGATTAAAAACGTTATATAGTTTAGACCCATATGGTTTCGTCTTTTGTTTGCTATCTAAAGGTTATACATCGAAGTGAAGGATCACGGGTTCATACATAAAACCCCATTATAAAAAGGTTTGTCATAATTACAGGTTCTAAAAAAGTTAACCATGTAAATAAATCAATAACTTTGAGGGGGGGGGCAAGCCCAAATTGACACTTTTAGCTACCATTCGTCCGTCTGCTATATCATAAGATGTACAAGGACACCTAAATCGAAAACATTGGTTAATCAAAACGGGTTAAAAGTTATTTCACAAAAAAAACCTTATGGTATCAGGTTCACAGTTTCATTGTGTGATAACACTTAACTAAACAGACAATACCCCCGCCACAGCAAACCTGCCGACTAAGTGAATTTCTATTTGTCTGAATTGATTTTCAATTGAATGTATGTAAATAAAATTAGGTTTAACGAGTACCTAGGTTAGCTGCTACAAGGAAACTATTAAAGTGGAGTTTTAGTAAAACATGAATAGCTTAGTATAAAATAAATAAATTTGCAAAGTTTGATCAAAATATATCCATAAACAAGCAAACTAAAATTACTCAAGTTATCGCGTTCACGGACGTATATAAATCTATACAAAATGAAAAAGTAAATTGGTCACGGGCCTAGGTCTTACGGTGCCACCTACGGTAATAACATCAATTTTTTGCGAATTTAACATTATGGTACAGAAGACGTTAGTATCGTTAATTTATTTATATTATACCTATATGTGTAGGCAAATAGCAACAGGTTTCATTCCAATATCGGTGGTTCGTAAACTTAATCCAGGTGATTCAACCTTACACATTCATGCCAAATTTAATCAAAATCGTACGAGAAGCGATAAGCATAGGCCGGGAGCACGCCCGAGTTCACGTGCAAATCTCGCACTGTCAAGTTGATGATTTTTAAAATATTCGTGGGAAATGGATGGGGATTTGTAATGTTTATTGAGTTGTATAATAGTATTGAACATTTGCATGGGCTTGTATAGGCCGAAAGCAGGGTCATTAGAAAATGGCTAAAAAAACTCACCCATGTTATTCTTAAGGAGAAAAAGTGCCTAAATTGAGGTTATATTATACCTACTGTACTTTATATTTAATGGGTCAGTAAATGAAAGAATTAGCTTTTTAGCTTGATTCCGAATATAGTATATGAGGATTATATGTAGGGATATGTAGACAAATATCAGGATTTTTGGAATTAGTGGCAAAAAAATTATCTCCATGTTATTCTTATGGGGAAATACGCCTAAAGTGAGGTATATTTGTGGTAATTGCCACTACACGTTTTAGAGAGTTATTTTGTACAGTATTTCTAGACTTAAGATAAACTTAAATTGTTGTAAGGCCTGTCTCAACTCCCAGGCTTCACGAACCGCGATGTATACAGAACTGCCAAAACTGGTACAGAAACAAACTAATTTTTTTCGTAATTTCCTCTCTTTTGAGTTATTGGTAATTAATTGGTTTTAGGTAGCCTTTATACTGAAACGGCGGAGTATACTGTGTATTGTTGTCAACCAGTGAACAATATTTGCAGATATTTGTGGTGGCATAAATTTTGCAGTTATTAGATTTAAAATTATGTATGTGTAACCATTAGCACGGATCACGAGGTGACTGCATGCAACCACTTTACGCTGAAAGTAAAATGTGGTAGGAACTACGTCATCAATAATCATATTAGTGCAGTTGATTGGTTCCGCCTTTGTTAACCTGTCAAAACTGCTAACCCTCATTTAATTAGCTGGCGCGGCGCTGGTGCTACGCGGCGCAAATACTACTCGGCGCAAATACTACTCAACCGATTCAAGGTTATCAAAACTCAAGAACAATTTTATAGGTACACAAAGAATCTCTGGTTCCTAACCTGGATGATGTTATTACATTTCATTTACGGTTTCACTATATTATTCCACTTGCGATTAATTAAAGCCGTTTTGTAAGACAACGATTTTAATCTCACTTGGATAAATGGGCTTTGCCTTCAAAACGTGATCGGAAATGGTTGTGGTATTTGTAAACATATCAGTGACAGCGAGAAAAAATAATCTTGATCCGAACAGCTGTTCGTTATTTCATAGATCATTATGTGATAAAAATTGGACGAAAACTTGACAAAAATCGCACAAAACTGCATTTTTTAAAGTCCGTAATATTATTTACTAAGTAGTGAGGCCATATTTTAATGGCTAAAGACACTATCGCCAATCCAGTGAATACATTAAAATGACTTGGATCTTGATAGGTACTCTCGTTTTCCTGGAGAAGATTGCGTAAAATGTCATCTTGAGTGTTATAGAAAGACAGGAAGACAGACAGACAGAAATTTAGATGAGACTTGTTTCGGCTTCTTTAATGTATAAAACGTAAAAATAACCTACAAATGAATGATTCTGAGCAATGTACAGACAAAACACCAATTTTATTTATATAGATTCTCATTGGTTGCAATTTAATAAGTGGTGTAGCAAAACACAAACACAAAATTTATTGAAATGAAATTAAGTCAATGTTAAGTGAATACTATTAACAAACATATTTGCTACATAAAGACATTTAATTGAAGCCTAAAAACAGTTCAAAAAAGGCATTCTATTCTTTATACTAGTAAAAATTAAAATGAGGGTATAAAAAATAGTTTTCAAAGATCATGTTGATCAATGTACATTCATCTAGTCTTGAAAAAATAAGTATTTAAAAGCTTACTCCAAACATAATGACGTTGATCGGTTGTTAAGAAAATGTCATCATTTTTCAAACCATGTAAACCTTATAGTTTTCCAACTGTTGCCTTGTTTATTTTTTTCTTTTTATGTTTTTTTACTTTATGATGTTTCAATTAATGGTTCAAATATTCATAGTATATATATTTCTGAACAAGAACATATACCCATGTATATATAACTAATAAACGTTCCATAAGCATTTTACACGAGAGAACACTATTCGGCAAGTAGCCGGTCATCGTAACCGGTCATCATGAAGGAGCTTGGACGTCGTGCAACAGCGCTGAGCTATATTGGACGTCGTGCAACAGTCAAATATTTATTGGACGTCGTGGCACTTGGACGTCGTGCAACTGGCAGCGACTTTGGACGTCGTGCAACACTCCCGCAAATGTAACTTTTTTACAATTCTATAGTGCGTTGTTTCACGACGTCCAAGTGTCACGACGTCCAAAGCTTGTAGAAAGACTATATTTTTGGCAGTTACTGTACTTTTGGACGTCGTGGCACTTGGACGTCGTGCAACAACTCAAAAATTATGTTTTGGACGTCGTGGCACTGAATAAATATTATTGGACGTCGTGGCACTTGGACGTCGTGCAATGCATCCAATTTGACACTTTAATCGTACATAAAATTGCAAAACATAAAATTTTGCAATTTCTTTTGAAACTATTTTGTAGAGCTCAAAAAAACAAATAATTTAGTATGTTGAAGCATTGTTGTATGCCTAACGGTTACGGGAAAAATCCCAAAGAAGTGTAAATTAATTTGTTATTCTTATGGAGAATAAATAAACTGTTGTAGCTTGCTTGTCTATGGGCATATTTTTATGAAGTTTGGTAATTTTGTTTACTTTATACTAAGCTATCAATATTTCAATTTAAAAACCCCCATTTTCTTCCCTGTAGCAGCAAACCTAAGTACTAATTAAAATTAGGCTAATGATATTTAAATAGGAAATAAATCTGACAATTTTAAGGGAATAATTTAGTGGAATTCCAGCCAGGTAGATGGAAATTCGCTCAGTCTGCAGGTTTGCTGGGGCGAGGTTATTTTACTTACTATATCAATTTTTGAAATATATAGTTTTTGCCTTTAACAAAAAAAAAAAAAAAAAACGCGCTAAGCCTAATTTTATTACATATGAGCCTGCACTATGATGTTTAAAATATCATATGTTTTATAGTAATATACAGTACTGTAGTAAAACTAATCAATAGACCTGTAAATAGCTAAAAAATTTTAAAAAGTTGTGCAACCCTTTTTGGAAGGTTGACCAAAATCTCAGATCACATCAAAGTACTCTTCAGATTTTATAAAGGCAGCATATTATAATTATTTTTATTAGAGATTAATTCATTAATACATACCACTAAGCTATTTGCATATGGTTTGTAGCCTTTACACTTGATATGTGTATTCAGCCCAAATAATGTAGCAAAGTTATTACATTGTGGTTGACAAATATCAGGGTTACAAATAAGCACACAGCATTGATTGTTGCCAGTACATACAGTGTTTGAACTCCAATTTCCTTGCTAAATGTTACATTTTTCAGGCTGGTTATCGTGCTTTACTTTCCAAACAAACTTCCGAGAACTAATGGACACAACAGCGACCCCAGCTGAAATCTCTTGTTTGAACGGTCTGCGAGTTCTATTGGCTATTTTAATAATATCTGGGCATCGAGCATTCCTAATTTGGGTTTCACCAACCAACCGTCTTCTCACCATAGTAGAGGTATGAATAAAAGTTGAGGACTTAAAATATACCAGAATAATCCCTTGCTGTCTAGTAGATAACAATTGTTTAGTATAGAATCAAATTTTATGTTTCCAAATACTTGGATGTCTGAGAATTTAATGTAGTTTTACTATTGCACACTCATTCATTTTAATTCATATTCATTCTAATTTTAAAATTCAGCTGGTTGGTGTCCGGTAAAAACTCATTACAGTACAGTAGTACGTAATGAAACCCCATATGATTAAGCTGGTGGCAAACAGCTGTTTTCTGGACTAAATCCTTGCGTGGGAAGTTCGTTAAAACAGTTTAGTGTTTCGTAAACATATTTTTCTGTTTTTAACAACAAGTTTTTCCCACAGGTGCTAGGATCGGTCTTTCCGGTAGTGTTCTTTGATTTACTAAAAGCCAAAGGTGTTGACCTATTTTTCCTCATCGGTGGATGTGTTCTAAGCTTCAATTTCTTTTTAAGAAATCAGAAAATGAAAAAGTTTGATTATTTCAACTTCTGCCTAAAAAGATACTTCAGGTAATTATTGGCAAATTTAGTGCTAATTTACTATTCGTTGAAATTGTTAAGCTTAGGCCTACACAAATACTAATACTAGGTTATATTTTAAAGGAATGCCATTTGGCTATTTTAAACAGATTTTTTAAAGAGTATAGCTAGTTAGTGCAGTGGCTTTAATATATACACAATAAAAGACACAAAACATAATACTTTTGACTATATATTGATACAACTTCAGTATCCAATAGTAAATGATAATACTGATATTTTGTGGTAATTGATATTTTTAGAGAGTAGGTTGAAGAAATTCTCTTCAACCAGCACAGATATACAGTAGAAAGGCTAGTTGTAAATGTGTTAAAAATTATAGAACTAATCAAGTATTTGTTGATAACTATTTCAGCTTTAAGTATGTCTTTTTTTAAACTGAAATTAAATTAAATTAATTGAAATGCTATTTATTGCCGTTAAACTCAATACAGGCATTGGCAAGCTTTACAATCAATAACTCTACAAAATCAATATGTTATTGTTTTTGTTAACAAATTAAATCCTTAACACAACACTATAAAAACGATTACAAATTAAAAACTCTTTAAGCTGGCTCTTAAATTTAGGAAAGTCCATTTCACTCCTGAGATCATTTGGGAAGCCATTAAAAAAATGACAGAATTGTAAAACATCTGATGAAAAAAAAAATGAAGTTTTGTGTCACGGAATGTTCAATCAAAAAAGTATTAGTAGATCTTGTTTTATATATATTCAATTTGGTACAAGATGCTGATAAATTTCAAGGTTTTTCTTAAGAAAAAGCAGTGTATGAAAAATGTAAATAGACGGAAAAGATAGACGGAAAAGTCCTGCTTCAGAAAGAAAATTGCTTGCATGATTGTTTTGTTTTGGCTTGAGATGACCTACTCTAATGGCTTTCTTCTGCATCCTAAAAAGTTTGTTTGGTGTGTACGTTTTTAGATCCCCAAATGCCAACTGCTAACTTTTTCTAATTTGAATCTATCTATACAAATAATATAAAAAATAACCAAAAAGTAAATGCATCACAACTGTATTGTAACTGTAAGAATATAAGATAAAGTGACTCTTATCCACTCCACCTCGGACCTTAGTTCGCCGCATAACTAATATGTGAGAGGCTATAAGGAGTTGACGAACTGTATAGTATGCAGCTGCTAAAACATTAAGAAAGTTCTGTCAAGTGCATGTCTCTGTGTGGCAAAAGTTTCCAAGTTCAGTCAGGAGAACAAAGTATTGGTTTTCTCTATCCATCTGCTACGGTGTGTGCAGTCATAGTACACAGAAATAGCAACCAATATCAATATCACACAGTACTCTGTTGCGTACGGGGTGGGTTTTCTGCAAATAGATAATCTTTAAAATTAAATCAAACCATTAACCATAAAATTTATAAAATGTTTATAGTGAATTTCATAAATAAGGAATAAGCTACCTTAGCTCCCATACTAAGACCAATTTAATTTTACTTTCTTCCCCTACACCAGTATATGGAGAAAGTATTGTTTTTGTCAACATTTTCGAGTTTGAGTTTTGAGTGGATATATCCGTTTTAGATCCCCCTGTACACAAAAAAGCGGTTAGGTTATGTCTGTGTGTGTCTGTATGTGTGGATGTGTACAGAAATACAGACTACACCTGTGGTCTAATTTTTATGAAATTTGGTATGTAGGTACTAATCCATGGTATCTCCGGGTATTTTTTTCATTTTTTTGAAATTTTGATTTTTAATTGTTATTTTTCCACCGAAACCCATAAAAGAACTGAATAAATTTGTTTTTCTAAAAAAAGGCCCCGAACGATTTTGATACAAATTTAGTATGTTGTAGCCCTTTAAATTCTGAACAAAATGATAAACATCCTACTTCTGTAAAAATTATGGTTCAAAAGTTACTGTAAATAATGTTATTTTCCCATAAAATAAGAGATAATCATATTTTCGAAAAAGAAGCCGGTTTTGATTAATATTAGATGGTCATTATCCTTATCCTTAACAACATAGTGCCAAAAAGTGTCCCAATGCTGTGAAAATTACCGTTCAAAAGTTAATGCAAATTTTGTGATTTTACCTATTAAATCATAGTTACTTTCCTCGCTTACCCATGATAAAGGTTTTTGACAAGCTAATGAGAGAAAGTATGTAATTTAAATCCATGTGTGTAGCCCCTGAGCTGTTGGACATAATGTAAGACTAAATTACTTACGTAATTCCCGTCACAGCTCAATAACACCGAATAATTAACACCGAAACATGTCCTGAATAGACATATTTTATTGAGCTGTGACGGGAATTACGTAAGTAATTTAGTCTTACATCAGAAAGTATGTGTCAGATTGCTCATACCGTTTAATTTCTTTTCATGTCCAACAGGGTCCAAAATTACCAGTCATGTTTCTAGTGAGGTTATGTAAGTAGGTAGTTTAAAATCTTCAGAGTGAGTGAAAAGAAAACTTACATTACTGTGCTCTAGACAGACTGACACCGTTGTTGGCAGCAGTGATGCTGTTCCACGCTACACTGTTGGTACACATGTCTCATGGGCCACTGTGGTTGCGGAATATTGCCGAGTTTGAGGACAAATGCTACGTAAACTGGTGGGCCGGCTTACTGCACATCAGCGGTTTGGTTGTCCCACAATACATGGTAAGACAAATTATGCCCTTTAGAAATTACATTTTATAATTAGGAGAAGTAACTTCACTATTGACAAGTATATTGCGTTTAGGTGTGCAATACAAAAAGATTCCTAAAGATACCCAAAAAGAGTCGAGATTAAAATCCTCAAAATCTCAAATTACAATAAGCTATGTAGAAATGCTGTGACCTGTAGGTCCACCATTTACTAAACAAAAATGAATTATTCAATGTGAAGATATTGGCGAGTAAATAAGTAAATAAAAATTTCTTTATCAAGCGTTTCTCTGGTACACCAGCTTTTTCAGAACAACTTTCTTTACTATTCTAGATATCTTATTCTACTATTTGGCCGTTATTAGACAACACTTTGATTTGTTTTTAACATATTTTTTTAGATGTTTTGCTAGATGCAAAAACATTTGATTTGATTTGATTTGATTTGATTATGAGTAGCTCTTCCTCCCAAGCTCTAGAGAAACTCTTGGGAGGTGAAGCCTCCCACCATGACGTGTCCTGAGCTGGGAAACCTCCTAACGAAGAGAAAGCCTCTCACGTAAAGGAAGTGTTACTGAAAGTTTAAATCCCGGAACTGCAAAATGTGTGCCCGGTATTTAGACCTTCAGCAACTGATCCTCACATAAAAAGTCAGGCTTACAAAGAAACATCACCCTCCCAGACAGCACACTTTCTCCTCAGGACATCCCACGGGTATTGTGACAGGATATGCAAGATATCCCATAGTAGTCCTATGGTCAACTTGGGATATCCCAGGATATCCGCAGGAATGCGTAATGTCCCCGCCCGGGGATGTTGTGACAGCATATCCGTGGGACATCCGAGGTCATCCCAGGGTAGTCCTCAGGACATATGGGACTACTATGGGATGACGCTGGGATAAAGTGTGGTCTGGGCCTGAACATAAAAAACACAAAATAATATAGATTTAGTATGAAAAGTTTAATTATCAGTTGAGTAAATTGATTAAATAGTTAATAAACACAAATTTTGGAGAAAAAAACGAGAAAAAAGTTTTAGGCCCAGACGGGTCTCGAACCTGGTACCTTCGCCTTGTGAGCCTCATACCTTACCTCCTGATCTATCCGCGCTTGATGATTAGAGTGTTTTCAAGTGGTCAAAGAGTAGCCGACAGTTGCAATGGTCGCAATACTTAAAATATTTTTGATACTACAGTATATAATATGATTCTGTTAATCTGTTTAGGCCTCAAGTAGTTGAATTGTTTTTCTGGTAGTTGGAGAGGATACTGGTATTTGAATATAGATTATTTAATTACCATCAGATTAGCACTGTTATAATTGATTGTTATCTATATATTAATTTGAAACTGTTTTTCTTTGTGACAGCTATTTTGAGAAAACGGCTTGGCGTAGAAACTCGGTAGGGGTCTCTAAAGAAAGGTCTTGGTCTGTAGATGAGCCATCAAAAGAGAAACGTGGTAAATTCCCTTGGGGCTCTGCCCCAGTGGCCTTTAAATTCCCATCCCATGTTATTCTTATGGAGGAAAAACGGGTTTTTGTCACAGCTAATTTCAGAGAACGGCTGGGCGTAGAAACTTGGTAGGGGTCTCTAAAGAAAGGTCTTAGTCTGTAGATGAGCCATCAAAAGAGAAAGAAGGTAAATTCCCTTGGGGCTCTGCCCCAGAGGCCTTTAAAGTCCCCTCTTCAGATTTGTTTACATCACGACCATATGCATACATTTACACTACTTTTTAATGAAACAGCTGTTAATATTTAAATTGTGATTTACTAAATTTGTCAAAATGAAGTATTTGCAATGGTTTTTGCTGATTGTAGATGGTTATTGCATTTGTAGAAGACACTAAAAAACAAGGTCAGCTTTTGAAAAAAGATAAGATATTTACAAGAAAAATTTTATTATATCTAACTGTTGTGTACATCTTGAGTATTTCCATAATCTTTGAGTTGACTCTTATAAAGTCATCGGAAATTACTTTAAATAACGCCTGTAATGCTTTGCAATTGCTCGAATTCGAGCAACAGGTACACTAGTATGATTAAAATTAGTTTTAGATTATTTTATTAATTTAAAGTTAGAATTAAAAACACGTTTCACACAACTATGATAGAACTCTAGTTTTCCTTAACTCAGTGGTAGTAATATGTCAGTAAAGTAAAGTCAGCCCTTGCTATCCACAATATTAACAAGACATATTTTCAATTTGGGAAACCTTAAACTTTTAAAACAAATTTTAAAACCTCAACATTAATGCGTGGGAATCTTATTTTATAGAAAAAACAGACCAAAATTATTTCTTAAATAATGAAGATGGCCCAATTATATACTCGGAATTACTGAAAATAATTACATCAAGAACAACACTGTAATACTGTATATCCAAAATTCAAAAGATTAATTTTTCTAATATTATTTTGTATTTTTCCAATATCTTTTAAATCATCTGTTTTAACTTTGTTTAAAATTAATTTATTAAGTAAATATTTACTTTTTGTACTAGTGTAAAAACAGCCTGAAGATGGAAACCTAGTTTCTGAAAGCGCTAGTGAATAAAACAAATGATTATATATTGGCCTCGTTGAACATTTAAATTTATATATACATTTCATTAGTGGTAGTAGTTTTTTCTTCAGTTTGTTACCGCGGGACATTACGGGACATTACAGGATATCCAGTGGATTTTGTACATGTCCCGGGATGTCATGGGACATTCTACATATCCCGTACATATCCCGGGACTTTACAGGATATCCTGAGGTTAACTTACAAATCCCGGGACATTACGGTATATTGTAGGATATCCTGTGGATTTTGTACTCGCCCCGGGATTTTGCGGGATATCCTGAGGCTAGCGTACATATCCCGAGACATTCTCCGGACATATGGGACTACTATGGGATGTCCCTGGGATAAAGTGTGCTGTCTGGGCTGTGGGTCATTCAGCACGTCAACAACCTGCACATGACTTCAACAGGAAGCAGACTAGCTACTTCTGGAAAGGCGGAGACTGAGACATGATCAAATTTTTTCAAAAAGAAAATGAAACGGATTGCGGAGTTTTGCAAACATTGCAACCGACACATGTCTTCCCAAGAAATGCTGTTGCCATATGCAGGAAAGCAGTAGTAAAATACTGACAGTATTAGCATTAGTGACTGTACCAGCTGAAGTTTTGCAGCCTCAGGCAACAAGCCTCTGAACCTGCCCAAACCTCTTAGTCTCCCTAAGGCTCGCTGGGTGATATGATCTGAGAAATTCAGATGCCCGTCAATTACGACGCCAAGAGTGTTTTTCCTTCTCACACACTACCAGAATCAGGCCGTCAGTTAATGTGTGAGTAGGCAAGAGCTCATTCCTCAAGTCAAACCGCATTTATTTATTTTTTTTTTATTTTACTCCACAATTACTCTTTCTAAGAAAGTTTTATGTCTATTTTCCAGTGTGTTGGCGAAAGCTGGCATGTCGCTTGTGATTTCATGTTTCACTGTTTTGCTCCAATTTCACTTCTTCTTCTCCTCCGCAAACCACAACTTGGATTTGTCTCAATTGCGTTTTGTTCTCTCCTATCCATTGCACTGACAACAGCTGCTGCTCTTTATTTTGGATTCTCTTCAGGATATTTCTATGGCATTATGTGAGTGTAAAAACTAAAATCATTCTGTTAAAATTTGTTTTCATATAACTTATCAAGATAATATGCTAAAACCAACAACCAACGGCATTACAACATTTAACATTAACTTTGGTATTTGTCATATGCAAATGGATTGACTGTAGACCTTAAGTAGCTTAAGATTTTTACATGTATCTACTGTTGTGAACTAATTCAAAGTAAAACACACTTTGGTTTGGGAAATGTTAATCTTATTTCTTCCAAAGCATTTAGATGGAATTAACATAATATTTTTCAGGTTTGGAGACAGATTAACCGATCTTCACATTCCTATTTTTTACCGAGGGGCTGTTTTCAGAGCATCTACATTCTTCATGGGTCTTTTCTTAGGATATATAATGTTTTGCGTTAAACAGAGGAAAGCTCAATACACTTTATCCAAGGTAAAATTTTGTATTTTTAAGCTTTAAATTATGTTGCTGGCTAATATTTGAACCCACCATAAGTCTTTTATGAACTTTGTTTTAACACGTTCGCTACTGCAATAGTACGAAGTGTTTCATTCACATGGACCAGCGACGCACATATGTGACGGCCGGTTACCACCCATAGACTGCCGTCGCATATTTGCGTCGAGGTTCTAATGTTATTAAAATGCTTATATCTTTGTAACGGTCTATTTGAAGGCACTGAATTCCCTGCAGTGGTCTATAGAGATGTCTGACGCACAACTGCGTCACTTGGTCTGTGGATATGATGATTGGTGACGTCATATGATATTTTGGAAAAACAGGTCTTTACTTTTCTGCATCACTGTATGTATGTATGCTGCATTAATCCTATGTAGCTTTTATATTTGTTCAGTTATAAACAGTTTAGAACAGTTACTGTTCTTGAATAACCTGTTTTTTTTTTTACTTACTTTCACCTCAAAAAACAAACAAAAATGAACTGTCGCATATATGCGACGTTTGGTCTATTTCGAGAAAACTTTGTATGTAATAAACCAAATTGTCAAATTGCATTAAAATATATCCATAAAAAAGCAAACTACAACAGTTTATTCATTCTCCATAAGAATAACTTGGCAATTCTAAATTTACACTTTTGTGGAATTTGTTTCGTAACCATTAGGCATAAAACAACGTTTCAATATACTAAATTATTTCTTTTAAGCCCTACAAAATTGTTGAGAAAGAAATTGCAAAATGTTATGTTTTTAGGGTGAAAATAATGGGAATACCTAATTTAACCTAAAACCCCCCCATAAACCCCTGTTCCCATATTCCGATCTTGCTGGTTTGCGAACTCATTCGAATGAATGTAGGTTTACATGTTTGTACCAAATATCAAAATTGGATCACTTTTGCTTGAGTTATCGTGCTAACGTACACATATAGATATAAACATCTACACTGTTTTTATATATATTTGAATTTGAACGTATGGTGTTTTTAGCCTCTAGGGACCTCAAAACAAAAAAGTAAATTGGTCCTGGGTCCAGGTCTTACCACAAGACCTACGGTAATAGCTCATTCCCTATATGAGAAATTTGCTTAGAGAACAAAAAATAAACCTTTTTTATTTTTATTGAAAATCTAAGTTTGATCTCGATTTGTTTTCAAGAGGGTAGACACCACTGTTAGACTCTATACGTTGTCTGTTTTTTGTTGCAGCAATCAGCTTGGATCGGATGGATACTTTGTTTGACAACGTTTGCTGCTCTCACTGCAGTAACATTTGAGGTGTTGTCACCTGATCATGAGTTTATGCCACTGTTAGACCCGCTATACCTGGCCTTCTCCCGCATTGTGTTTTGTGCCTGTTTTTCCTGGTTTATCTTTGCATGCTACTATGGGGCAGGAGGTAAAACACAATTGTATTCATTAGGTTCAATAGCAATGACAATGACTGGTAAACAATTCAAATTTTAAACTTTCTTTTAGTTTGTGTTTTACTTGTAAAATGAGAAAATGACTATCCAAGCAAATAAAAGCAACTTAACAGCTATCATTCAATAAAACGGTTAACTGTTGGAACGTGAAAGAAGAATGAGAAAAAATTTTTACTAACTTGCCTAATGAACATAGATTGAAGCACGCCATCTTTTGAAATGTTAAATAGCTCACAACCATTTGTATTTTCTTTCAGGTTCAGTCAATGAGTTTCTCTCCTGGTCAGGTTTTCATGTGATTGCCAAACTTGGCTACGGCGCTTACCATGTGCATAGCAGCCTTCAAGTCATTCAAGTTCTTAGCTTAGAACATGCAATTGTATTCAGCTTCACTGAACAGGTAATTTAACAAGATAAGTACAAGAATCAGGTCACGTTTAGAGTTGATTTTATTCGCAGCTATTGATCACTACGTCGCTAGCTAGTGACGGCATTAGTCAGCTGTCACAATTGTAACAACAAAATTATTGTGTTATTATTAAATCAAAGTTTCCTTTGCAGAAAAAAACATAAATATTCTACACAAAAATATAAAAGTTAAAACATTTAAACATTTTTATTAATGAAGAAGCTTACTTTCAAATTGTAATAACAAATGTGATTAAATTTGTAAGTTTTTTATTTGTAAAAAAAGTTGTTTCTTAAAAAACCGTAAAAAGCAGGTACGTAAGCATAGCTATTCATTCATTGTTGCATTCCTCTATCATGTGACAGCAAAAGAAAAGTGGAGTGCTCTTAACGCCCCACTCTTAAAATTATTGGGTAGTAAAATGGTTACAGGTTACAGTTAGTAGTCTACTCACCTTTAGTCTGATGATTGCTGGTTCCATCCCAAGATGGATATTCTGGACCAGGGTTTGGCCATCCAAAAATCATAAAAGTTGCTCTTGGCGTTAAAACACATAAAATAAAATTATAAGAATTGGTAATGTTGCTTTGATGAAAAGCCTTAAAAGCCACATTAGGACTGTATAGACAAATGTGTATGTTGTACAGTTCTTATAAAGAGAATCCCAGCTTCTTTATTTCCTAAAAATATGCTTTCATTTACTCGTAAAATTAACTGCAGGCGAGGTTCTTATCCTAAATTCCCAGTACCAGATATTGGAGCCTTGAGCACCTCAGAAGATATCTGTTAGCTCCCCCATTCCCCCTTAGGAAAATGTCCTTATTTGATCTTTGACACTTGTTCCAGATATTCCTCTTGGCTGGTGATATACTTATCAGCTTTCTTGTCGCTATTATATTACACACCTTTATAGAAGTCCCGTTTTACAAGCTAGCCAACCATATTATTGATGGTAAGTAGTGTTTACCTTGTATTTTGTTTCAGCCAGTGATTCAATGGTAGATTAATGCTCAAACACTATCAGAACTAGTTAAATTTATACTTATTAGATTTTTAAGTAAGTTTGAGTTAAATTTGTCGCAGGAGACTGTGATCATGGCAGCTATTGTGGTCGAATTATTTAATTGTTTTCCCCATTAATTATGCTAGTTGATTCTCTAAAAGTTAACCCTCTGGTTATAAGAACTTCAAAATAATCATTATCAGATTAAAACTCATCATAACATTGTCCTCAGCTGATCCACAACAAGTACAATTAATTTGCAGAAATTTTCAATTTTGTCAAGATGAATCAAAACTTTCAAAACACTATCGCTTGTCCACATCGAGTTAATTAATCTGAAAACCACACTCTTCCTACTTCAAAGGTTATAAAACCAGGTGCCCATGATAAAATCTAAATGCATTTGTAAAACGTAATATTTTGATATAAAATCTAGGTCTAATGATTTGTACGGTATACTTCTACAACATACGTCCGGTTACTTATCAGTTTGTAACATAATGTTTTGATTTTGCAGGTAACTATAGGAAACGAAAGCCAAAGCAACGTTAACAACTTTGAAAACTAGTATACTGTTAGCTTTTAAAGATTCACGTTAATGTAAAATTTAATTTGTTATTAGATTTTTATGAACAATCATTGATGCATTTATGAAAAGTTTATCAGAAATCCAAATAAGTTTACCTCAAAGTTGTGCTGAAAGATAATGATTTTAAGATTAATCTGCAATCATTTATGTAAAGTTTAAACTATTAATTGTGCTAGAATTGATTAAGTAAATATTTACCTAATTAATGTATGAATAACTACAAAAATCCTTCTTTGATAAGCATTCTGTGGTTAAACATTTTTCGTCATACTGCAGCAAATACAAAACATGTCCGTTTTTAATACATGCATTTGGGTCCAAATTAGAATGTTTACTCCTTGTGGAGTAAAAAACCATTTTAGTTTCCTAGGGAGTTAAAGTAGGCTGTTGTAAACTGTTGTAAATTTGTAAAAGTAAATAAAATTTACAACAATTGTTTATGAGCAATTGCATGAATCAAAATTATTTATAGATTGGTTTATTAGGTTAGGTCTTAGCTTTTAGTGTTGCATTCTTTTCAAAAGTTTGACATATCAATGGTGTTGCACCACAACCACAATAGGCGGAATGATTGAATCACTTACTTAACAGCTGCTTGTTTCCATTAGCAAATTAAAGAGAAAACAAACTAGAAGAGTTTTGAGAGGTTATCTTTAAATGAAAATTATTTCAGTTTTGTAACATGGTTTGCTCAAATAATTCGTGCAATATGACAAAAACTATAGTTCATCGCACAGGTAAAAAGTGTCTTTTCAACCCTCATTTATTTTCCGACCTCGGCTTCGCCTCAGTCGTGTAACTTGAGCTCAGGTTGAAGAGTCACTTTACGCCCTAGTGATGAAATATACTATTTTGGAACAATTTAAGTAAAATCTTTACCAAAAGAGACAAGCTTTTGCCGGATTTGTCTATTTGTCGTTTGCATTCATTTTTACAAATCTGCGTTATATTAGAAATTGTTTGGACTGTTTGGAGATAATACAATTATAAAGTTGGTTAGTGTATGATTTATTTTGAATATCCTGTGTTGTGTCTAAGTCTACTCAATTTTTTATAACTCCAATAAGCTCAATTCCAAATTCCAATTAATCTGAAAATGGCATGTTTAATTTGATCTTAAGGCTTTGTAATTGATCACTTAAATCATAACATTGATACTTGAGCTAATATAGTTGCCGAGCTAAAAATTTAAAACTATATTTGATAACTTGAAAAATACCTAACACTATATCTTTTACGGATAAGTAAATTGTATACTTCTCACAAAAAATAAATAAATAATACCTTTATGAATATTAATTAACACAACTATACATTCCACTCCCATGTTAAAGTTGTCGCCAGTTTTTTTATCAAATTTGTCGCCAGTTTTTTTTATCAAATTCGTTGCCAGTTTTTTTTATCAAATTCGTCGCCAGTTTTTTGATCAAATTTGTTGCCAGTTTTTTTATCAAATTTGTCGCCAGTTTTTTATCAAATTTTTCGTAGTTGAAGTGAGCCGCCAACAGCGCTGATCTAAATTACTAATTTATGTCGAATACACAATGTTTTTTACCGAGTCAAACTGATGGATTTTATGACCCATCAGCTATGTTAGCAACAAAAAATAAGGTAGAAAATAGAATTTTAGACACTTAGCACATTCTGTGACTGGCTTACACAACTACATTCTATTTTAGTAAAAAATTTGTGACAGCTGATCCATATAGATTGGATGTCTACTTTTGTATCCAATAGTCAATGATAATAGACTAAAAGCTTGAAGAAATCATTCCTTTCAAAATATGTGATTTGAAATGTGGATCAATCCTTAAAGTTTTGTTTCTCAATATTCATCTCTACACAAATGTGGTTTTCACTTAAAACTGTAGGTAAAAAGAATTATGAAGCTCGATGGAGAAAGTCGACAAAAATATAATATGAATGCTGACTCCGCTCAATTTTGTGGACGCCTCTGCGAACGTTTATTTTTTATTAGATAATCATTAAAACAATACCTTTGTATATAGTCATTTAACTGTCATTCCACACTAAACACAAATAGACTCCATATTTTCTTGAAAATCAATTTATTTAACAATATTATAAACTTAGAAGTCTAGAAACTTACAATATTATTAATTATTACATATGCATATGGACCTGCTTAAGTCCACAACTGGCACTTACAGTAATAACAGATTTCCTCTATCAACACTGAATGTAAAAAAGTATTCTCTAAAATGATGAAATATATATTCTATGAAACTAAATCTAAGCTGGATAATCTTATCCATAAACATTTAAAAATGTTATCTAAAATACTAACTAAAAATCCATGAAATTTAAGCACAGAACACGACAATTCATTTCACAAACTTAATGTAATGTGAATCATTTTAGAAAATTATAACATCTACTTATTTAATGCTATGCTAACTAAAAAATCAATAAAATTGTAACATAAAACACCACGCTTCTTTTCTCAAATGGAATGTAAAAAAGTTTAAATCCTCTTTAGGATAAATTTTTTTTTTGAAACTCATCTTATCAATTTTAGAAACCTTTACGTCGCCTACAAGAATGCAAAAACAACATGACTCAAACATTTACAGATACATTTAAATTAAAACCCCCTACTCAAAATAACAAATCATATTGAAATATATTATTTTTAGACACATTATGCCCCATCAATACATGGGTAGCTTCTCCGCGTACTCAGTGAGTGAGACTTTCTCTATAGCCACGATGGACAGTAGAGGGGAGTGTCTGTTATTGGTGGCTGGCAGAATGACCAGACGAGAAGCACATCGGTGGAACAGGTACTGCCACTTGAGGGCGGTTTTGGCGTCCAAGGACATAAGGTCAAAGTCATCTGGCTGTAACAACCGGAACCAAATATGTACAAGAGCGGACGGGAAATGCAGACGTTGTTGAGAAAAATTGCTTTGTGATGTATATTTAAGTGTAAAGTTTGTGTACGTGTTTCAAAACTTCAAGACGCACCCAATGGGGAAGATCAAGACCTTATATTAGAACTGATGATGGCAATTTATTCTGCCGAAATGCATCTCCTGTAATAGGATTCAGCACATTAGGATCGACCGGCGGACACAGGTAATTTAACCTTTTATTGAAAATTGCTTACACTAAAAAAAAAACTAAAAGCAGACACACACACATTAAAAATTGCTAGAGCCATTAATGAATCATTTTTATATTAAAATAACAAGAGTTGTAGTTTGTAGTGCCTATAACAAACCCCATTAGCGAGTAGGTAGGCAAACTAGTTCAAATCTGACACTATCGCCGTGTAAGTTTTTTTTTTTTTTTAAGAGGTTGGTGGTTTTTTTTAACCTTGCATTTGCCCGTCCGCATAGACTACAGATCTGTGCGTGGAACGTATCCAGCAAAGCAAGGGGTGAGCCAGTACAGTACAAAGGTGAACTGTACTGATAAAAGTTTGTGGCAGTGACCAGGATCCGAACCCTCGACACTACTGCCTTGGGCCCGAAGTCCGCGACGCTACCAACTGAGCCACCGACTCACCAAACTTCCTTCAGTTACTAACTAACTTCAGTTACTTCCTTCCCTAATATGATAGCAGGACTATATGCAACGTATATTCTCGTCATATTACAATGGTGTTTCATTGGAATAAAAAATGTGCTCCCGGAAAAATAACTGATTTCTGATATTAGGTTTAGGTGTCAAAACTACTAATGAAATCTCAGTTTACATATGTATATGGAGGTAATTGTGTAAATGTAAAAAGTGTGGAAAAAAGAGGTTCACAAAAGACCTTGAGCATTCATTTGCACAACACGCCGGGGCAGATGAGATCCATCATTTCCATCATGAAAATAATTAAAGTTGAGTTGAGATAGTCTATTGTTTGGCAATCTCTCTGTCACTGTGTTCTGCATGCAAAGTTTAATTACTTTAGTTACTGCCTTTTCAAACAACAATGAGTTGACCTAAAATGTACAAATAATATTGTAATTATCATGCAAATATTTACAAAGATCTCCAAACTACCTCCCTTATGCACATATCTTATGTCCAAAAACTTGTCTCCATTCACGTCTGTCATCTGTTGACGGATTTTAATAGGATTTAACCCATTGGACCACAGAAATCCAATCAAAGAACAGGATTCTTACCTGGCAGGAGCATCGATTTTCTTTCACATCATGATTGGGTACTATGACGAGGCAAATTGTTGAATAGGGGTCGGAACCAGATTGAAAAGTAGCAGGCAAAGTAAAATACATGGCACTGTCCATATAACACATTGTCAAATTGAAATTAACCTAAAAGGTAATTTTAAAAACTTAAAATCAAATTGACATCCTAATAAAACTTTAAACGTAATATTGACGTTTTCAAATGAAGTACCTTGCTTGGCTGCAACTAGAACTTGTTGTAAACTTTAATTTAACCCCTTGCTTGATAACTCTTTTGTATCAAACAATGCAGAAAATTGCCTACAGCTGATCTATTAAAGGATGTGAAAATCGAAAAAAAGAGTATGACAGACAAAAATAAGACCATATATTCTGCAATAGTTTAAGAACAGCTATGTTTACCGTGCAGTTCAGCATATGGGCAGCTGCAGATGAAGACATGCGACACTTGTCCAGGGAGCCTGTGTGATCAGCCAAGGACACTCTGAGGTCAAAGATCCTCTCAGTGACAGGTCGCTCTAGACCAGAACTGACTGGACACTCACTGTTCATACACAGCCCTACTGAGTCATCTACCAGCTGTTGGCACTGTAAACTGTCACATACAACCATGAGTAAAACAACATCATTGCAGAATCAAGTGTAAAGCGGGTTACACACCGGTATCGCGGATGTGATGTCGCCGATATCTCTGATGTCGCGGACATGATGTCTGCGACATGTAATAAAATGCAACCATGGGAGAAGGGGCACGTGCTGGCGACATGAGAGGGAATCAGTTCAGTTTTTTATTAGTTTCAATAATGTCATCCTCTGAAGAAGATGGTGTGTTGTTGCTGCTGATACTAAGGAATTCTTCTAGCATGGCCACAAACTCTTTATTTGTCTGTTCATTGTCGGGAAGCGGCATTTCTCTATGATGAACACTCGTTTTCTATACACGGGACACGAGTACGATATAACCACTAATCTAGTATAATATAACCACCACTCTAGTATAATATAACCACCACTCGAGTAAACCCACCACTCAACTCACAAAACAAAACAGAAGTACCAAGACCAAGTGACAGCGCCGAAACTACTAGAAACGTGTTATGCGCATGCGCGGGCCCAAGAGACACGAGACATGTCTGTCCAAACACCGACCGGTTGGTTCGCTCGAGACACGCGTCTGCGACACGAGTCGCAGGCAACGTGTCTGCAACACTGGTGTGTAAAGCTCCATAAGATAACATAGGTTGGTTTTCGAGGGGCATGTCGCGGGCACGAAAAATATCGGCGACATCATATCCGCGATACCGGTGTGTAACCCGCCTTAAAAGTATAGGTTGAATTGCTGTAATTCTATCACATATTCTGTATTGTATTGTGTTCGGAAAATAGAAGATACTTAATAGGAAGGGCTACAAAATTAACGGTTTGGAGAAGTGGAGAGGATTGATTAGATTAAATGTATAAAGGGTGTCCAGTAAGTAAATAGCCAACTCCAAAAAATTGTTCTATCTTCTATGGATCAAAACAAAAGATAACTCAAGAATTATTTTTTCCAATAACGCTTCATAAATACAGATATCCACCACTTTGTATATTTTACATACATATTTTCTACTCTTCTTTATGAAAATTGGTATGTGATTTAAGGTAGAAGAGGACTATATTAGGAAAAAAACTAACTTGGTCCACAATTTGATATTTTAAATGGTGCAGCTATTTAAATTTTTATTACTTAGGACATTTTTAAAATGGCTGAATTTACAAAAGAATGTCAAGAAAACTGTTGTAAAATAAGGTAAAATGAGGCACACTCAGACTAGTTTAGCCTTATTTAGCCTTGTTTCATTGGTAATGACCATTAAAAGCCCAAAATGATCAAGGACCGCTGGACCTGATTTTTGAGACAACATAATGCTATACCTACACAGACTTTTCTCTGTGAGTCTGCAGGCCAGACTTTTGGCCCTCGGGTATCGGACCGAAATAAGGTAAAGCCAAAATCGGATCGTTTCAGAAAATTATTAATTAAAAGAAATATTGTAATTACAGAGATGCTCTGATTTGATTATTTGTACCAACCATTTTGTGGCAGTGAGAGGGTAAATGCCATCAAGATCAAACTCAATCACTGCTGCGTACACAAGAGCTGTGAAACTGTCTCCGAACTCTCCACTGACAGCCTTGGAGTATACAGTGTTGCAAGACATCACTGTACTGATGGAAGCAGCTGTAACAAACAGGTACTTCACTATGGTGATAGTTGTAATGAGTTTTATTCTATGATAATATCCATGTCAATAGATCTTTCACTGTAACATGTTGCCTTTGGAACCCCCTCCCCACAACATCAGGCGTCTAAGTCCTCATGCTGAAAACTTGATTGAATAATTGAATAATCTTGACCGTAAAAGGTTATCGTTGTTTGGCAGTGTGACATAGATGTAGGGGAGAATGTGTGTGTGAATATGTATGTCAGGGAATGTTAAAATAATTAAGATATAGTTTCTATCAGTAGTTGCTCATACATGATGGATTCTGTGAGTGTTTGCTGTACATCTTTCAGGTTGCTATTTCATCAAAGTAGGGTGAAACCTGAAAAGAACACTGGAAGAAAATACTCTTATGCCATTGGGAACTGCCTTATTCGAATCCGAAAATGTCTTCTGCGGTCACGGCAAAATCTTAAACATCTTCTGCGGTTATGGGGAAAACAAACATCTTCCTATGTCATGGAAAAATTATGAGCATCTTTCACGGATATGGCAAAGTTGAGAAAACCTTCTGCGGTCCTGGGCTTCTGTCAGGGCTCAAACAGACCTGACCAAAATTTGGAACGAAAATTATTCCCAACCTCTCAAACCAACTGTTGGCCCGACACTACTTATAAATATTGGTTGAACCCTCTATTTGTCACTACAACATAGAATACTCACGGTCAGCAAAATTGGTCGCCAGATGGTCAAGTATTGCCACGGCCACAGTTGGAGCTGTCCTGGCATGGTTGCGTTGCTGTATTGCTTCTGGACAGTCGGGATTCTCTGTGATCACTGTACGACCTGTCACCGCCGCACAAATCCGCTTACGGTAGTTGTTCCAGTCAAGCTTTACATCAGCGATGAACAACACTGTAATAAAATTAGAATACTTTAAAATAACTTGAGAGTTTATGTATACAATTTTGGCATAAGAATACTTCTTAATATCCATTGTTAATAGATCTCAATGTCTCATAAACATCTATGCTTGTTACTCATTGCAAAATAGAACTACTAATTGAAGATTTGAGACGATAACTTAAACTCATTTTAATCATAAAAAGGAAATTAAATTAATTCATAAATATGAACCATATTATATTTTAATTTGAAGAGTATGAAAACACTGTTTAAATATTTTTAGTCAAATTCATGGTTTTAATGTCATCACCAATTTTCTAAATGGTTGAACATTTGACATAGGTCTCTAACCACTCGATGTTTGGGGTAGAATCTACTGCCAAGCAGTGTACAATTTAATTAGCACTTAAAACAGCTTTTTAAAACCCACAACATTTTTTTGTGAGTCTTGGGATGTCGTGGGTTCGGATCCTGGTCACTGCCACAAACATTTTATCAGTTCAGTTTACCATCATACTGTACCGGCTCACCCCTTGCTTTGCTGAATACGTTCTCGCGCAGATCTGTAGTCTATGTGGACAGGCAAATGCAAGGTTAAAAGAGGCTGCTAACCTCTTTTTTATCCACAAACAAAAGATTTTTTAACTACTGTGCTAAATTGTATAAGGTTGTGTCAAAATTTTAAGTAAGTTACATTTTGTTCTCGACTGCTGTCCTAGAAAACCCGCTCAGTTACATAGTATCAGCCATAATCTTCAAGGATCAGAAGAACCCGCTCCAGAAGCTCGCTGTAGAGTGAGACAAGTGGCACAAGAGTTGTCCATCATCTCTACTTCTCTGCATTCTATAGGGATGGGCGAGTAGTGTTTTTTTGAGTCGAGTCGAGTAATTAGCCCTAATACTCGAGTATCGAGTCGAGTCGAGTCGAGTAGTTCACGAGAAAATCAACAATTTTATTTTACATATAGCTGTGGTAATTGCAAAAAAAAAATGCAAAAATATGGAACTAAGTGTTTATTTTAAATAGGCCTACTGTAAATGTTTGAATTTGACTAAAGCATGAGATCTAATAAAGTTTCCTCTAATTTATAAATAGGCTTATAAGTATTTATCTAAGTCATTTCTCAGTTTTTGTATTTATTTTAAATTCCATGAAATTGTCTTAGTTAACTCATTAGTTTATTTTTTTATTTTTATTACGCAGCCTACATCTTGGTCTACAAACTCTTTGTAAGGTAAGTTTTTCCCCCCAAGTGAGTAAAAACTAACTTCCTATATACTAATGACATTTTCTCACTTATTATATATCTTCAAAATTTGTTTAACTATGAAAAAAGTCACCAAGTCTAGCTGAAAACATAATCATAAATGAGGATATTTTTTAAATACAGAATAACTAATCAAACAAAATTTTTAACACTTTTACTTCTTACATTTTTTTCCTTGAAAATGTCAACAGTTTTTCACTTATTTTTAATAAAGATTATCACTTATAATTGTTTTAAAGAAGTCCAGATGTGTGAACTTGAAGAGCAGACAAGAGACATACGTCACTGCCACAAAAACTCTTCTCTACTGTGAATGAATGAACTGTTTATTGTGTGAAGCCCCACCCACCGTCTAACGGGACATGGGGGAGGAAAAGAGAAAGTTTGGCAGAATTTGCCCTTGTTCTAAAGCCTGGTTCACATGCCCTCCCTCACCCTCGGCCTCAGTCGCTTCGCTTGCAGATTTCCATTACACAAGAGTGTTATTTGAAATACTGTAAATGTTTGAATTTGACTATGATGAGATCTAATAAAGTTTCCTCTCAAAATAGGCTTAACTTTTTAAGTATTAATCTAAGTCATTTGTCAGTTTTTGTATTTCTTTTTAAAAGCAATTGCAGTTATACATTTAAAAAATTACAAACATCTTGGCCTACAAATACATTTTGTAAGGAGAGTCTTTTCTCTAGTGAGTAAAAACGATCGTGGTCAAGGAATGAACTGTGCTAAAACAGCACATTGTCAATGTTTACAAAAGTATTTTGACTGAAACCTGAAACCCTGGTATTTTTTAAAGACATTGCATAATAGCCTAAGTCGACGTCTGTGGAGAAAAGTATGGCAATAGATAGGTTTTACTTTTAGCCTACAATAAAGATTATGTTTTGGGACTAAAATCTCCAAAAGACCAAAAGAGTGCTTTTAACAAACATTTCATAGTTTAATTTAGTAACAAAAGTGTTTGACTATGTTCCCGATTATACCAAGAACAAGGTTCGGCAGAGTGGATTCACTGTGAACCAGCCTGCCTGGCAGTGTTTCCACACGACACACGACCAAAACAATAATCCCGCTTACTGGGTCGAGAAATCCTGTTTTATCACGCTTTAAAATTGTGAAAAATCCCGTTTTATCCCACATGATTATTTTTGTACAATACCTAGTATAATTCTTGACGTACCTATCATGTTTATAAAGTTGTTTTAACATCACTATTATATTTTACTACAGTATTTAATCAATTTGAGTTAGTTTTTCTCTAAAATTAAATGGAAAAAATAAAAATAGTCGTCACAGCCGAAAATCCCGCATCCCGTTTTAATCCCGCTCAAGGTTTAAAAATCCCGTTTTCAGGATAATAATCCCGCGAATGGAAACACTGCTGCCTGGCCCTTATGCACGACGTCACTATAACCTCCGTGTAGGGGTGCCAACAATGGATCGGAACAATCGAAGTTTTGAACATGTCTGTAACCTAGTTTTTTATACTTAAATACTCATTATTTATAAACAAACACATCGTACACATCGGATCTCGAATCACGATATTTATCGATACCCTTTCCACCCACAATAAAACATTAAACGATGTCAAAGCAATCGTCATTTGCTCCATTGAAACACAAAAGTCGATTGGCTGACATGGTAGTGCACTGACGCCTCCTGACCAATGAGAGCTGTTGTTACATACTTTTATTACGGAAAGTAAATAAAAGAAACGTCTTATAACACTTAAAACATATATTTACGCTTATACTGTTACTCACAAGACGGTAAATATACAAAAAAGGTGGTAAGTGGTGATCGATTTCGATTGGACACTCCAATCATCATCAGACCCAATAGGCGAATGACACATCGTATCATTCGCCTATTGGGTCTGATGATGATTGGAGTGTCCAATCGAAATCGATCACCACTTACCACCTTTTTTGTATATTTACCGTCTTGTGAGTAACAGTATAAGCGTAAATATATGTTTTAAGTGTTATAAGACGTTTCTTTTATTTACTTTCCGTAAATTTAATAACACGTACAATGCTGATCAAGAAGTTATACTTTTATTGTCAACATTCACCATTCGTTATAACATTACAAAATCAACACGGACTAAGGCTTATAATATTTTTCAATAAATACATTATGTTATAGTAGCACTTAAAACTTCACTAAACTCTTTAATCAGTAGATAGTACAGATCAAAATATGGATCTACTTTTTGGCGCAATATAAAGCAAGCCTAACCATACGACGATGTTAAAGTTTAATGGTTGAATATAATTTTTCTAATGCGTATAATGCAGGGATTATTAAACTGAAAATTTCGACGTGTTTAGGTTATTTATTTTGTACTAAAAATAAAAATAATACGTCTAAATGTCTGACTTATTGATACAGACATTGTTTAGTATAATTAATTTCGTGTTGGCGGGACATTCGCTCGCCGGTTGTCTCTTGAGTTGAGTCTGACATCTTGAAATGTAGATTCGTAGATTGTGTTGTGCAATGCTGAAGCTAAACAATGTCACCGGCACCGTCGCTGTTTTGAACTATATAGTTTCTAAGTTGGCTATGAAAATTGTTAACCGTGATTACAAAACTAATACTGTAGCTATACAGTAAATAAATGTTAAAATAAGGATTTTTTGAGAGGATAGCAGGCTTACCTGAATGGGAAAGAGTCCAAACTGGCACAGGAAACACAAAACAAAACTTTACACTATATACACAAAACTGTATATATAGTGTATATATAGTGTATACACTGTATATGTGTATATAGTGTAAAGTTTTGTTTTGTGTTTCCTGTGCCAGTTTGGACTCTTTCCCATTCAGGTAAGCCTGCTATCCTCTCAAAAAATCCTAAAAAATCTAGGCCCTTGTGCTCTATGCTACACCCTTAAATGTTAAAATAAAATATTTATCCCTGTCGGTATCATCGGAATCGACTTTTGACAATCGAGTCTTGGTACCGATACCAATGTCCAAGTATCGGTGGTATCGATGACGATAATCGACTCATCCCTTTTTACTAGTAGAGCTGTATCGTGACGTAATCGATGCATCGGGATTTTGATGCATGCTGGATCGAATCGGGATTCGATGCATCGCACTCGCACACCTACACCACTGCCTATCACCCAGTGTCGGCTCAGCTGTCGGCGCTGTCGCTGTCAGTGAAATGGATGACGCAAGCGATGTCTAGGTTGCCGATTATTAGTAGGCCTAGTATGTCAATATTTAAAGGGGTTAAGGGATTAAATAAAACTCAAACATTTTCCTTTCTTACTATTTATTTGTCAAATATCAATGAAATTAACGAAATCGGCTAACGTCTACTACTCGACTCGAGTCACGAGTATCTTTAACTACTCGACTCGACTGTCGAGTATTGCCAACTACTCGAGTAATTACTCGACAGTCGAGTACTCGCCCACCCCTAGCATTCTATCTGTCGCTCGTGTTTAGTGTTTATTTGAGTCAAAACCACACTCACCAGTCTCTCTGCGTTTCCAGTTGCCTCAGGCCCGTTTTTGACCCTGTCAGCGCCCTAGGCACATCTAATAGTAGCGCCCCTTTGCAATATATATATATATAACAGGGTGTCCACCAACCGGGAAATCCGGGAATCATGCGGGGGATTTTTGAACCGTGAATTTTGTATTTATACCTGGAGTTTTCAATTTACCGTGATCGCTTATGACAAAAGTGACGTTTCCGTGATCGCGGGAGACGATAATATGTCTACACACGGCCGCGAGGGATGATCAGAATTTTCCGCGATTGCAGAAGACGATGATGGTATCAACAGAGCCGCAACGGATAATTAGAGTATTGCCGCGATCACAGAAGACGATGATAATGTCCACACGACCGCGGGAAACAGCAAGAATTTTGCCGCGATCGTAGAAGACGATGATGATCTCCACACGACTGGAGGACATTATTAACATTTTCCCGCAATCGCGGGAGACGATTACGATGTCTTCACAACTGAGGGAAACGATTACGATGTCTACAGAACCGCGGAATACAATAAAGATTTCTACGCAGCCACGAGGGATGATCACAATAATGCCGCGATCGCTCAAGACGATGATAATGTCCACATGACCGCGGGAAAAGATCAGAATTTTGCCTCATTCGCCGAAGACGATTATCTCCATATGTCCGCGGGAGATGATTACCATTTTGCCGCAATCGCGGGAGGCGATCACTATGTCCAAACGACCAACGGGGACAAAATAATGATGTCTTCACGGCCGCGAGGGGTGATCAGAAATTTATTGCAATCGCGCAAGACGATGATTATGGCCACACGATCGCGGGAAAAGGTCAAAATGTTGCCTAATTTGCGTAAGAGGATGATGACCTCCACAAGACTGAGGGAGATGATTACCATTTTTCTACAATCGCGGGAGGTGATTACTATGTCCACACGACCGTGGGGCACGATATGATGTCTTCACGACCGCGAGGGGTGGTCAGAATTTGACCGTGATCGCGCAAGACGAGGATAATGTCCTCACGACCGCGGGAAAGTATCAGAATTTCACCTCATTTGCGGTAGACGATGATAATCTCCTCACGACCGCTGGATATGTTCATATATTGCCTCGATCATGGAAGACGATAATATATGTCCAAACGACCTGACTGCAGAAAATAGTAAGAATCTTGCCGCAAACGCGGGAGACGATTACGATGCCTACACGGCCGCGAGGGATTATCAGAAGTTTACCGCAAAAGCATGCAAATACTATCATGATTTTTTTAAATTTCCAAATTTTTGGCGCCCCCAAAAAAAGCCAATTGCCTTGCGCCCTAGGCACGTGCCTACCGTGCCTATTCGGTAAATCGGCCCTGAGTTGCCTGCCTGGTATATCACCTCACTGTCCCAGTTCTGCAGACTGAGACAAGTGGCACAAGAGTTGTCCATCATATCTACTTCTCTGCATTCTATCTGTCCCTCGTGTTTAGTGTTTATTTGAGTCAAAACCACACTCACCAGTCTCTCTGCGTTTCCAGTTGTCTGCCTGGTATATCACTTCACTGTCCCAGATCTGTAGAGTGAGACAAGTGGCACAAGAGTTGTCCATCATCTCTACTTCTCTGCATTCTATCTGTCGCTCACGTTTAGTGTTTATTTGACGAACAGCCCCCACCTGAGCACCAATTATTTATCAATTTGTGAAGAGTTTATGCGTACAAGTTTTTACAGAGATCTTAGAGATGAAAACTAAAACAGAAGAAATAACTTAAATATTACCATAAATAGCATAATCTGTGGGTGATTCTACTTGACTTAGTATAGTGTTTTATGATGAACTATTTTCCATCAACCATATTTTCCATTTGTCCTCCCTCTTCTTTTGTTGTTTTAAAGAAATAAAACTGTGAACAGTCGATGTGTCTAACTAGTTTAGGATTTATCTTCTAACGTCAACAATAACATTAACAAATTTTATTTACTAGCTCAGAAATTTTTTTTTAAATGCTCAGTTGAATCTCACATCACTTACAGTAACATTAAAAATTGTGTCTTAATAATCTTTTTTTGAAAACTTTTTATATGGTACCTACATTAGGTAAGAACATTATTATTTTTTTAACCCAACAAAAATAATAAATGGTTTAAAAAAACCACAGAATATTAACAATAGACACACGCTATTTTTAAACAGTCTGCTAATTGCATTTGTTTCTTATTTACTGGATAAATATTGCTTATCATAGTTTATGCAGCTAGTACAATGCAAAACAGAGGAATGAAGATAGAAAAATCACCATTAGCCAAACCAACGTATTGTAAAACTTACCGAACTGACAACAACCAATAAGTTGACATATTTGCCTTGCAAAGCCTGAGAATTGTGATGAATGTCGGCCAAAGTCACCCGAGCTTCAATAGGCCTGGTGGGTAACCTCAGCAACCTCACCAGTTCTGCACAATCCTGTTCTGTGTGAAGACACATCTCTGATATTCCTTCACTCATGCGCAGCACTAGTGGACTGAAACATTAGACGAACAGTAAACCTAGAGCTAACGAGCTCATCAAAGGAATTAAAATGTAGTAAATAGCTTTAATAAAAAAAAAAACTAGATTGCTGTTTTTAAGTTTACGAGCTGCCACTCCGACGTACATCTCTTTTACTGGCTGTTGCTTATTCAAGCCGAGATGTATCAGTCGCCCATTTCTAGGAATCACTTAAGCTGTTTAAGAATTGTTCAGTTTAATTGTTTCAATGAATGAGTTAACATAGTGGCTGTAGGTTTTGTGTTTTGATGTTTGATTGTTTCTGTTTTCTGTGATAGACGTGTGTGTAAAACAAAACCTAATAATATAATTCCTCTAGAACAAAAAAAAAATTGTATTCTGATGGCCTGAGATCTATTGATGCTGCTCTTGCTTTCATGGAGTATCAAGAAGAGTGCACAACACAAGTGTGTTTGTGTCTTCAACGTGACATAAACATGTCATAAAAAAGGGAGAGCACATGGAGTATAGGTTAACTCGGAAAATAATCCTGAACTCTGAGGCTGTTGGCTTGTAAGAAAGCCAAAACATATGTTACACCACCACAATTTTGGTACCACATTCAATAATTGTTTTAGCGGATATAAACTTTATATCATATTCTTAGACATACTTATCAGTCATTCGTTCTGTTATCACCTTATAAACTACTAGCGAACGTACTAGTGATCATGTATAGTAAACAAGTATCATGAGGTTTTGGGTACCGGTATCTAAAAATAAAAGTATTGTAAAATGTAATAAATTGACAAATAAGACAAATTAAGGTGCTAAGAATTTTCTAATTGTTTCTAAATACTGTAATGATTTATTATAAGCAATTGTATTTACCTTGTTACATTAGGCATAAAATTTGCATCTTGATCTCTTGCATATGTCGCTTTGGCTTTTACAATGTCAACTAGAAAAAATGTTATTAAATATAAGTTTTTTTGTTTCAAGCATAATAATGAAATATTGTTGAAACCAGGAACTTAAACCATAATCTAGCTACAAATAAAGATGTAAAAATATTTGATATTTATGATTTTAAATGCCTAAATACAGTTTAGACTGTCAGCTCACCAGATAAAATGCTGGATTAATAAATAGCTATAAAATGAGAATATCAGAAGCACCACTGTAAAGTAAAAATGCAAATAAAAAACAAGTAAAAAAACAAATAATCTTCTTAATAATATTCTGTACCAAGATATTGGAACAGAATCTACTTTTCTGTCATGATAGAATAAAAACATTAGATAGGAATATAAATTACTTTAGAGGGTCTATCTAAAACTACGATGGTCGTTTTTTAAGTAAGAGCCGTTTTTGCATTTAGCTCCGTAGCTTTATTTACACCGCAATAAGGCTCCTAACCATCTTTACTGGCATCATTTGTGAACAAAATGGAACCATTAGCGAAGATGAGGCCAGTATGTTTTTTTTTAACCACAAGTAACATACCGGTATCTAATGCCAACATTCATTGCTAGATGGTTTAAGGTTATGGTGTTTAAAAATGGCTCTGAAGATGTCCATTTTGGAAGAAATTGTGCTTTTTGGTGGGTGGACTTCTTACAGGAGACAACAAAATAAAAAGATTTTCATGGACATTTTTACCCTCCCTATCCCATTTCTGCACTTTTCCTCACTCATATTGCACTAGGGCCTAACCCTTCAGTCATCTGGTAATGAATTCGGGATCTGATATATTTATTGTGGTCAAAAACGTATTACTGACATTATCTTGCATGCAGCAGGAGATTTAATTATTTTAAAACATTTTCTAAGTACACGTGAGCGAGAGAGCTGCAAATGGTTCTATTATGTAAAGAAATTATGCCAGTAAGAAAGGAGCCTTGTTGCAGCTTACGCACAAACTACGAGCTATAGCTACAAGCTATACGAAAAACACAGCCCTTACTCAAAAACAACCCTCATAATATGTTTTTTTTTTTTATTTCTTGGAAAAATCATGACAGTTTCAAGAAGAACCCACTAATAAAACCTAAACTAAGATTATAAATGCAGGTACCGATATCACCAATGTGGAAAGTGCGAGCCATGTTTTCCATAAACTCAGGACTTCCCCAGAAAGATACATTGATGTAGTGGGCTGGAGAATCTCTAAGAGTAAAGTTCCAAACAGATCTGCTCGAACCATCTACAAGAGTAAATTAAAGATACATTAAGAATAAGAATCTTTATCACCCTTTAAACATTTTACAGTGCAATAGGGTTCGTCATTTTATATATATCGAAGTAGGACATTAAGTTGTTTTTCATTTTAGCCAATTCAGATGTACGCCATTTATATTTTTATCTTTTAGTTGCAAAATTACTCATACCACTACTTGGCTTAGAACTAACAGTACATTGTTTCTTAGGGAATATACATATTAAAGTTTATTAAGACAATATGGCAAAACCTTTCAAAAGTTTCATAACTGAATAATGCTTACTTTTGTCATAAAAATTCCCAATTTTCATTCACGAGTTCAGTCTTAAAAAACCAAACAGTTTCTGTTCATCAAATGGCCGAGAAACTATTATTTTATTTTGAATTGAAATATTGGTATTGCAATCAATATTACTTATTTCTAGGTACACTTATGGTCTGAATATGGAAAAATTCTTCCATTGGAAGAGCAAACAATTGATGAGTCCAAATTTGTCAATATTTGTTATCCAAGCAAGCATTACCCCTTGTCGGCAATGAAAGTTGTGAAATTGTAATTTGTAACTGTCTAAGAAGGTTTTTTAATTCATTTGCACTTCTCCCATCACAGGTCATATCAAAATCTGAGTTGAAATTGTACCTATAAGTTACCTGTTGTTTCATAATTTATACATCCAATCCAACGGAAACATTACTAACCTAGACTTTTATTGTAAAGTAAGGAAACAAATTTTTTAAAGGTTTGCACATGAGATTCAAAATCGAGCCCAAAGTCACTGGGAATCGAGAATCAACAAATCAAAACTTGAAATCTGTATATACAGTGTAAGACTTTTTTAATAAATGATTTCAGCCGAGGGATTGTACCAGTCTTAAACCATGTCTTACACAACATTGATTATTGATTACTGAACTTAAAGTAATTGACTACACCAAGTTTGGTTAATGTTACCAGTTATAGATTTTTTGGATTTGATAGTACAGTAGACTCTCAGTAATCCGGCAGTATCCGCCGGATACTGGCGGATTCTGTGACCGTGGTACTGCCAGATTAGTGAAGATTCCAGATTACTGGAAAGTTATCAATAAAAACACTTAAAAATGCAATTAAAACACATCTCCGAAATCACGTGATCGGACATGACGACGATGACATTTCCCTAATCTTGGGACACGATGATAAGGTCTTCACATCCGTGGGAGATAATAATTATAATTTTGCCACTATCGTGCATGACAATGATGACGTTTCCCTGACCGCGGAAGGCGACGATAACGTCTATATGTCGGCAGGAGAGGTTCATGATTTTGCTGCGATCGCGCATGAAGATTATGACTTTTCCCTGACCCCGGGAGATGTTCATGAATTTGCCGTGATCGTGCAAGTCGACGATGACGTTTTTGTGACCGTAGGAGTAGACAATGATGTTTACACAGCCGCAGGAGATGATAAAATTTTTGCCGCGACCGCGGTAGACAACGATAATGTAAACATGACCGCAGGAGATGTTCATGATTTTGCTGCTATCGCGCAGGACGACGATGACGTTTCCAAGACCGCGGGAGCGATGATAACATCTATACGTCCGCGGAACATGTTCATGATTTTGCCACGATCGCGCATGACGACGATGAATTTTCCGTGACCGGGGGAGATGTTCATGAATTTGCCGTGATCGTGCAAGTCAACGATGACGTTTTTGTGACCGCGGGAGTGGATGACGATGTCTACACATCCGTGGTAAATGTTGATGAATTCGCCACGATCGGGAAGACCTCACCCGTCAAAAGACGCCGGAGTGGTGCAGTGCCGGATTAGAGAGGGTCTACTGTATAGGGTAGCCCAGTTAAGAAACTGTACCCTATACTTATGCCGATAATTGCAGTATTACCTCGATTTTAAGGAATCATGTTACCTCTGTGCAAAGAAGGTATTTTTAAAGGCTAAATATAAGGAAGAAGGTTACAGAATCTTGCCATATGAAAGTGATTAATTATGCCTTTTTAGGGTGCATAAAATTTTAGCCTAGTGGGAAACATATTCGATCCCCCGCACATAAAAAAATTGAGTGGTTTGTACTGCTTTCCCTTATTAATTGTTTCGTAAACATTATCAGTTAAATCAATTATTTTCTTACCACTTTTCATTGATATTGTCCTTGGACTTTGTTTTGCAATTATTATTGCTACAAGAAAAAACTCATTACTACCATGGGAAAGAGCATGGATTGGAGTTTTTGCTATTCCAGCTGCCATTTTTCCTGAAAAAAATATATAAGTTATCAAGTTACAATACACATAAAAAAATATTAACTTTAACTTGCTAGTCTTTATATTTAAAAAAAATACAACTTATAACTTTAAAAGTTGAAATGTAAATTTAAAAAAAAGTTACATTTATCTGCAGGTTAACCGTGACAGAACTTTCAGCTGGAAGAGAATCTCGTTGATAAACAAATGCCACCACAAATAGGCCAAAGTCCTAAGCATATTTAGTTCTCACCTCCACCAATAAAACGTCTAGTCATAACAGATTGGAATCGACATATCAGTATTTAAAACGAAGAAGCTATCTGTCATATGTTGTCGATATGTTTCAGTTGTTGGCAAAACTTTGATATCCAACTCCATCGTATGTTAAATACAATCTAAACGAGAGAGTTTTGGTTTTAAGTTTGAGTTTGGTCATCGATCGAATTAATACTTATATAGTTGGTCAATAATTTTATGGAGGTTCTAAACTAAACTTTTCTCCACATCTGTTCGAGCTGCTGAAATAATTTAGGCTTTTTTTAAATAAGGTCTAACTTAACTTTAATTATATGAAACTAAGAGAAAGATAACAATTTATTTAGCCTATAATCGACTACGGTACGGTAATATATTAATTTCAAATTAAAAGTTCTGCAGTGCTACAGTAGTCAAACTAAAATTAAGTAAAACTTAAGTTAGACTTAGTTATGATAAGGTACATACCTTTACGTCAACCAACAGTTTTCAACATGTGAGATTAAAAAAAGTTTTAAAACGTAGCTTAGGCCTAGGCCTATACAGGCATTGTCAAGAATGCCTCAATTCGATTAAAGCTTCCACGTCATTGTCATAAACTTACAAATGCACAAAAAAACATTTAAAATAGGCCTCTAGGCCTACTAAGTTAAGTTTAACCGTCTGCCTCTGTCAGTGCCGCGACCGGTAGGTAGTAGGCCCTTGAAATGTCTTTTAAAGTGTGTGCATGACCCATTTGAAAAATATTTGTTTGTATGCCAGTAACAAATCTTTAATCAGATGAAACATTAGGCCTACTCCACTAGGAACATTAAGTTAATTGCCAACTAGGCAAAACCTGTTGAGTTTAACTGCCGTGTTGAACTGTTGATGTAAAGGTAGGTAGGCCTAATGTATCTCATAATAGTCTAATTTTAACAGTTACATAGGCCTAGGCCTACATATAACTTACATTAGGCCTTCAGTTAAGTTACAGGGCTACATAACTTAATTAATTTTAAAAGTAAATTGCTGATTTTCTTTTCACAATATGAATCCTACCAGTTTTTTTATTTACACATTTGACTTGATTTTTTCACATTTTCCAACTACAAATTCAGGCTATGGTAGGCTCTAATTCAATAGACTTAAGTTCGATAGTTTCATATTAGGTTGTTTGTGATGCCACTTATGAAAGTATACCCCTTAATAGGTTAGGTAAACTGTTAGGCATAGGCCTAAATTGTTAAGAAATTTAAGCTTAATAATTAATCAACAAAAAAACCTTATTACAACAATTAAACCCCTATTCTTTCAATATAGGCTAGTTAAATGAAAAAAACAAAACTTACTGAGAAATCAGAAGAAATTATTTTATATTTATATTGCAACGGATTGCATTTGGTTTAATGACTTTAAGTATTTTTAATAGATGTGGCTAAAATATAAATTTAATCATATTAACGGGAAGCGAAGCGACTCTATTAAGTTAATATATTGCAATATTGTGCTACGCTATTACTTTGTTTGTATTGTGCATTGTGCAATTGAAGCATTGAAGACAGAAGAAGAAGGAAGGATGTAGCATAGCAAAGCAATTATTTCCTTTTGACATAGAGTAGAGTGAGAGCTAACTTCGGGAAATTTAAAATGCACATAGAAGACTTTTGATACTAGCAGTGCTAGGGGTCGAGTTCCCGCAAGGCTCAAAGGACGTTCCACGACGTAAGCTTGACGTCACGATTTCATGACGTTCACACTTTCCAGTTCCATTCCTTGTCCATTTTATTGGTTCTGGCACGGCCGCCTTTAACCACCTTTAACTACAGGCCGCGGCCTTCGAAGTGGCAACATCGCAAGTGGTGTTGTAACAGCTGTTTTGTTTGGTATTTTTGTATTTTCAACAGATTTTTTACTGGACTATGACAATATTGACTCCGCTTAAAATTTACAGATATAGATTTTTAATTCGTATTGTTTCGGTTTAAAATTTTGTATGTTTTATTTTCAATATTTTAATTGAAATCAATAAAGTGCAAATTAATGAGCTGATGTCACCTATCTGTACGTTATCTTATGGGACGTCTGTCACTTAAACAACACCACTTGTGACGTTGCCAATTCTGGTAAAAGGTTTCAGTTTCAGAACTGATACGGATACGCTACTGAACCACTGAACGTAAGGGAAAGTTATGCAGTTTCAAAGTTGCAAGTTTCAAGGTGGACGGTATTTTGTTAGTTATTTATTAGTACGTAATGAAGCACTATTTGCTTAAGCTGGCGGCAAACGGCCGTTTTCTGGACTAAATTCCTGTGTGGGAAGCTCGTAAAAACTGTATAGAGTGGGGAAAATATTTTTATTTAGCTAACTTCATTGACTCTTCGTTACGGAAGCAAAAAATCCCATCCAAGGTCCAGCTGTTGCCAATTTTTATTCAAAAAGAGTGCTATTGAATGAGCCATTAAACAGATTGCAAGTTAGTTAAAAAAAATACAAAATCTATTTTTTAATGAAAGTCATAACCTGAATTTGGAAGTATAAAGGAATTTAGCTTAATGTTTAAAGAGAGGGCGGGAAATCTGAGTGAATTGATGCTTTAAATTATGTAAATATAATATAACTTAAGTATGAAATATTTAATAAATTTGGTACAAATTTACGAGTAGAGTTTAAGCGGCATAGCATTGACTTTAAGGCTATACAAAATCACATCAAGGCTAAGCTACAAAATATTTAGTATGGATGGAGCTTCTTATACGGTAACCCTAAAAGGGAAGATGGAGAGGTTATATCTAGCTTACAAATAGAGCTCGTTATTTTTATTTGAAAATTCATCGTATATATTTCACCATACCGTCTCAAGAACTGTAGGCTTTAATACACTATATTTAATACGTAAAAATAATAAACATTTTAAATAAGCAACCAATTTTGGCGATTTGACACTTTGGCAGACGACTCGACTACTACAACTTCAACAGTCTAGGAAAGCTGGAATGGAATATGGGAAACGTGAAACGTGCCATCAGTCATAACTATGACGTCAGTCATGGAAAGTCCTTTGAGCCTTGCGGGAACTCGACCCACAGTGCTCTGAAACCTCTGCCTCTGAAACAAGAAACAAAAAAAGCACACAACGAACCAACAACAAACAGCTGAGTTTTTTTAGTTAGCTGTTCTGTTAGCTGCCTTCTGTCAGGCCTTACTGCTTGTTTCAGTGTTTTCTTTCACACTTCTCTGCCAGGTAAAAGTAAATAGTATTAGTATGTCAAAATATTAAATAAATTACTTGTATTAAATTGCCACCCAGTTTTGTCCTATTATGCCATACATTATTGGTTGAAGTAAGTTTATTTGTTTTGATTTGTCTAAAATACGATAAATTGAGGCAGCATTTCCCTCAAACCCTTAGATAGTTTTCATAGGCCTAGTGCTCGTTTCTTCCTAAATTATACAACTATACAAATAAATTTGAAAACGAATTAAGGCCTTGGTGTTAAAACGATAAGTTTGAAAGTGAGTCAAAGTTAGTGGCTCCTGTTGTCAAGGGCTTACGGTACTGTTACTGGCTTTTGTGTCAAGATGTTCCTATTTTGTGCATAAATCATGAACGATCAGGTTTTGTGACTGTAATGTAGGCATATTTAACTTTTTTTTTTGAAGAATTTGTGTAATGCATTTTTATTAGATATTCCATCCAGTTCTTGCTTGAGCTTTCTGCTATTCTCACTCATTTGTTTTCTATTAGGCTATAAAGTTACTAATCACTCGCTTAAAGAAGTTAACTAATTTTCTACCATATTACAGACTATTATATGCTAGCAAGTATTCTCTAGTAAGAAAACAAAAAGAATCGAGCTGAAGATCAAACAGAAAAGTCAGTGGCAAGGTAAGAGAATAAAGTAGGCTTATTTATCAACCGACTAGCTTATTTATTAAACTTAGCCTTTTGTTAACCCTCCAAGTGTCTCTAGTTTTGGTCTTAATGTTCGCCCATTTATTGCGCAATCGCAGGGTTTTATTAAAATGTATCTTAGAAACTTACAAACAATGTAAAGTAGGCTATACTTTTTTATATATCATTTTGTTTGGAAAATTATGGGCTTCAATGTAACATATAAAACATTACAAAAAAAAATGTTCAACAATTTTTAACCAGCCCTTCAAAATCACTTAAATTTTCTTATAATGCACCACGTATATCACTACTTTTTATTTTTAACACTAAAACAATGATAAACGTAATAAAACACATCAGTAATCGGTGCGAGGTTAACCAAGTTGTTTACAAATACACACGTCAGCTGTCTGCTACAATATTTTCGGAACTAAAATGAAAAGCGTCTAGAAACAGACATCAGGAGAAAGCTTAGAATCTGCCGAAAACAACAATACCAATCTCGATCCAGTTCAATCTGATTTAGTCAGTCCCAGAGCCTTCGCCGTAAACGATGTTTGTGTGTCGCAAAAGCGACACATAACACCTCGGCGGGTGTGTTGTGCGTCGATTACGCGACGCTTAACACTCGGAGGTTAAGACCTCTGGTGTGGTTTTTATGTTCCTTTTTTTCGGTACAGTTCCGTAGAGAATATATCGGTTTAAAAAATATTAGTTCGATCTTCGATGTACAAATCATATGGTGGTTAGGCCTATTAATGTCGATTTTATGTAGCCTAGGCTATTAAAAATATTAAAAAAAAATCCATGGGGTCTTTAATAGGAAAAATTGATCACGCTGTGCTCTGGAGGGTAGGTTACGTTAGTTTAGCTTACTTTGGCTTGGTTTAGTTTAGGCTATATAACAAGCAAGGTAGGCCCTGCCTAATATTTATAAAAACAAAAGTTGATAGGTTTACCTTAGCTTATGTTGTGTAATTCATTCAAAAGATGATTTTGCAAAGACATAAATTTGTAGCCTATTTGTGTCCTGTTTCTTCATGAGTTTGGGCAAAAGAGACATTTTGGTAAATGGTAAGTTAAGCTTACCTTGTTTGTCATGGACTTAATTAAGCTAATAAAGCTGAAATAATGAGATATTGGTGCATGTGTCAGTATTCTTGGGTCGACTGTGTTTTTAATTTAAATCTTAATGAATATTTGCAGTTATGCTGATGGCACCGATCCTATCGGAGGGGGGAGGAGGGAGGCTGGGCTACAATGGACGACAACGACTGCCGAGCACCGACAGTGACGACAGCAGCTCAGATGATAACGCGGCTGTTGAAGGTCCCGGCGCTCACGAGTATAAATTTACAGAGGCCAGTCACTCAAATATGGTAAATGCACTCATTAAGTTTAGATTAGATTTTTATGTAAGGTACAGTAGTAAGGAACAGAGAAACATTCAATGTCACTCTTTTAAGTGGTGTCTGGCACTATTCGGTGGTGTCTAGAGTAAATTCTAGTCACTTCTCCTAACCCCCCTCGCACTCCTTTCCCCGTCACCATCTCATGCTGGAGTAAGACCGTATGCCCTGTGCGATAGAAACTTCCATGCAATGCTTGCCGCTCGTGCTCTACCTTGCTTGTCACAAGTATGTTGCCCTAGGACGTCCGCACACACAGACAACATACTAGAGCTGGTCGTCGCAGAAGCAAGTTTTGTCTGTACCGTAATTGTCTATTTAATAACTAAAACAGATATGAGATAAGTAACAGATAAAAAAACTGAGTCTACATAATTGAAAACTCATGAAACTGATTCCCCAGCAAAGAATTATCTTATGGTACTGTAAAAGGTGTTTGCAGAGAGCCAGGCAAAAATGTTTTGGAAACCTGTAAAGGCAGTAATTTTTATTCATAACGCAAGTTGTTGAAAAACTTTGTTTCTGACACAGAGTTTCTTACACGAATAACGGTTGAAATACCTAGCCTTTATCACTATTTTTGCTTATAATCCTCACAGCCTTTTTCTGGAGGATTTTTTATGTTTGAACTGTTGAACCGGTATTTTAAAATAACTTTACAATTGTTAGCATTTTTATTAGAAAGACGTGTACTATTTTTAGGTATTTTAAAGTAAGTGTCCAGGAAGTTTCACATTAATCTTCCAAGTTGTATTGCAGGTGTTGATGGGTTTGAATGATCTTCGCAAATCTGGACAGTTTTGTGACGTCACTTTATCAGTCGATGGAGTTAAATTTCCAGCTCATCGGAATGTTTTGAGTTCCTTCAGTCCTTATTTTAAGGTACAATCCATTATCTCTTAAAATAATAAAAGTTTTCAAATATAAAGACTGTGATACTGGTATGCAAGTACCCTCATCAATGTTTCTAGATTAATTTGTATCCATACAAGGGAGCTGAGCTCCTAGCCTAGTTGTTTTAAATGTAACCAGGCACTGCTTCTATTTGGAATAATATATCCAGAGTTAGCCTAAGAATTGTTTTATTGAATTTTAAATTCAACTTAATCATAACCCATTGAAATATACAGAACATTTATAGTATTATAATGGCACTTCCTAGAGGCAGCTCAAATTCTAAAATAACTCTCTCAAAAAAATTAGAGTTAAGTTAACCCGTTTTCTAATTACCCTTATCAATCAAACATTCAAGCATAATTCCCACTTATAAACTATCTCTTCCTACCCTACCTTTTAACTTTCCCTCACAAAATTAGCCTACACATCAGGACAAAACTCAAAGTAGGCTATTACCAGTAGGCCTTCTCTAATGTGATTGTTGAATGCTTCCTAGCTTGCAAGGTAGTTTAAGGTAGTTTAACCATCAAGGTAGTTTAACTACTGCTTTAGGTGCAAGGTAGTTTAACCATCCTCTTGTCATTATTACTTGACGATTTGTCTGAAGATAATTGTTTAACTATTTATTTATTATATTTAATGTGCACTGTAAAATCCTGTAGTCTCGCATCTCACAATCGAACATTGGTCTCAGTTTTTTGTCTGAAAAAGCTTTCAAGGGTTTCCCACTTAATTTGAGTGTTCAGTACAGTTTGTAGGAAATCAGAATAAAACAGGAGTACTGAAAAACTATGATCGAACACAGTAAATGCCCTTATACCTATGGTAATAACTCTTAACTCCCTACTTTGATGGTATTTATGCTGTTCTCACAACAACAGCGGCAGAGACACTTGGTATTCCATAATTTTCAGCAATCAAAGCATAAAACATGCTGGATTAACAAATGTCTAATGTTGTTTCATATTTTTCTTGATTGTTGATTTTGAGTCTCCACTGTAGGCCATGTTCCTGAGCAAGTTGGCGGAGTCCAAGCAGAGCGTGGTGGCTCTGAAAGGTATTGAGGTGGACATGATGAGTCTACTGCTGGACTACGCCTACACTAGCTCTCTGGTCATCACCAGGGCCAATGTACAGGCGCTGCTATCTGCTGCTAATCTGCTGCAGGTACACAGGCAAAACATTTACACAGAATCCCGCTATTCAAAACTAATAGGGACTGGACCCGGTTTGATTACATACTTGTTCAGGTCAGGCAGATATGACGTAAAATTGCATAACAAACTAGTTTTTTATGATTTAAATGGTTATATTGCTTCCACAATTAATTACTATGTCAGGTTAAGTGTAAGAAAGGGCCATGCGGCCCTAACTTTGTGGTAAAATAAAGAATTTTTCATTTAATTTCAACCACAACAACACTGTGATCCTCTTCTGAAAATTCTTTCGACTAATACACGACAACCTAGGAAGAGAACTATCAAAAGGCTATTCCTATAAGTGGATACTAAAATATTGTAAATTATTCAAAATTATCCGATTCCATACAAAACTAACAGACTTTTTCCCATCATCAAAATTTACGTACAATAGGCATACTAGGATCTAATAGGTTAGCAAAAAAAATGTTGGATGATTGATTAGCTTTGACAATTTAGAATCCATATACAGTAGACTCCCTCTTATCCTGACTCCTCGGGACCGAGGCCAGTCCGGATAATGGGTTTTCCGGTTTAACCGACATCCCCAAAACTCGTTAAAACGGACTGTTGTATTTGATATGTACTGTAATATTCGACTTAAATTTAGGAGAGCATTGTATTTAGACACGTGATCAGTGGTCTCAAATCTTTCCCACGAGAAAAGTTGTTTCAATACTTTGCCCACTTCCTGCCGATCTGGTCCGGTTGAACCAATGTGCTGATAAAAATTGTCCGGTTAAAGAGATGTCATTTCCGCCGAGTGTAGTCCGGTTAAAAGGTGTCCGGATAAGAGGGAGTCTACTGTATAAGGTGTGATGCTCTCATTAGAAAACATTCAATTAAATTGGAAAACCTTTTGTTGTTGAAATTTTTCTTTAAAACTTAAGAAATGAAATAGCTTTCCTTGACAGGTCATCCCTGTCATCGAGGCAGCATGTCAGTTCCTTGAGAGGCACATGGACGCCACCAACTGTCTGGGGATCCACTGCTTTGCAGAGGCTCACGCTTGTACAGAACTGCAAAAGAAGGCTAAAGACTTTGCTTTACAGTAAGTCACTTAGAGACCTAAAAACTAGCATCAATATAATTTCATTGTACAGTTCACCCAAGATATCTTTGCAAAACTTTGACTCAAGGGATGTCCGTAAATCAATATGTTGAACAAACTCTAGTCGTTGTCAAGCAAGCTGGTTCAGATCTGACAAAAGCTCTGTGATGTTTTTTACTTTCTCGCTACTATTCTCGGTAGTTCCCACCTTTATGTGATGGTTAGTCTTCTCTAGGATCACATCCTTACTATCTTCACCTCTTATGTACATTGTATACGTTTAAAACATTTTTTCAATTCAAATATGTAAATTGGAAATGAATTTTATTAGGGATCCCTTAGACCACAGAAACATAATCTCTGAAGTTCATACTTTAAGGGAACATAAACTTTTTTCATATTATTGACTGCTACAGCAAAGCTAATTGTCGTATAGGGGTAGGAACCAGCTAAAATATTGGTAGGGAAGTAAGGCACTTGGAGCTGGCACCAGATTCAAACTAGCTTGGCCACGATTGAAACTTGTAAGAGACCTTGACTTACAGACATTGAATGAACGTTTTTTTTTATATATAGGTTATTTAACTAACTCTGTTTTATGACTTTTATGTGCTACGAATCATTTCTAAGGGCTATTGATAAGGGCTTGAAATAATTTAAACTGAAACTTGATTCTCAATAATGTTTTTAGGAATTTTTGGGAGGTTTGCCACCAAGAAGAGTTCCTAACACTTACGGCTGCCAAATTAGTAGAACTGACAAGCAGTGATGAACTAGAGGTAGAAAAGGAGGAGACTGTGTTCCAGGCTGTAGCTAAATGGTACAACCACAAACCTGAGGCTAGAAAACCAGAGTTTGCCAAGGTAAGTGTGTAGCTGCCATGTTAGTAGAGCTGACAAGCAGTGATGAACTAGAGGTAGAGAAGGAGGAGATAGTGTTCCAGGCTGTAGCTAAATGGTACAATCACAAACCTGAGGCTAGAAAACCAGAGTTTGCCAAGGTAAGTGTGTAGGTGCCAAGTTAGTACAACTGACAAGCAGTGATGAACTAGAGGTAGAAAAGGAGGAGACAGTGTTCCAGGCTGTAGCTAAATGGTAAAACCACAAACCTGAGGCTAGAAAACCAGAGTTTGCCAAGGTAAGTGTGTAGCTGCCATGTTAGTAGAGCTGACAAGCACTGATGAACTAGAGGTAGAGAAGGAGGAGATAGTGTTCCAGGCTGTAGCTAAATGGTACAACCACAAACCTGAGGCTAGAAAACCAGAGTTTGAAAAGGTAAGTGTGTAGGAGCCAAGTTAGTACAACTGACAAGCAGTGATGAACTAGAGGTAGAAAAAGAGGAGATAGTGTTCCAGGCTGTAGCTAAATGGTACAACCACAAACCTGAGGCTAGAAAACCAGAGTTTGCCAAGGTAAATGTGTAGCTGCCATGTTAGTAGAGCTGACAAGCACTGATGAACTAGAGGTAGAGAAGGAGGAGATAGTGTTCCAGGCTGTAGCTAAATGGTACAACCACAAACCTGAGGCTAGAAAACCAGAGTTTGCCAAGGTAAGTGTGTAGGTGCCAAGTTAGTAGAACTGGCAAGCAGTGATGAACTAGAGGTAGAGAAGGAGGAGATAGTGTTCCAGGCTGTAGCTAAATGGTACAACCACAAACCTGAGGCTAGAAAACCAGAGTTTGCCAAGGTAAGTGTGTAGGTGCCAAGTTAGTACAACTGACAAGCAGTGATGAACTAGAGGTAGAAAAGGAGGAGACTGTGTTCCAGGCTGTAGCTAAATGGTACAACCACAAACCTGAGGCTAGAAAACCAGAGTTTGCCAAGGTAAGTGTGTAGCTGCCATGTTAGTAGAGCTGACAAGCACTGATGAACTAGAGGTAGAGAAGGAGGAGATAGTGTTCCAGGCTGTAGCTAAATGGTACAACCACAAACCTGAGGCTAGAAAACCAGAGTTTGCCAAGGTAAGTGTGTAGGTGCCAAGTTAGTACAACTGACAAGCAGTGATGAACTAGAGGTAGAAAAGGAGGAGACTGTGTTCCAGGCTGTAGCTAAATGGTAAAACCACAAACCTGAGGCTAGAAAACCAGAGTTTGCCAAAGTAAGTGTGTAGGTGCCAAGTTAGTACAACTGACAAGCAGTGATGAACTAGAGGTAGAGAAGGAAGAGACTGTGTTCTAGGCTGTAGCTAAATGGTACAACCACAAACCTGAGGCTAGGAAACCACAGTTTGCCAAGGTAAGTGTGTAGCTGCCAACTTAGTAGAACTGGCAAGCAGTGATGAACTAGAGGTAGAAAAGGAGGAGACAGTGTTCCAGGCTGTAGCTAAATGGTAAAACCACAAACCTGAGGCTAGAAAACCAGAGTTTGCCAAGGTAAGTGTGTAGCTGCCATGTTAGTAGAGCTGACAAGCACTGATGAACTAGAGGTAGAGAAGGAGGAGATAGTGTTCCAGGCTGTAGCTAAATGGTACAACCACAAAACTGAGGCTAGAAAACCAGAGTTTGCCAAGGTAAGTGTGTAGGTGCCAAGTTAGTACAACTGACAAGCAGTGATGAACTAGAGGTAGAAAAAGAGGAGATAGTGTTCCAGGCTGTAGCTAAATGGTACAACCACAAACCTGAGGCTAGAAAACCAGAGTTTGCCAAGGTAAGTGTGTAGCTGCCATGTTAGTAGAGCTGACAAGCACTGACGAACTAGAGGTAGAGAAGGAGGAGATAGTGTTCCAGGCTGTAGCTAAATGGTACAACCACAAACCTGAGGCTAGAAAACCAGAGTTTGCCAAGGTAAGTGTGTAGGTGCCAAGTTAGTAGAACTGGCAAGCAGTGATGAACTAGAGGTAGAGTAGGAGGAGATAGTGTTCCAGGCTGTAGCTAAATGGTACAACCACAAACCTGAGGCTAGAAAACCAGAGTTTGCCAAGGTAAGTGTGTAGGTGCCAAGTTAGTACAACTGACAAGCAGTGATGAACTAGAGGTAGAAAAGGAGGAGACTATGTTCCAGGCTGTAGCTAAATGGTACAACCACAAACCTGAGGCTAGAAAACCAGAGTTTGCCAAGGTAAGTGTGTAGCTGCCATGTTAGTAGAGCTGACAAGCACTGATGAACTAGAGGTAGAGAAGGAGGAGATAGTGTTCCAGGCTGTAGCTAAATGGTACAACCACAAACCTGAGGCTAGAAAACCAGAGTTTGCCAAGGTAAGTGTGTAGGTGCCAAGTTAGTACAACTGACAAGCAGTGATGAACTAGAGGTAGAAAAGGAGGAGACTGTGTTCCAGGCTGTAGCTAAATGGTAAAACCACAAACCTGAGGCTAGAAAACCAGAGTTTGCCAAGGTAAGTGTGTAGGTGCCAAGTAAGTACAACTGACAAGCAGTGATGAACTAGAGGTAGAAAAGGAGGAGACTGTGTTCTAGGCTGTAGCTAAATGGTACAACCACAAACCTGAGGCTAGTAAACCAGAGTTTGCCAAGGTAAGTGTGTAGCTGCCATGTTAGTAGAGCTGACAAGCACTGATGAACTAGAGGTAGAGAAGGAGGAGATAGTGTTCCAGGCTGTAGCTAAATGGTACAACCACAAACCTGAGGCTAGAAAACCAGAGTTTGCCAAGGTAAGTGTGTAGGTGCCAAGTTAGTAGAACTGGCAAGCAGTGATGAACTAGAGGTAGAGTAGGAGGAGATAGTGTTCCAGGCTGTAGCTAAATGGTACAACCACAAACCTGAGGCTAGAAAACCAGAGTTTGCCAAGGTAAGTGTGTAGGTGCCAAGTTAGTACAACTGACAAGCAGTGATGAACTAGAGGTAGAAAAGGAGGAGACTATGTTCCAGGCTGTAGCTAAATGGTACAACCACAAACCTGAGGCTAGAAAACCAGAGTTTGCCAAGGTAAGTGTGTAGCTGCCATGTTAGTAGAGCTGACAAGCACTGATGAACTAGAGGTAGAGAAGGAGGAGATAGTGTTCCAGGCTGTAGCTAAATGGTACAACCACAAACCTGAGGCTAGAAAACCAGAGTTTGCCAAGGTAAGTGTGTAGGTGCCAAGTTAGTACAACTGACAAGCAGTGGTGAACTAGAGGTAGAAAAGGAGGAGACTGTGTTCCAGGCTGTAGCTAAATGGTAAAACCACAAACCTGAGGCTAGAAAACCAGAGTTTGCCAAGGTAAGTGTGTAGGTGCCAAGTAAGTACAACTGACAAGCAGTGATGAACTAGAGGTAGAAAAGGAGGAGACTGTGTTCTAGGCTGTAGCTAAATGGTACAACCACAAACCTGAGGCTAGTAAACCAGAGTTTGCCAAGGTAAGTGTGTAGCTGCCATGTTAGTAGAACTGACAAGCAGTGATGAACTAGAGGTAGAGAAGGAGGAGATAGTGTTCCAGGCTGTAGCTAAATGGTACAACCACAAAACTGAGGCTAGAAAACCAGAGTTTGCCAAGGTAAGTGTGTAGGTGCCAAGTTAGTACAACTGACAAGCAGTGATGAACTAGAGGTAGAAAAAGAGGAGATAGTGTTCCAGGCTGTAGCTAAATGGTACAACCACAAACCTGAGGCTAGAAAACCAGAGTTTGCCAAGGTAAGTGTGTAGCTGCCATGTTAGTAGAGCTGACAAGCACTGATGAACTAGAGGTAGAGAAGGAGGAGATAGTGTTCCAGGCTGTAGCTAAATGGTACAACCACAAACCTGAGGCTAGAAAACCAGAGTTTGCCAAGGTAAGTGTGTAGGTGCCAAGTTAGTAGAACTGGCAAGCAGTGATGAACTAGAGGTAGAGTAGGAGGAGATAGTGTTCCAGGCTGTAGCTAAATGGTACAACCACAAACCTGAGGCTAGAAAACCAGAGTTTGCCAAGGTAAGTGTGTAGGTGCCAAGTTAGTACAACTGACAAGCAGTGATGAACTAGAGGTAGAAAAGGAGGAGACTATGTTCCAGGCTGTTGCTAAATGGTACAACCACAAACCTGAGGCTAGAAAACCAGAGTTTGCCAAGGTAAGTGTGTAGCTGCCATGTTAGTAGAGCTGACAAGCACTGATGAACTAGAGGTAGAGAAGGAGGAGAAAGTGTTCCAGGCTGTAGCTAAATGGTACAACCACAAACCTGAGGCTAGAAAACCAGAGTTTGCCAAGGTAAGTGTGTAGGTGCCAAGTTAGTACAACTGACAAGCAGTGATGAACTAGAGGTAGAAAAGGAGGAGACTGTGTTCCAGGCTGTAGCTAAATGGTAAAACCACAAACCTGAGGCTAGAAAACCAGAGTTTGCCAAGGTAAGTGTGTAGGTGCCAAGTAAGTACAACTGACAAGCAGTGATGAACTAGAGGTAGAAAAGGAGGAGACTGTGTTCTAGGCTGTAGCTAAATGGTACAACCACAAACCTGAGGCTAGTAAACCAGAGTTTGCCAAGGTAAGTGTGTAGCTGCCATGTTAGTAGAGCTGACAAGCACTGATGAACTAGAGGTAGAGAAGGAGGAGATAGTGTTCCAGGCTGTAGCTAAATGGTACAACCACAAACCTGAGGCTAGAAAACCAGAGTTTGCCAAGGTAAGTGTGTAGGTGCCAAGTTAGTAGAACTGGCAAGCAGTGATGAACTAGAGGTAGAGTAGGAGGAGATAGTGTTCCAGGCTGTAGCTAAATGGTACAACCACAAACCTGAGGCTAGAAAACCAGAGTTTGCCAAGGCAAGTGTGTAGCTGCCATGTTAGTAGAGCTGACAAGCACTGATGAACTAGAGGTAGAGAAGGAGGAGATAGTGTTCCAGGCTGTAGCTAAATGGTACAACCACAAACCTGAGGCTAGAAAACCAGAGTTTGCCAAGGTAAGTGTGTAGGTGCCAAGTTAGTACAACTGACAAGCAGTGATGAACTAGAGGTAGAAAAGGAGGAG